ATATATATATATATACACACACACACACACACACACACACACACACACATATATGCACACACAACACACACACACACTCGCACACACACAACAGACTATGACTGCTTACCTTTACTGACTTCATTTTGAAGTGACATTAAGCAGACCTGAATCAAATGAGGAATGCGTCCAGCGTTGCTGTTTTATCAAAGCTATACAGAAGCAAAGTATCAAAGTATAGTTTTGCACAAATGTTGATATCAATCTAAATAAGAGACATAATAAAAAATAAATAAATGTTTGGCGAAAATTGGTGAAAAAATAAAACAAAAAGTTGAGTAATACTGCAATGTAATTTTGCGAACATTTCACGTGGAGATCTAAAAGAGTCAAAATCAAAACTCAGGAATGTATTGTGAAAACAAATCTCATTTGTAATATTATATGCATTCAATATAGATATTTTTTTTCAATCGCTTATCCTCAATAGTATTTTCTCGGCCAATCCTCCTGGTTGATATACGGGACACCATAACATTTCCTGTTTAGCTGTGTGTGTGTGGCATCATTTTGTTTTAATGTTTTCTCCAGACATTTATAAAATTTGCCTGCTCTTTTGCTGCTCAAAGTTGGATACGTTTCGCCTCGACGCGGTTCTAGCGAGACCTCTGTGAGGTGTACTCACCCACCCAAGCACTTTTAATTCTGGTCATGCTTTCGTGAGAAAGATACTTGTAACAAGTGTAGCTAATCCGCCGCCATGTGTTTGTGTTTTGATGAGGCACAAAATAAAACCTGCAATGCTCGCATAGTTTGAAGGTGTGTGTACCCAGGCTCGCGTGAGGGTATTTTTTCTAAATAGCTATACAAAATTATGGTTTTGTTGTTGTTAGTTTACTCTTTCCCAACATAATAGTATTTGTTATTTTCATTCACCCACCCCATTATTTATTAATCTTCAATGACTCTTAGATTTCATTTTGCACCCAATGTTTGTCAAGTATGGTGACAATGTATTGCGAATCACTTGCCTGCACTGCTGTTCAGTTTTCCACCTGGTAGCATAGGGTGCGGCATAAGAGTGATGATTGAAGGTTTTGCCCCAGGCAGGTGACGCGATAAACTGTTATCTATTGTCTTCGCGATATATCCAGGTATTGTCATATTGCCCAGCTCTACTCGAGATATGAGTTTGATTCATTGTGTGACAATGCTTGTTAAAAGACTTAAATCATCTTTTCGCATCAAAATGAATGGGCATGCCATTAATCTGTTTACTTTAAAGCAGCGGCAAGCATTTAGTGTCTTCAAGATCTTCTCTGCTGGTCCAAACACTTTAGAAGCGCTGGTATAATGTCACATATTTTGCGCTTAAAAAAAACAAAAAAAACTTTTTTTTAACCTGCAGCATTCCAGCAGTGCAGCAGCTTTAATGACTTGGAAATATTTTTATTGCCAGGAAACATTTTTCTTTTTCCCCACCTTAATTGATTTGGAAAAAAAAAAAGAAAAGAAAAAAGAAAGCAAATCAAAAAGACAGAAAGTCATGGTGTGATTAATCACCATTAGCAGAAGACAATTAGCGGTAGTGTCGTGCAAGTGAAATGTACATTTGAACATTTCTAGACCCCCCCCTCCCCCAATTGGTGCTCTGTGTTTGTGTGTGTGTGCGTGTGTGCGTGTAGCGGCTATTGAATAAATGCTTTCCATATGACTATGTGGGATTATGAGAAGGTCTTATTATTTATGGGACATTTATGCTTATCTGATAAACTTAAATTTGACATGGGCAGGCAGTTTGGGTCTTTTTTGAAGTATTTAATGATTTCCATTCAATGGATATACACTTAAGTGAAAGGGTGGAACTAGGAAAGGATTGAGCAACAATTTAGTTTTCACCTCTTGTTCATTTTTTTTGGCAAAGCAGTTGAATTGAAAACGTATGCGAGATGCTCTGTTTACATCGAAACATACATGCTAAGATAAGCAAATTGGGTGCTCTGTGTTTGCCTCAAAATGATCAGAGGTATACTTTCCAAAAATTATATTAAACCAGAGATGTCAGTTGTACAAACATTTTCTAAAATTCCTTCCGAAGGCTAGATGCAGTAGGTGCTAATTTAAGCAACACGCTAGTGCAAACATTTGAAAAGGTTTCAAAGTAAGAAAACATTTTGTTTTGATCTACATTTTTTTTCTTCGTAGAGATAGATACAAGTAGACAGATAACGTGACATTAGTTAACTGTTGGCATGCTAATTGCAGCACAGATCGGTGATCCTTATGGACTAAAATGACCGCGGCTATTTGGTTAACATGCTAATTTCAACACATGAATACAGCGCCAAAAAATGTCCTGTTATTTCAAATTTTGCTGAATATTTCAGCTAATTTGTAAGCGTTATGGACTGGCACACTTTAAATGAAAACATGAAAACATTTACTTTAAACTGAGGGAAGTTAGCCGTTAGTTGATTAGCATGGTAACTTCAGCCCGTTGTCACTGCAGCACAATTACACTGTCTCAAAATGATGCATATCTACCTGTGTTTTGTTTTCTATCATATTCTTTGGCTAATACGTGAACACTCGGTCACGGATGGCTTTAAAATGTACAAAATGCACAATTAAACTGAAAAGGCCATGCTAAAGATGCTAACATTGCGTGAGTTGCTCATATGGCAACAATTAGCTTCCAGCAAACCAAGTCAAATTGATGCATGGCTAATGATGATGGAAGAGGATACACTTGCCACAGAATGATGTTTACAACATTCAATGGACATATAATGAGGCTTTCTCATGTGGGACATTGCTGAATGCAGTCGTTACAGTCTGGTTGAACATGGGGAAAAAATATATACATACCATAACCGTCCCCGCACAAAATGAACACAAAAAGCACTTTAAATTCTTATTTTATCCATAAAAAATGTTCCCTATTTCTATGCAATTTGTACTGAGCTTTCTGATGTCCCTCTTCAATAATCAGTTACAGACGGCCACTGTGCCACCTCTCATGCGGAGGAGCGCTCCCCAGTCAGCATCCCCAGCCCGCCACCTTTGGCCAATCAGCGGGCCGGGATGCATTCCCCGCCTCCACGGAGAGCCCCGGCCAGAGAATTCAGCGGGACTTATGAGAGCCTGCCGGCACGCTCCGTTCAGGTAAGAAAACTTAGCAAAAGTTCAATACATCAAAACGAACAAGTGAAAGACATTACCTGTCAGGTTTCAGAGTCCCGCGTGGTGGAGTGTCCCAGCATCCAGATCACCACCATCTCGCCTGAAGATGAGCCAGCACCCGCTCTTTCCTGGGACCTAGACAGCGGCAGTCGATGGGACCCCGAGCGCCTCTATCTTCCTCTGCTGGACCCCTTCGCCTACCGAGAAAGGTGCCCCGGCTCGCTCAGCCCCAGCCCTGCCTCCAGCCCCTCGTCCCGCGGCTGGCTGAGTCCGGCCTCCAGTTGCGACTCCCTGCTGGTAGAAGAAGAGGAGCTCAGTGAGGCCACGCTCCATTTCGAGCTCTCGCCGTCCTCCCGGCCGACTTCGCCGGGCAGAAAGAAGCGGAGGAACTCGCCCCTCGCGTCCCCTTGCTCGTCTCGTAGGGGGAGTTACTCCGAGGAGCTGCAGAGGGGCGTCCTAGAGGGGGGAGACTACAGTCTTCTGTCACAAGCTTCGCCTGGCAGCTGTGAGCTCAGTGTTCCACAGAAAACGAGGAAGACATCTATGGAGCAGGTACTACTGGCCACACGATTAAATAAATGGAGATATTCTTACCCTAACCCCAGTTCAACCCAAACTATGCCAGTCATGAACCCTAAACTTTACCCCTACTAGAAATCAAAATCCTTGGCCTACCCCAGCCCGAAACACTGATTTTAAAAGCCTAACCCCTGTCACGAACCCAATCACAACCCAAAACCTTTAACCGATTTAACTCCTAATTCTCCAAATACCAACCCAAACACTGAACTGAACTCAACCCTTAAACCATCTGACTCCTTTAATAAACCTCAAGGCATCTTTCTCACCTGAAACTTAAATCTGGGGGGCACACCGTCTGTGTTTTTGAACAATAATCCCAAATGCCTTTTGATTCCGCCAAGGAGACTCCTCATTACAACTTCTTATTCCCCACAGTTGTCTCCAAGGGATCAGGAACAGGCCCCTGGGCAACAGCAGACAGAGAGCCTGCAGACTAGGAGAGAGCCCCCCTCAATGAGTATGGACTATCTCTCGGTTCCCCCTGCCTTGGCCTGGGGCCGGACCCGAGCTAATGCCCACAGTCCTCTCTTCAGGTAGGCAGTCGTCAAGGGAAAACCCTTCACCTGGGGGCCATATTTCACTGAAACCACAGTTTAAGATGAAGCCGCCTTAAGGGGTGTAAGAATCTGAGATCTGAGGCGACTTTACATGTGTACCCTTAAATGCATGCAGGTCCAATGCCCTGCCACCACTTGACTGGCCCCTACCGTCCCAATTTGACCAGTACGAACTGCGCATCGAGGTACAACCCCGGCCACACCACCGAGCCCACTATGAGACCGAGGGGAGCAGAGGAGCTGTCAAGGCCACTCCGACCGGACATCCGGTTGTCAAGGTGACATTATGAGGGGCGCCTTAAGGAGGGCAAAGTGGAAATGATAATAAGGGTTGATGACTGAAAGGGCCTATTGTGGATTGAAACAGTGTTGTAAACTTTGACTTTGTCTCCCTCTAGAGTAGAGGTGACCAACTTTTTTGAGACTGAGTGGAACTGTACTTCTTGGGTACTGATAAATACAGATAAATACAAAGGGGTTCCGGTTTGATACACACTTCTGAAATAAAACAATTGGTCAAACTAACTTTAATCATGTTATTAACCCACCCACACCCATTGACATTATAAAAATGGGGCTCAAAGTACGGTCATTTTTCTTTCAGGGCTTTGCCCCTGGACACCATGCACCAATACAGACACCCCCAAAAGATTTTTTTACAATTGGGACAGTTTTCAGCACATAATATGTGAATCATCAGCTCATCTCATCTTAGTTTTGGCCTAATTTCTCACCTTGTCTCTCTGCAGTTGTTCGGATACAATGAGAGGAAACCACTTTCTCTCCAGGTTTTCGTGGGAACCGCAGACGATCGCTCCATCAGGCCACACCCCTTTTATCAGATACACAGGTACTACGAAGCCGTCCGAAATGATCTGATCTCCTAAGTCTTCTGATTTGTAGATCACCAAAAACTAAATAGAGATGTCCAGAACAGGAATGGGCATTGGTTAATTCCCTCAAAGGTTTTTTTTCCTTCTTTCAGGGTGACAGGAAAAATGGTGGGCACAACCAGTCATGAGAATATCCTGGCGGGAACAAAAGTACTGGACATCCCCCTCAACCCTGAGAACCACATGACTGCACTGTAAGTAGACCGAGATTCTGTTTGAAAGATGATGTGGCTGACAGTCACGTCATTAAACTCTGCAGCATCGACTGCGCCGGGATTCTCAAGCTGAGGAACTCGGACATTGAATTGAGGAAGGGCGAAACAGATGTCGGAAGGAAGAACACACGTGTCCGCTTGGTCTTCCGCACCCACCTCCCTCTGGCACCCCCTGCTGTCCCACCTGGTCGGGTCCTGGCCCTGCAGGTGGCCTCACTGCCCATCGAATGCTGTGAGTGGTCGCTCCCAGGTGACTGCCAGAGGTGAAACACATAAGCCTGATTTTGTATCGTGTCCGCCGCAGCCCAGCGGTCAGCACAGGAGCTGCCTGTCATCGAGTCAGTCAGCTTCACTTCCTGTTCAGTAGAGGGCGGCGAGGAGCTCCTGTTGAGCGGCACCAACTTCATGGCTCTCTCTAGAGTTGTTTTCATGGAGAGAAGCACGGGTGAGCAGTCATTGTTTCCATTGTTGTTTTTAGTATTCCACTGAATGATGGAAAGTTTTCCATCTGTTCGACTGACAATTATTTTGGTAAGATTTTGTTCCTGTTCTGTCTTCCAAAATATCAGATGGTAAACTTCAGTGGGAAGAGGAAGCCCACGTGGACCGTGACAACAGCAACGAGGTAGATCTTGTGGAGGTTACACTTCATTCACCTCATCTGTATGTTAAACTGTGGGTAGAGACCAAAAGAACAAAATTATGGATGCAGGCATAAATAAGTTTACTCTGCAGGGTGTCGGCCTCTCCTTTTGGGTGAAAAGTTCACTCACCCAAGAGAGGCTCAGAGTAGAGCCACTGTCTTTTTGTCAGCCTAGGAAAGCCATTGCAATTCCCCCGATAGAGCTGGATGAAGTGGTTTGGGAGAGGTAGTCTGAGCTTCTATGCTGAGGCGGCCGCCTCTGTGACCAACCTTTGATAAGTGGAAGGTTGGATGAATTCTCATTTTACTTGTTTCAACATGTTGCTTCTTCCTTTAGTGTTTGCTTCGCATGAGGGTGCCGCCCTACTGCGACCTGTCCATCACTCGTCCGGTGTCAGTCAGTCTTTACGTCTCCAACGGCAAGAGGAAAAGGAGCAGCACTCATTGCTTTAAATATGTCCCCAGTTAGTATCAACGTCATAAAATGTTATGATAGTACAGGTGCATCAATTATCGTTGTTTTTCCTGCAGTCATGTTCAAGGAAGAGGACCCACTCCTGTCCCTTCCTCAAGCGCTGCCTCTGGATGCAGGGGTGGTGTGTTCTTCGGTTGGGGGTCAGTCCAGAATGAACGTGAGGTGCAACGCCGCGGCCGAAGAGCAGACAGGCCTGGGGTTTAACCTGTCCCCCTACCCATCCACCTACTCGCCTCCATGTACTAGCCTGGTTTACCAGGAGGAATACGGCGCCGACACTGCGACAGAGGAGCCTGGTGGGATTGGCCCCAACATGTCTGAACCTCATCCCAGTTTTGAGAACCTGGAGCTGGGTTTCACTGAGCTCCTCCCGCCATTGTACCTCCGCAGTCAACAGCCACCGTCCCCTTCCCCCTGGCTAGACTCGCCTTACCTATCGTCCTCACCCTCTCCCTCCCACTCTTCCTCTCTTAGCCCTTTCCCGGCCGGCAGCCCAATCTCCTCATCCCCTCTGCCTCCTGTTCCCACCCCACCATACCCGCAGTACTCCGCTTACTCTCAGGAGATGTGTCCCTCGCCTCCAACCAACCAGAGCGCCTACCAGGACCTGTGTTCAGTGCCTTACTCCCATTATGACAGCTGGGACCACTCAGGAAGGGCTCTGGGGATGGGTCACAGGGACGAGAAAGATGCCAAGATTCAGGAGGGTGCTCTGGAGTTCACCAGCTCCGCCACCATGCATCCCATCACATTTGAGGAAGGTAATTGAGAGGTTTTTAAACTAAATAGACTGAGAGACACTCAATTATTCATGCTAGCTAAATATATTTGATTTTAGTGACAGTAGCCCATTTCACATAGTTTTTACAAAATTGATGCACCAGAGAGAGTAACAGTCAAACAGTCATTTACCCAGACAAAATAATCTTTGTTCTCAAATTCAATCTCAGACTGAGTTTTAGTCTGGCCCACTCGTCCTTTGTAAGACATTTTACGAACCACAACATGACATCAATTCACGACCACTTTTTTTTGTTGTCATTCTTGATCTACAGTGTCGGAGTACATTGGGCAGGACTTGCAGTCTTACCAGGACGCCTTACAAACGGACGAGGAGCCACACTGATGAGGTCGTCGTTCAGCATCATTCCTTTCACTACGCACTCGCTATATACCACGACATCCTGCTCCACTTCAACCTGTTCCATTGCCAGGAATATATTTCTTATGTGAATATACAGATATACATATGGACACACACAGACACGCACATAAAGGGAAAGCAATGTTTTTGGCAAATAAATTATCTAAGAAACAACGTGGAGTTTATGTTTTGATTCAAAATTACAGTATTGTGGCTACCTTAGGGAAAAGCTAAATTCCAGGCTTGTTCCAACAGGTGAATGTGTGCATAATGTGCTCACTATTATGTAATACTTTGTGAGTGTGTGTGTGTGTGTGTGGGGGGGGGGGGGCATGTGCAACAGGAAGCAAAGTGAGCACATTTGTTCCCTTCAGGCAGTAAAATTTCAATGTGTCACACTAGTGTACATCACGCACGTATACAGTAGATGTCAAAAGTGAGCACATTTGTTCCCTTCAGGCAGTAAAATGTCAATGTGTCACACTAGTGTACATAACACACGTATACAGTAGATGTCATCAGAAATATGATCCCCTTTAAAAAAAAAAAATGAATCATCCACTTAATACTAATGGAAGTAGCAAATGACTGTCTTTTTGAATGGCGTGTCCTCAAAATGAACAAACTTTACCTACTTCCTGTTGGGCTCATCTAGGCCAATTCCCAAGTGGGGGTGTGTCACAGCCCTGGAATTCAACCAAGTGGCTGCTTCAAACCAAAATGTCTGGCTTCCTGTTTAATTTCGAGCCTGGTTTCTTGAGACTTTTTCATACAGTCTTTCATGATAGACACACATTTTCATCATATTCCAACCAAAACTGAGGGAGTTTTGTGGGGTGATTTTATTTTGCGTTACCGTCGTGGAAGACGCACCAACGTGTAAGTACATTGCCGTCGTACGGCTGGAACTTTGCTGTAAATGGAGGACCTCCTGTTTAGTGTGTTTATGTATCACTTGAACATAGATATTTGGAGTTGTACAGTGTATTTAGAGAACTTTGACACAATCTTGGGGCATTTTAGGGCGTTTAAGGATGAGCACAAAAACACAAATAGAAGAATTTTGCAGCGAACAACGGAAGACAGATTAAAAACAATGCAAATAGCTGAATTCATGTTTTTCATTTAATTGTTTGATCTTTATTGTCTAAAAGTGTTTTCATACAAATATCGTCATTATGGCTGTACGATTGCGTTTCTCTTGGTGAGTGATGGAATACGGCGCCTTCGAATTTACAAATTTGGATTACGTCACCACCGCAAAAGTTGAACGCTTATAAATTGTACTTTCAACATCACTATATATATAAGGGCCTCAGTCATACAATGGCTTGATTCACTGAACGAGAACAACACTTCCATGAGTAAAAAGTAAAATTTTCATAGGAAAAGGGAAGTGCACACACCTGTGTGCATGTCACAGCATGTATGTGCGCGCAAGTGTAGGGTGTGATTCACGTTAGGATGGAGCGCCGTGACACGGTAAGTCACTCAAGGCAACAGACGGAGCAGGACAAGTGGAATATTTTCATTTGGACAATTTGCATCCTTGAAAGGTCAGTGATTCTCAACATATGCCTCGTTCGGATCTCTTTCAACGGTGCCGGCTTCTCTGACTAGCTTTTCATTTCTGTTTACCTAACCATAAATGACGGCCCATTTTGGGGGCATTGGTATTGATAAAGGAGAGGTTGCTGATTATAAGTACTTTTTCTGAAAAAAAGACGAGCTATTATCTCACACCTTCTTAAAAAGGAAAGCTTGAAGCTGTTATACATGATCAGATAAAACCAGGTGAGCAGACACGTATTACAAAGGCCATTTTTACTTAGATTTGTTGCAATAAGTAAATTATGCTAGTTATCAATTATTTATTAGAATCTATAATAGTTTTTTATTGAAAAAAATTATACGCATTTTCACTTTGTCGTGTTGTCGAATTTTGGTTTTGATCTTCACATGACTGTTTTTAGACTTTGTGTGGTGATTTCCAAAAACTCTCTTAATCTATTGTGACCCCAAATTTACTGTTTGCATTTTAAAGCCTCACTGGAGGTGAAATGCAGTCAAAGTAGCAACAGGCGCTTTAAGTGAAATTTTCGGGGCTGCGTGTTTTAGCATGCAGAGTGAAAGCGGTTGGCTTCAGATCCTTGCGTGAATATTTGTGAGACGACGTCAGGTTGGTGGTTTATGTAAAATAAGAGACAAAATCTCTAATCACGCTAGTTATGATAAAACTAGAATAGCGCTTGGTAAAGCACAGCTCTCCGGGTCAAGACAACTTAAAAACCAAGGGAAGAAACTGTATTTAAATTAATAAAATAAAGTGAAGGACCACATTAGTAATTACATGAAAACACTGTCAAAACGATGCCTAAAACCTGCTTGGAACAACACATCCCCCCCCCCCCCCCAAAAAAAAATCCAGAACAAAGTTGTGACGCAGCCAAGAATCAAGTGAAAACTATGCAAAGAACCAAAGGAAAAAAAACTGACACAGCCAAGAACCTCAAAGAGAACCACTTTATTGGTGAGTACCAATTAAAAACCAAGTCAATGACAGGCAAAAAACAAAACAAAACAAAAAAAACCAAACAATCACAAATCAAGTCAAAAATTGAGATGCTCAAAACCAAGTTAACAGCAGGTGGAACCAATATGTTCCAGCTCTGTCAAAAACAATTTTAAACACACACAAAAAAAGTCAAAAATCAAGTTAAAAAAAAAGTCACCAATCAAAAAAAATATTTAAAATCAGCCTTGAACCATGTCAACAACCATTTTAAGAACCAAGTCAAAAACCACAACAAAAGCGACATGAAACGAGCAGAGTGAAGAAGCAGTCCCAAAAACGGACAAAAACAATCTAAAATAAACAAAACACAGTAATTAACAAAAATCAACTCAGGAGCCTGCATATCAAAAAAGTCAAGAACAAAGTTGAAAAGAGAATCACAAACAACAATACAAATGTCAAGAACCAAGACAGGAACTAGTCAAGAACCTCCTTGCTGTGAAATTGGTTTTCGTTCACAAAAATAAGGCCATCCCTATGCTCTTTCTCCTCTCCGTCCAGCATGAACAATCTGAGCGATGTCATCGTGCGCAACAACAACCCCGAAGACGACAGCGTGGTGAGCAATGACTACACCACCACGGTGGGTGCCCTCATCTTGAGTCTGGTCTTCCTGCTGGGCGTACCCGGCAACCTCTTCATCGTGTGGAGCATCCTCGCTCGCGCCCGCCGCCACTCTGTCACCACGCTGCTCATCCTCAACCTGGCGTGCGCCGACGGCTTCCTCATGGCCCTCACCATCTTCTTCATAGTCTACCTGGCCAAGCAGACGTGGGTTTTCGGGACGGCCATGTGCAAGGGCCTCTTCTACCTCTGCAATGTCAACATGTACGCCTCCATCTTCCTCATCACGCTGATGAGCGTGCACCGGCTGGTGGTGGTAGTGCTGCCACGCAAGACGGCGGCCAGGCTCAGCAGGAAGCTGGTGCGCCGCGTCATTCTGGGCATGTGGCTGTTGGTGGCCGTCACCGCGTTGCCCTCGCTGGTGTTCCGGGATGTACGGGAAGACAAAGACGACCGGAACAAGACACGACACGTGTGCGTGCCCAACCACACGCTGCCTCGTTACGTAAGCACCCGTAGCCAAAGTTGAAAATGGTCAATGTTATTTTGTAAACATTAAAAAGTGTGACTTTTCCGACGGGCAGAACAGATAAGATTTTATCTTCAATTTTTAATATGGAAGGCAATTTTATCTTCAATGAACATCCATCCATCGTCCGTTCCGCTTTAGTCTCACAAGGGTGGCAGGGGGGTGCTGGAGCCTATCCCAGCCGTCTTCGGGCAGTAGGTGTGGGGCGGGGGGGGCCCTGAACCGGTTGCCAGCCCATCGCAGGGCACACAGAGACAAACAACCATGCGTGCTCACACTCACACCTAGGGACAATTTAGAGTGTTCAATCAGCCTGCCATGCATGTTTTTGGAATGTGGGAGGAAACCGGAGTACCCGGAGAAAACCCACGCAGGCCTGCAGAGAACATGCAAACTCCACACAGGGAGGCCGGAGCTTTTTCAAAAAATTTGACACACTAATCCGGTGACGCAGGCCAATTTGGTTTTCTTAGAATATGCGGCGGGCCAATGATAAACGTACAGTGGCCGTACTTTTGTGATGTGTACGAAAACCAATCCCAGTCAAACATACGATCAGATCTATGGCATTAAAAAAAATGAACATCACTGTGTGCAGGTGAGGTTCCAGTACTCCTTAGAGACAGTGGCGGGCTTCGTCCTGCCTTACGCCATCATCATCACTTGCTACGTGCTTATTCTAAAGCGCCTAAGAGAGACCAAGTTCCGCCGGAAGGTCCGCAGTGAAAATCTTATCCTGGCCATTGTGGTGATGTTCTGTCTCTTCTGGTTGCCGTACCACGTCATCAACATGATACAGGTTTGCCTGATAGCTTTTACGTCATGATCCTCAAAGCTTAATGGTCCATTCTTTTCAACAAACACTGTGTTTTGGTCTGGTCCAAGGTGGCGGCTGAATGGTACTCGGAGGGCTCACGCAGACGAGAAATGTGAGTTGAAACAAACCAAAAAAATTTGACTGCATGAAACCGTAAAGCAAATCGCTTCTGTTGGTTTGGGTGAAGAAATCGAAAGCATGATTTTTGCGAACGTCAGTTTTCCACAAACATACCTGACATGTTTCATAAACCATTTTCTCAATTTGTCTTGGACAAAGTTGTCTCGGCTAACCTGACCCTCAAAACAAAAAAATAAATAAATAAAATCAACAAACCTAATTTGAACCTTGAATACAATTTGCAGTCTTCAACATCTCAGATTAAGACACTCCTTTCCTGAACATGTTAGCTTCCGACCAAGTATGCTGCTTACCTTTGACCTCCTGACCCAAGCTGCTGCGTCTCCCCGTAGTCTGGAGCACATCTACCAGACGAGTCGTGCCGTGACGTCGGCCCTGGCCTTCATCAGCAGCTGCGCCAACCCAGTCCTGTACACCTTCGCTGGCAAATCGTACATCAGGAAGAACGGCTTAGGCTTCATGGCGCGTCTCTTCGAGGGGACGTCACTGGACCAGACAGGGACCAAGCGGAACAAGGACGTGACGCTCAGCAACGTGGACTCCGGCGCAGCCTCGTCGTCGGCACAAAATGGACAATGACGAGCGCTGAAGGAACTGACGTGCTTGAACGGAGAGCACACAAATAAAAACGCATGTGGGACATGCAGACTTTTGTAACGATAACCAAACTGACCATTTTGTTCAGTCATTTACAACTTGTCACGTGAGAGCCAGGGGCGTACCGAGGGAAGTTACCCAATTTCACTTAATTGGTTGAATTACTCCAGTTAATGTACACAATTAGAAATACAGAATATAAATTTGTTCCAGTTTATAGAATTGTAGATATTTGGTTCAAGTTAACCAAAATGCTGTTTGATGAAATGCACCTAATTCTATTTGTAATGGACGTTGTGACATGATGCCCGACACTGGAAGCAGAAATGTTTTGTTTGTAACAGCCGTTTTAGAGTTTGAACACTTCTCTCAGGTAGTGTACCTAATGACATGATAAATGTGCTTTTCAAGTAACCATTTTTCGACAGTTAGCCTGACTGGAAGAGTCATGTGCAACAGTTCACAAATCAAACTACACACATTTCAACAAAATCATTTTATTAGACAAGTTTGAGGCGTGTACACAAAACTCCAGTCAGATTGGACAAGACTATGCATGATTGAGGGGAAACATTGGGATGAGGAATGCCACATTCACCCTAAACTTACCACCTGTCAAAAAGAAATTGCCACTAACACATTTCATATTAATGTTTTAGTACACGAGATGAACAGTGAAAAGTGGGGAGGTTACAAAATTGAAGTTCTAATCTCAAGAAAGTCAATTTAGACTTTTTAAAACCCCTTCACCCCAAAACATGCAAGAGTCCATAATTTATGAGCGCCTTATTTCAAAATTTAGATTCTCTATAAGCCCTACTCCCCCCGCATCGTTTCAGTGTATAGCATCTACTGCCACACAATTACACTTGTATGGTATGTATTTGTAAAACTCTCTTGAGGTGTTGACTAAATATCATCGCTGTAGGTGGCACTTAAACTTTCAAAATGTATTTAAACTCTACTCAACGTTCTGGAGCAGCAGAATACATCTCGGGAACATCACCTAAAAAGAAACAAAAAAAAACCTGCATGTAAAAGCTGTAATGTTGATCCATACGTTAATAGTGTGCAAAGGGCAGTTCAAGACCCACCTTGGTATCAAGGTCACTGCAGAGAACCTAAAAATAAAGAATGGATTTTTCTTTGCATTAGAAACCGTTCAACCAATCATTTAAAAACAAGTACCACACCTCTCCACGTGGTGTGGGGTCAAACACGTCAGTGCAGTGAAGAATAATCATCAGACTCAGCTGAAACACGGACTCACATGCAACTCATCATTTTAGGCTTGACCCACGGGGTTAAAAGACGACATTTTGTTTGACGAGGACCCAAACGAGCGCTAGAGCAGGTGGCGCCTTACAAAAATTGCGCTGGATAAAATGAGCGGCACTGTACCCCACGCTCAAAGACTTCACTAAGGAGCCGTTCCATAACTCGAAACGTACAGTCTAAAGTTGAAATGCATCACTTGAGCTCAAGCTGCCATCTTGTTAGGAGTGGCACAAGAACCACGAGGTGAGCTGCCAAGGCAGGAAGCTCGCCAACAATTCAACACGGAAATAACTCAATAAACGCACCACAAGTTAACAACGAACAATAAAAGGCTAGTTGAAGAAAGAGAGTAAAACTTGGACATACCGTGTGAAAAGTGTTGACAATTCGGCCAACCCAACAGTTGTCCTCAACTGCGGCCAAACAAGGAGGAGAGGGACCGGTGGGCCAGTGACGGCTCATTTTATGTGGTTATCAGCGTCATGTGACTCCTGCTGCCGCCCACACGGGGGGGGGGGGGGCGGCGAAAATAACTTCCTGGGTTGGAGTGGCGTACTTCCGTCGGGTGTAATTAAGTTTCTTACTACTACTATTATTATTATTATTAATAATAATAATAATAAAAATAATGGTGCAATAAAATGCTATTATTTTTATTTCATGGAACTGACAGCTTTTTTGGGGGGACAGACAATATTACAAAGAATGCATCCTCAATCAAAGAGGGGTTAAAAGTGTAATCAATATAGTGTACCCCTGTACAGTAGTATACTCGTGGCCCAGCATCCACAGATTCACATATTTACAGATTGTTTTTTCAAATTCTATTCACTCTATTGTCATTTATTTATTCATTCATTCATTCCATGGAAACAACATACTTTTGTTCAAAAAAAAAAAAATCTCAATCAGTTAAAGTGGGCTCAAAAGTGCTTTCATTTATGAAGTAGGACACACAAAATGACTCCATTTTGGATTTTCTATGCTTTATGCCACCGTCTTTATATAAACTGTACACAAGAAAATTAAGCAAAGGCACTATACATGATTTTAAATCAAACATTTACATTGTAACGATGATGCCAAATCTGCACACTTGCGTAACGTGGTGTCAGCTCCACAAAAACCAACACATTTGGTGTTGCGATTTTCCGACACAAAACAGGAAGTGCCTTTCAAGTCTTCATGCCGTTTCCCTGTAAATTTCCATCTTTCTCTTTCCCCCTTTTTGTGCTTTTCTTGTTCCATCTTTAATGAAACCTGCTTAAAACAGTCCTTTGGCCTTCTTCAAATTGACCTGTTTCCACCCTGGCAGACGTTCATATTTGTCCCTCTTCATCTCCAGAGCCTCCTGCAAAGTACACACGCACGCGCCAGTTAATAAAAGTGCATAGCAAAGTGAAAATCAAAACAGCAACTGTAACGCACAATTAAAACAATCAATCGGTAATCATAAATCCATTTAACAGCACCCCTGTCAAATAAAAACCATCCAACCAATCCTTTGTTTTTCAGTAGTGCTTGTCCTCATTCGGGTTATGAGTAAACTATCCCGGCCGACTTTGGGCAAGAGGCAGGCTACACGCTGGACTGGTCTCCAGCCAATCGGCAAGGGTATAAAAGACAAACAAGCATTAATGCTCATATTGACACCCACGGACACTTTGGTGAAGGGAATATGTGTGTTTGCGAAAGGTGGGATGGATGAATTACATCGAGAAAACGCACACAAGGACAGAGGGTAAAGCACACAGGATGGCCAGAGCCAAAATTGAAACTCCGAACCTCAGATCTGAGGCAAACATTCCATTGTGCTGTCAGGTAACAACCAATCAGCTATCCTGTTTTTTGAGTTAGGTCATGTGCCGTGACTGGTCTTAGCTGAACTCTGATGTCATTTTCAGTCGACAGCAAGTGATAAAATGGCCGCCCATGTGAGATGGATAAAAACGAGTGGATTTTGCTGCTGAATTTGCATTTCACAAACTCAATATGAATTAGAATAACGTGTTTAGACTAGAGGGGCACCATACAACATATTATAATAAAAATGTGAGCTTCATTTTACCTTTCAAGACATTAGTAATATGCACACAGTGATTGTGACTGTCATGACATTTCTTTGGTGTTGCTATTTTTAGAATGGCTGAATCATTTTTAACACTTAGGTGCCGTTTCAGAAAAGTGTGAGAATTCTTGCGCTATGTGACATGCACCAACATGTGTGGCTAGCTGCTATTCATCATTCATTTGAATCATTGGTCATGCTTCACGTTGTACACTGTGAGAGTGATGCATTCATTTATTAATCTGGAGGAAAGTGAACATCAGGAAGAAAAAGAGTGACACGCATGTGTTTTTATGACACTTGGGAGGACGATAGCGCAAAGAATGCGAGGAAATCCATAGCTGCAGACAATCACAATGCAACCCACCACACTTCCTCTGGTTCAGTTCTTATTTTTCAAGGGTGGTCGTCGTGCACAGAAAATGTGATTCGGCAGTATGAGAGTTTAAAGGGTAATCTTACCTCAACACATCTAGTACTTGCTCTGAAAAGTGGGAGTTAAAGGGGACATATTATGGAAATGTGAGTCTTTAATAATAAATAATAAGAACATTATTTGTTTTTCTGCCTCTGTGTCTCAAAACCTGTCTGTGAACAAATCTTTCTGAATAATTTTACCAAATTGTGATGTCGACGTCCACATCTAATGTTTATGTGCTGAGGAGACGGGACCATGGAATGTTGTGTTATGGCGTAGCAGGAGGGTGTGAGCCAAAACAGCAATACGACTCAAATGTTAAAAAATTCTAATTGGGAGTGACATCGGAGTGACATCGGCGTGACATCAGAAAGAACAAGATAAGAACTTGAACGGCTTTATGAGCATTAGTAGTTATCTCGGGCAAGTTACTGAGTGATTATGACTAGGCCCATTTCTACTGCTACAGCAAAGAGTTAGCTAGCTATGCCTTCAGTCCGAAAATTTATCTTTCTTGGATGCAATAATTTCCTGAACGGCTCCCTCTGTGTCGTTCTCTAAATTTCCAAGGAAAGAGGTGACGCCACACAAGCCTGCTAGCTCATTGGCTAGCTGGTGAGATCTGTGAAGTTTGTCTAACATTACTGATATAGAGTATTGTTGGCAACCATATGGGGTTTGCCCCATTTTTCATTAAAAGCAACATTAACGTCTATTTCCCTGACCTCGAAGTCACGGTCTGACAAATAGATCTCCAGGCGTAGTGGGTCCACACCCTCCGGGAGCGGCCGGGCCCTCAGCTGGTCCAGCGGGAACGTGTTCTGACTGAGCCGGGCCAGCACGTCCTCGACCAGGATGATCTGGTTGCACACCTCTGCTTCCTGCAGCCACAACAATTGCTTTTTAAGGAGAAGCTCTTTGGTCCAAAATGTACGGTATTCATCTGTTACATTGAAATGTCGGTACTGTTGTAAACGATAGACACCTGTAATTTTTTACAACCAGTCAACCCACTTTAGGTTCCCGACCCAACAGTTGAGAATCACTGATCGATTAGTCACAGTTGTAGCTGTTGTGAAAGCGCTATATAAATCAGGATATATTTTATTGTATTGTAGTGTATTACATCAGCCATGTCATGTTTGCTGATCACACTTTACACAACAATTTACTTGTTTGCTGTAGGGTCCTGGGGGATCCAATAGGGGGGGGGTCTCATATAGGGCGCCATTCAAGCTAGGACTGCCACCAAACGTGACATTACCCTCTCTGAGATCTCGGCGACATCCTCCCGGTGCTCCCAGCTAGGAAACATGTTGGTGAAGGTGAGTGGTTCCAGTCCAGCGTGTATCAGGTATGACTTCTGAGGTTTCCGGTCACTCTTCTCTGCAAAAAACACAACAGACTGCCATTGAAATCCACTGGAAGTTTATCATGGGATATAGGTCGTCAGGAGGAAACTTAAAAACTGAATTATTGTCAAGGTATCTGTTTGAACCCACTAACTGTGATCAATGTTCTATTTATTTCAGATTTTCCCGTTAAATATTAATTGTATGTTGTTTTTTTCCCCCACAGCCCCCACCGAATAAGTTTTGGATACTCGTAGCTTCTATGGGGTGTCTGTTTCACATATTGTTGAATGGTAAACCTTGGTTGCCCTTGTGGTAATAAGTAAACTGCTTTATTACTTGATGTGATATAAAAAAAAGGCCATGCTAAGCTAAACTAAACTCAACTAACTAAACTATAGCAATGGGTTTAATAGTATTGGGCTGAAGGGGAGGGGGGGGCGGTAAGGTTACCCTTGCAGTACTGTAGCACCGTCTCCATGGCGCACTTCCTGTCCACATCCCAGCGCATGCGAGCTGATCCACTGCTCTCGCTGTCCTGTGGCCACCAGCCTTGCCACAAATAGACCTCGTGGAAGTTGTCCACCAGGAACAACGCTGGGAAAGCCACACAGTCCAGTATTCTTTTGAGTCTAAACCTTGAACTAAAGAAGGAGAAAAATAGCTTTGAGACGAGCCTCACCTGGTTGCACCACGTTGTAGAGCTCCTCCTGCAGGAAGGGCAGCGAACTGACAAGGTCCGGCGCACGGGACGGGTGGAAGAACTCGGTCGCCACAAACTCTCCTGATGTGCTGGTCAATTGGAAGAGCCGTGGAGTGAAGTTGAATTTTCCAGGGTCTGCAGGAAGACATATTTCCTTGTTACTGAACTCCACATGTTCATTTCCTGTGTACAAATACTTTTGTCAAATTTCACTTTTTTTTTTTAAAGCTGCATGTGTCACAAAACTTTTGTCCTAAGTTCACATTGTCTTTACTTTTTCTCCTTACAGAGTTGTCCCAATATCATTGTTTTGGGAATTCTGATACTGAAGCATGTTGCCTTGTGTTGGTCTGAGGTGTGAAACATGACCTTGTATGGGATTGTAAACACCAAATTACCCTTTTAAGGACAAAAGCTCAAAATTAATACAGTACTATGTATCATGAGAATACAGCTGTGTGAGGTGGACATTTGTCACCTTGCAACATGCAATCGTAGGCCTTCCTGTCCTTGTGTCCCAAAGCCTCCCAGAAGCCCGGCGGCTCCACGCCCTCGTCGCACTCATGAATGGTCACCTTACTGCTGTTGTGGAGTCCTGCTTCAAGAGGACACCTGAAGGGAAACATGTCCCAAAAGTATTTTGATACTATATTGTACCTATTTAATCATCCTCTCTCTCTCTCTCTCTCTCTCTCTCTCTCTCTCTCTCTCTCTCTCTCTCTCTCTCTCTCTCTCTCTTTCTTCACACCTTAATTGATAGAATATCATTTGTATTTATTTATTTAATTGAAGTTTTATTTTTAAGGACATTTTGCTTCTGTTTCAATGTATTTATTGATGTATTAATGAATTTATCTGTATTGACATTTGTATTTATTCAATAATATTTGCATTTATTTAAATTTTTTAAATAAGATTTGCATTTATTCAATGACATTTGTATCCAGGAAATGGCATTTTTATTTATTTAGGGACATTTGTATTTATTTGACTGAATTTGACATCTATTACCTGATGACTTTAATCATTAAATGAACATAATTTTTCCATTGACAGGTGAAACTCAAAAAGAATAGAAATTGTATTCATTAAAACTGAAGTGTATTTTTATTTTAATTAAAGTATTATTTTGCAATTATTTAAGGACATTTTTTAATAGTATTTGGATTATTTCAGTAAATGTTTCTTTAATATTTGTGAGCATTTGTGTATTAAATTAATAGTATTTTATTTGCAAAAACGTACATCTGTTTTACATTTAAAAATCAATTCATAAAGATGGTGTGTTCATATCACACAATTAAAAGAAACACAAAAAATAAACAAAAAAACCCCCCCTTACTGTTCTTTGATCTTGAGCGCCGCCGTGCTGGCCACACTGCGGGTGTGCACCTGTGTCTTGCAGCCGTGCCACAGGTAGATAGCTGCCTTGTCGACACTGAGCAGGATCATGGACGGTAGAGAGCGCAGGCTGCTGCAGAGGCACGCCACTTCTAGCAGGTGGCCCTCTGCCAGCACCTCACCACGCACGCAGTACAGACGCCATTCGCCTAAAAAAAAAAGCCAGTGAATGCCACAAATCAATAGGCATGAATCATGAACTAAAAATACGCGGGCACGCCACTTCTAGCAGGTGGCCCTCTGCCAGCACCTCACCACGCACGCAGTACAGACGCCATTCGCCTTAAAAAAAGCCAGTGAATGCCACAAATCGATAGGCATGAATCATGAACTAAAAATACGCATTTACTTTGGATATTCTCCTCCTCTTCTTCCCGCTTTCCGGCGTGGACGATCATTCCACCATTGAAACACTGCAGGAAACACGGAGGCTCTTTGCCCTGCTGCACTTGCACCTGATCAGAACAAAGAACACATTTTCCACACTCAGATCCTAAAAAAAATGTTGCATCACGGGTGTGAAGATCCACTTCATCTACAGAGAACTTCTAGATAAAACCAATACAATCTATTTACAGTACGACTGTGCATTTTATACAAAACCCAGCAAAGGGAACAATTGCATTTGACCAATTTGATCAATAGGCCAGAAAAAAGCGGCAGACGTTAAATGGGACACCTCTGTCCCGGCAGTCGCTTCCACACAGATGTTGCCGCAGCTCTGATACGGCTCGGATACGGCTCGGATACTACCTCGGAACTTGGAAATTGCCAGGTTGCCTGTGTGCCCCACTTTGTGCAGGCAAAATAGCATCTCATACAGACACTAGTTTTACACAGAGATCCATAAAAAAATTGGCGCATCAGAGCAAATGACAATCCTGACCGTCCATTACAGAGAACACAGTGAACATGACAAATACGTTTCAGCACAACAACGCGTACTGATTGGGCATGTAAATATTATTTATGGACTGATGAACCAGTCACAACCCTCGATGAACTCTGTCCGGCAACAAGTGTCATGACCAGAAAAAAAAAAGACTGAATTGTTGTTGATGTTGAAACAGTGCATGGGTGTGGCCAGCACATTCCATTTTTTTTAATGGACCAAAAGGCTAATCACAAACCGTATGAACTCTACCTAGCAACAAGTGATGTAAAAAGGAAAAAAGATTCCCTGTATTTCTACCTGAGCCCCTCTCTCCGCATCCAGCTCAACCGTCATCAATGCCGACGTTCCTTTCTCGCTAACAGTGGAGTGTCGGCCTTGCCAGAAGAAATAGCAACATTTCTCCCGTCCTGGTCCAGTGCTCCTCACCTCTGGGTTATTTCTGCGTCCCACTGAAGCAAAACCAAGCCGTTAAAAATCATCCACTGCGTGGAAACAGAACCCAGAGTGAAAGGCAGGACATACCTGACGTGCTGACCATGTACTTCCATTTGACCACGTAGGCGTCACCTTCGTGGAACTGGCCGATGCTCTGGCGTGGTAGGCGGCTGTAGTCGAACTCCAGGATGTGCCACACATCCACCGAAAGGGTGCTGATCTCTTGAGTCCTCATGTGGTCCTCTGTCTCCACTGATCCATAGCCTCGGCCCACATTCACGCCATCCAAGATAGTGGTGGCAGATGACTGGAGGAGCGGCAGCATCAGGCTGGCGTCATACGGCCGGCACTCCCGCTTTGTGGACTTCTGGAAAAACGGCCCAGTGGTAAATAAGGCTAAAAATCAATCACTTCGACTCCGAGTTGTGGTTTCTAAACCTGACCGGTACAGTCAATCAGTATTTGATGCAAACCTGTTGTTCTGATAGCTGATCGCTCACTTCTGTCGGTGACAGTGGCGGCTTCACTTCGGACCAGTCCCCAAACTTCTCCTTGAATAAGATGGTCTCATTGTACTCGGTGAGCCTGCCGAATATCGCCCATTCGGGACGGCCTTGGCCCTTCCTGCGGCAGATGATTACCGTATTGACAAGGAAGTGGTTGTTCAAGGCGAACCACTTCAGCTTGGGTAGTTGGTATCCTTTACATCAATTACACCTGTGTCCTTCGCCAGAGATTTCAAAACTATAATCCAGGGTTCATACCTTGGTATTAAGGTGTTGCAGCTTGGGTAGTTGGTATCCTTTACATCAATTACAAATGTGTCCTTCGCCAGAGACTTCAAAGCTCCGACCAGTAATCCAGGGTTCATACCTTGGTATTAGGGTGTTGCAGCTTCCGGGGTCCAGGGGGTTGATGTCGCAGCAGGTGTAGTCAAAGGTACCATTCCAGAGGTGTTTGGCCAACTGAAAGGCCACCTTCCTCTGGGCCAGCGTCACTTCTTTGCCGTGCCACACGTACACCTCGCTGCCGAAGTCCAACACCACCACCTGGTGCGCAGACCGTGAGCCACAGTGAAACTTCAACATATTAAAGCGTAACCATGGTATACCAACACTAGGGGTGGACATCTTTCTGAAAAGTGATGTCCAGAGTGTTTTTGGCGCACCGCCGCTGACCTCGTTCGATGACAGCAAGGAGCAGCGAGGGACCTTCCCCCATTCATCATCATCAGGCATCAATTTGTCAGCGACCAGGCGAAAGATGCAGTTGGTCTCCACGATGGCGTTCTCAAAGCGGTCGTCCTCCTCTGGCGGACCAGCAGCTAATCGCCGAGACAGGAAGTGTGTCAACCTTTTTTCCATTCATAGATAAAATTTGGATCATTTCTTACGTTGGTAAGGAGTCTGTCCTCCGAGAATGGTCCAAAACTCTTGTGAATCTGGACTCTGCATTTGGGCGCCTTCCTCGATGATCTGTACCTTAGTTGCCCTGCAGCCCAAGTCTTTCTTTGTTTGGATGTACATTGCCAGATCCATAGCCTAAAAAAAAAACAAAAAAAAACATCCATCCATATTCAGGAAGGGGCTTATAGTAATGATGAATTAGACGTAATCACGTAATGTAGAACTAGAGATCACCTTGGCCCTCTCAATGACATTAGAGAACTCTCCTATCCACACAAAGCAGTGCTCGGGTGTCACGAGCAGGAAACAATCCCCGCTGTTCAGTGACGATGCTCTCGGCTCGACTAGTCTGGTCTGAACGTGGCGACGGCCTGAAAGAGAATATCGTAGATGAGACAAGAGCACTGGGTGGGTACCTTGGGTAAGAAACTTACTACCTTTGATGTGTAGAAGCATGAGGTTTTTGTACGGGACAGCGCTGTTGTTAGATGTGGGCGTGTCCGCTACGTTGACGCTGCGCAAACTCACAGTGCTGTAGTTCTCCTTACTGGACAAACCTGCCAGAGCTGCATCGGAATATTCTGATCTTTTAATCGCTGCAACATAGAGGAGGACCACTTTCAAGCAGAATGACAAACAGCGGGTTTTTTTTTGTTTTTTTTTTTTGTTTTTATCTAAGGTCAAATCTAATTTCATATCTCAGATAATCTAATTTAACTAAACCACTTTAGTAAGTAACTGACTGACTCAGATTGACAAACTAACTAGTAGTAATTTGAGAAGTTAAAAGATAATAATGTTGTAATGTCAGGAGTGTGTCTTCCATGCACTCACTCTTGTCGGAGGACATCCTCTTACTTTCCAGCTGAGCCACATTGAGCCTCTGCTCGGTGTACTCGTGTCGTATGTCCTGGCGGGCGGCCAGCATCTTGACGGGATTGCGGGAGGCCTGCACGTTCCTGGATGGACGCACAGAGCGCTTGTGCTGCACCATAGCCGACGTCAGCCTGCCAGAGCCCTGCTGTGAGCCGAAAATGGCGTCGAAGTCCTCGCCGAGCTCGATACGCGAGGGTATGTTTGGCAATTCAGCCACGCGGCGGTAGAAGTTAGAGAAGATCTCGTCGTCCAGCTTCATCACTTCCTTAACCGCCTTCTCTGTGACTGTCAGAGTGCTCTCCTGCAGTTCGGACACTATGGACACGAGAAGCCGGAATATTATGGACAGCTAAAAATGACCGCTGCCAAACAAAAAAAAAATGTACCTTTGCTGTTGAGGCGTCCCAAGAAGGTCTCCAACTTGTCCAGCTTTTTATCTGACTCCATGTCTGCTCTGGCTTCAATGCCTACATAGAATGACCAGATGCCAATTAAAGTCATCTAACCGAACACAAATGCTCTTTAGTGAATATGATGTGTGACAACATTCAAACGCACCCTCCTGAGGTTTCACCAGTGTGGTGCCGCTGCCCTTGAGCTTGGTGGAGACGGGGGAAAGGATCGGCCCCATGACCGAGGAGGAGGCAGCCAGGCCTGCCCAAAAACAAAAAACCAAAAAACATTTGACCAGGTCGGCCCTCATCCAAACAATATGATGAAAAGCACATTGTTTTTAAAAACATTTGACCAGGTCGGCCCTCATCCAAACAACGTGATGAAAAGCATATTGTTTTTCAGCATAGAATGGGGTGGGCAAAATATAACCCATGTAAGTGGGATACATTCCGCTTCACAAATTCTCCAAAGCAAAACCTAATTTTCTGCGGACCTTTCTTCACCATGCGCGCTGCCACCGTGTACTGGCCGGAATCGTTGGCCGCACCCTTGCCCTTGCTCTTCCAGGCATCCTCTCGCATTGAGATCATCTGTTTCCTCTCCTCAATGGTCATCTGGGCTCCCTTGTCCTCCTTTCTGGCCGGCTGAGCCTGAAAACATAGGATAACGTTTGTCGACGTCTGCGAGGCTCACATTTAGCTTTGGTGGGATTTGGTTAACTCTAATCCCTAAACAAGTATGTCACCTCCCCTGTTAAGAACAATCACAGGAACGGCATCGAACCAAGCGGAAAATCTGATTCACTCAAGCATGACAACAAAAAAAAAATCGTTTCTCCAGGATCTCAACTCCACCAAAATAAATAAATAATTTGAAAAAAAGGTTGGATACCAAGCGAGGCAAATCAAAGCCGCCACCCTGCTTACCTGAGCGTGATGCTCAATGTACTGACACTTTTGTCCAAGGGAGAAAGGAGGAGAGAAAGTGGAGGAGAAGACAGGTTCCTGAGGATGGAGAGGTGGAAGGATGAGTGAAAGGGAAGAGGAAGGAGGAAGGGAAAGAATGCACGAGCACGTACGTCAGAAATGTGAGAAGTTTCATGCCTAAGCTAATTGGAAAGTAGAAATCTTCTGGAGTCTTTTCGTGTATCGGGTCTTGACACTGTTATGGGTCCTCAAATTACACAAAGCCACCCCCACCACCCCCACTAAAAAAAAAAAAACATACAATTGATATTTTGCTCAACCCTTCATGCCGCAAAGTGCCACCCACTGACTCTTTGACCCAATTACAAATGACACTCATTCACCTTCACTGTCTCATAGTTGTTGGATCTTAGAGAACTCAAGCAACAATCCACGTAACATAGTTGCAATTCAGTGCAATAAATTATTACTATAGCATAGTACAGCAACAAGGAGCGGCCCTGCTCCTTGAGTTTTCAAAATTGTATTGGCCTCTATTCCCAAAAAAGTCATGCCAGTGCTCCGAACAGCAAGCAAAGGAGGTGCAATCAAGCTGCAAACGTGACTGAATGACACGGCCGCCCCTTTGAAGGTGATCGGCTGAAATGAGGGCCTTACCCAAAGCTGATCTGACACGCACCCTCCCGAGTGGTCATGGATGACCATCTCTTCCTCCTGATGGGAGGGGGGGGTGAGGGTGGGGGTTCAGGGAGGACACAAGGGATGGTAAGAGAGGGGGCGATATTTGGAGAGGGTGGTCTTGTCCATTGGGTTTATCATGTGACCAATTCAAAATGGCAGACAACATGAAATGCATGTGGCAAGTGCGTGATGGGAGATGTGTGTTGTCGCGGCGTGTTGACGTCACACCTTCTGATGCGTTGGCTCAGCCTCTTGTTGCCGGGGCGCCTCGGTGGATGCCACATTTGCCACTTCCTGTTTTTTGTTGATCCGGTTCCTCCAGTCCTCCTCGCCGCTCTTCTTCAGCAGGGCCACTCTGACGCAAATGCACAAATACTTTTGAATCATTACCTGTCAAGGGTGGTGCCTCAAAAACATCAAAAGCCATTACGTTACGCTTCCATCAGGGCCGTGTTTATTCTCACTCGCCCTCCATGAAAATTCTGTGGATAAGTCTACACACTCATTGTTCAAATGTTTGGCTTTTGGGACGTAAAAAAAAAAAAAAAAAAAAGAGACTATGATGGTAGATGATGGTCATTGTTACGTCAAATGCCTGTGTCAAAAACAATGTATGTGTAAGAAAAACATAGACAAGTGTCAATCAATTGGCCTCCAGACCATCAGGGGGCGACCATATGCCAAACCACAATCCATTGAGCACATTCAGGATGCACTCCAAACCGGCAGAGGGTGATCGCACCAACAGCTGATAGAACCAAAATCTCAGGAAGTGCTACTGCATAAAAGGAACATTACCGTAACTCTTGATGAATCACAAGACGTAACTGGTAGTAAAAACAACTTTGACTTCATTGAAACTTTGTGTGAACTTAGCACTTGAGTATGATGTGCCCGTGAATCGCCCCAAATAAAGTTCAGATGTTCTTGCAGCCTTTCCCGGCTTTGAAATTATTTATCTTGGTGTATTTTTTTTAATAAAAAAAAAAAAAAATTGGCATTTGAATATGGGTGCGTAGACTTTTTATATCCACGGTATTTCTACTACTACTACTCGTGTAGTTCATGAAAATAGCAATCACTCAAGGGTGATAATTCAGGTCACATCAAGCACGACTGAACGAGGAAAGCTGATAGAAGAGAAAGTGTGTCATCACATCTCCTGAGTGAGTTTGTGGATGCATAAAATCTAATGGAGCTCAAGTGTCTGATTCAGTCATTTTCAACTGTTTCTTGAACGGTCACAGACAGCAACATCGGAAATTCAGCCTAACACTAAATACATTTTAAACCAAACCGTAACCTTAACACCTAAAAATAACACTCGAGCCTTCTACCTTACGCTTAATCCTAACCTGTCAAATCCTAACACAACCCAGGAATGCCATTTTTTGAAACAATATGCAATAAATCTAACTCCACACGCCTTTACTCGAATCCCTGATGCCTCTAATATTTTTCTTTGTTTTTTGTCGCGTTAGTGGTCGCTATAGCGTTTCGTCCTTTTGACGACAATCGATGTATTTTGACCTACGTCATCTGGATACTCACCTCTCCTTGATGGACATTTGTTTGCTGGACATGCCGTAAGGCAGCCGGTCCGCGGAACCCGTTGGGGACAGTCGATTAACCGACTGGCCACTAAGCCTGCTGTAGTCGTCGCTGTGGCTGTGCTCCAGCGGCAACGACTGAGACTTGACCAGCGGGTGGGGGAAACCCTGTGGTTTTGGCGGCGTTGGCGGAGGCACTTGGAGTTTGGGTAGGGGCTGAGAGTCCGGTTGAAGGTAAGGCTTGGAGAGGAGTTCCTGAATTTTGGCCTGGCTCTGCTGGGGCTGAGTGAATGGTTTTGGATACGTCGGAGGGGATTGGGATGGCTGTACGTATAAGTGGGGCTTCGGTGGCTCTGCGTGGGTTTGCGGCAGGAAGGATTTGGGTGGAGTCGGGGGAGGCTGAATGACAGGATGGGTCTGCTGGGCGCTTGAGACTTGAAATGTCGTGGAAGACACTGTGCTTATCAAAGGTCTCGGTGACACTGTGCAATCCCGCAGATCTGAAAGATTAATACATAAAATATGTGGCTTTAGTTGTAATACCACACCAAATGCCTAACTCTACCCCTGATACCAAACTCGAAAACTATGACATGAGTTTTTATCCCTCTTCCCCAGAACCCAAAGACTCCTAGGTGCTGCTAGGCTGCTTCTGGGAAGAAGGCTAGCTAACCCAAAGCCCAAACCCTTAAACAAAACCCAAATTATGAACCCTAACCCTAATGCGTAACCCTAACTATTAAATCCCCGGCTGCTGTAGCTGTATTATAATTGGAAAAAAAAGACACGCAAGAAATACAAAATGTGTCGATACTTGAGAAACTACTGCCAATGATCAATCATTAACTGCACTTGTGCAGAGACTCGTCATGTATCACTTTTCAGCCAGTAAATTATGAATATAGTTAAGTATTATTGTAAAACACAATATAGCGTATAAACTGTATTAACTGTGCCGATATGGCTTGGCAGTGGGGTTCTTACAAACCCCGAATGACTGCCACAGTGTTCTGCCACTTGGAATTTTCATGTAAAGTGAGATTCCGTAGGAAACAAACCTTTGGTGACACCGTAATTTACACCCGTCCAGGGTCATCCAAGGGTCACAGATGACTATTTTGTATACAGAAATCGGACTGCACATGCGTGATGGGAACATTCAGCACTGCCTCTGGCGGTCAGTAGGGATGAAGTTATGTTTGGTCATGTCACGTTGTTTAGTGCTTGGGTCGAACCCTAACTCCGAACACTAAAAGGATGGGATATCCTGGACTATTGGCTCGTAAATGGCATGACACATACAAAGAACTGGCTGACACGTTGCTACACCATCAGTGACAGTTAATTGATGCGTGATTTCTCAAAGCTAAAATTTCATCTGTTATGGTGCTGATCTTCCTTGGTGGAGGTTAGTCTGATCCAGTAAAACCTATTCAAGTGTGACTGATTCCCCTTCTAATGGTATTCGATTTGTAAAACAAAGCCGAGATAACTCGGGTTTTACATCTCTATTGTGTCCTTGCATAACCAGTTGGTGTAATCCGACTGACCGCAACTGGCCGCCTTAAGGATGAAACGTGTTGCTAGCTCCATCTCTTTGGGGACAAAGGGATCCACGCGGTACAGCCGAATATTAATGAGATGCGTCCCAAATAAATACAACTGTCCCTCCGGCTCCTTTACCCCCCACCTTGCTGAGGCAAGCTCAGCGAGCAATGATGTGTGGGAGCACAATGAGGGTAATGAGGAGGGTCCACCGCCCTTTCTCGGCTTCCCTTTTGTTCAGTCACCAAACTAGTCTCCTACCTGAGAGTCTTTCTTGGCTGACGCTGCCACCATCTCCTGCTGCCTCTTCTCCCAGGTGGTGGCTTCTTCCTTCTTGTCCTCTTCCCCCCTCTGCGTTCTTCTCCTGGGTATCGCCGAAGGCTCTACGGCTGGGATGCGCCTCCTCCTTGTCGTGCTCCTCCGCCTCCGCCTGATGCCGGCGAAGAGTGCCGGAAGAAGGGGCGGGAGAAGGGAGTCCCCCCAGTTGTTGTTCAGAGCTATTGGGGCGGAGCTTGGGGTGGCCTGGGTCCCCCTTGCTTTGGGTAATTGAGAAGTACCGCGATGCCCTCTCCTGGTAGTCTGCAGTCGTGGTAGGGGTCTGTTGTTGGGTGATAGTGCCCCCCTCGTGGGCGATGTTGCTGCTGCTGCATGCGGGCGTCACGGTTACCATGGTAATGGAGGCATGAGAGGGGGCAGCTGCCACAGAGCGGACAACGGAGGCGGGGAGGGGCTCTAGTTTGACTTGACTGCCCTGTTTTAACTATAGGGAAGAAAAAAAAAAATCATAACTCATATATATGACCAAAAGTATTGGAACACCTGCAAGAAGTAATAACATGGAAGTTTGAAAAAATAATTGGAAAACATACAAGGAGTAAAAAGTGGAGTTTGAACAAAAGTATTGTGACACCGACAATAAGTGAAGGGATGCTGTTTGGACAAAAGTATTGGGACACCTACAAGAACTAAAAAGTGAAGTGTCAAAAGTATTGGGACAGGGGCAGGCAACAAAAAGTAGAGTTTGGACAAAAGTATAAAGGCAAATGTATGATGTAATTTTTTGTGTTAGGTCAAAAGAATATTGGGAAACCTGCATGAAGTAAAAAAACGGAACAAAGTTTTGAGACACCGAAAATATATGAAAAGTGGAGTTTGGATAAAATGATAGGGACCCACAAGAAGTGAAAAAGTCAAGAGGAAAATGTGTGTTCTTCCTGCTTGACTCAATAATGTCGACTGAGGAGCCAACTGGAGGCTCAGTCACCTGTGAGGACACCATCTTATTCATGGAATAATTTGACATTATAATCTGTATTTAAAAGAAAAAATTTAAATGCATTGTAATCTTGACAGGTGAAATGAATTTTACTTCATTCAAGAATTTCCAGTATCCTTAACTTTTTGCGAATAGTGTATTTAATGTAGAGAGAATGTACCCATTCCACTTCGCTCTGGGTAATGGGCTGCGTCTGAAAGCGGGCAAGAGTGCGACGCTGGCGGGCGGTGTCACTCTTCGGCGACACATCGTCCGCCGGATGGGCGAGCCGGTTGAAGAGGGCCATCTTCTCGGCCAAGCTGAGCGTGGATAGGTGGTCTCCCTCCACTTCAGGGATCTCGTCCTCTTGGGTCACCTGGACCGTCTCCTGGGGGGCTGGAGCTGCTTGGATTCTGAGGACAGGGTCCAAGTGTTAAGGCCAGGCAAATGTATTTATATTGCACATTTCATACACGAGGTAACTCAATGTGCTTCACACAAAAACAAAAGCACAATTCCTAAAAAAATCAAACAGCGGCAGCTCATTCAAAATATTGCAGCTCGGGTTCTGACCACAACAAAGAGATCAGAACATAATACTGCAGGCCTGAAGGCTTTACACTTACTCCCAATTAGCTGTAGAATAGATTTTCAAAATTCTGAGACTTTTCTACAAATCATTAAATGGTCCTGAATACGTCAAAAAAAAAATCGGATTTAACATAAACCCTGTAGGCTCTGAGATCTGTAGACTTGGGACAGTTAGTGGAGACCAGAGTTCAAAGTAAACATTGTGAAACTTAAATGTAGCCGTTAAGATACACACAAATGGAATCAATTTTTTTAAAGAAACTTTATATTCTTCATAATTAATTTACTGAAAAATACATCAAACTTTTTTTTTAAATCTTCTGTTGATGTTTTTAAAGGTTGTCAACGTACATTCTAGTAATTTTTGAAGGCGGTCTCAAGCCTGGGTTACACTAACAAAATAGGTTAGGGTTTCAAATACAAATACCGGAATACCAAGAACCGAGTGTCCTAGTGGACATCATCCAGTTGCCCAGGATTTACGTCGTATAAAGTTGCACTGCAAATCACTTGTTAAGAAGTGTGTGAAATGGGTCGTGAAAGATTCGTGTTTGTTTGTTTGTTTGTTTATGGTGCCCAACTTCTGACATCTGAACCTTGTAAGAATGCAAAGAACGCAGGAAGCGGGAATGCTGGGGATCATCATTGGTGAGTTACTGTGTAAACAGCAGCTTCTTTCCCCTATAAGGTGCAGCAAGGCGCTCATGTGTTGGGACAGCATATCAGCATAGTCACCACCAAGGGACAACGGAGTGACATCTGTGTGCAGTCTTCCTCATTTCAAAAAATATCAACTCAATAAAAGTATTTTTATTATTATCGTTGATGAGGCCATGTTTTTTTTTAGTACTGTAATGAATAATGGGATGTAGCCGCCTGTTTTCTTGCATTTTCATTGGATCATTCTCGTTGTATTGTGTTACCTGGTGGTCGTCACAGTGGCGCTGACAACAGCTGAACTGGCGGTGCTGGCGCTGGGGCTGGTGTGGCTTCCCACAGTGTGTGATGATGTGGAAGGTTCACTTAGAAGAGGGGGTTAAAAAAAAAAAAAAACTCAAATTAAGAAAACAACAGCTGATGCAAAATCAACACACTCTGTACTTAAGGCTGGCAGAGATAGACGTGCAGATTCAAAACATTCATTAAAAGTAAAAAGGTACATACTCTGAAATGTAAAAGTGAATTTTTCAATCACCTTCTTTTATTAACTTGCATATATATTGTGTTCTGAGAAGGGAAAAAAATGACTGGGCACAGAACAGTAAAAATGCTAAATTATCTGAAAACAACAGAAAAGAAAAACAGACAGTATCCGCATATATTTTTTCAGGTTAGATGTCGAATTGAAAAAAAGAGCTTTTAAACTTTGAAAAATAAAGGTTCTACATAGTGCCCAAATGTGGATGGATGTGTTTGTACCTGCAAGCGTCGACCACTTCCTTGCCGGTGACGGGCTGAGTGTGCGAGCGATCCTGGACCCTGCGTAGACGGCGTTCCACGGCAGCATTTCGAGAGCGAGGCTTGGGAACACCACCCTCCAAAGTCTTTTCCAACTCCTGACGAGAGAGACAAAATTTTGACTTGCGGACGCAACATGACATGAAGATGTGTGCAGACAAGTGGAAGTCATTTACCCTGAAAAGGGACCTCTTGGCCGCCACACTCATCTTGGCTCGCTCGTCCAGTTTTTCTTCATCCACTATGAAGCGGAAGAGTAAAACTTTAGGGTTTGAAGTCAGGGTTGGGGTTTCAACCAAGGTTTCGGATTTTGAATAAGGGTTAATGTTTCACATGGAAGCCAAGATTATGATTACAAAGGTTTCAAACAAGGGTTAGGGTTTGCAGCATGTACATGAATGGTCAGATTAGAAATCACCTTCAACATCTTGCACCAGTGCTGGACTAAGATAGGACCTGTGTAAAAAAAAACAAACAAACCATGATTCTTGGCTCGCTCGTCCAGTTTTTCTTCATCCACTACGAAGCGGAAGCGTAAAACTTTAGGGTTTGAAGTCAGGGTTAGGGTTTCAACCAAGGTTTCAGATTTTGAATAAGGGTTAATGTTTCACATGGAAGCCAAGATTCTAGTTACAAAGGTTTCAAACAAGGGTTAGGGTTTGCAGCATGTACATGAATGGTCAGATTAGAAATCACCTTCAACATCTTGCACCAGTGCTGGACTAAGATAGGACCTGTGTAAAAAAAAACAAACAAACCATGATAGCTTTTCAACATCCAATCAGAATGTTAACTTCTCAGAGTATTCTGTGAGGACTGCCTTCTCGCACCTGTCAGTCTCCAAACGTTCCGCAGATGTGATTGGTTGAGTCCGACTCCTTTCAGACATGCGGCCGTCCCCCGGTGTGATGTAGCGGCGGGGCCTCCGAGCAGCTCGGTCCCCCCGGGGATCCATGCCACTCGCTGCAAGCTCTACTTCCATCGCTGAGAAATGGGTACTCTCGCTTTGATTGACAAAGAATGAGGCAGAGTGCAAGTTCAGCTGAGGGTGCAAATGTAACAATGGCGTGTAGCAGTTAGCCACAATTAGCATGCAGTAAGAAAATTTCACATGATTAGTGTTTCAAGCCTGGGTTGAGTCTTCAAACATGGGTTAGTGTTTGAATTTAGGGCTTCCCGTCTGGGTTAGGGTTTCAAAGAATGGTTACGGTTTCAAATTAAGCTTCCAAACTAAGGTTAGAATTTGATGTTTGGGTTTCAAAGTATGACCATCACATTGCCTCTGCCGCAAAAGTTAATTGGTTTATTTGTCCATGTGAATGCAGTGTTAGAAGGTCCATTCTGAAACCAAGTTTGGATCCTGATTTGAAGTTCAGTCTACTGTTCAGACACAAATCATGTTGAGTTTATGCCTGGGGCCTCGGGCCTCCTATCAGCATCCCAAACGTTAGCCTTGGTGGAGGTCTGCATTTAACTGCTCTTGTTTGATGTGTTATGGATTGGAGTAGCATCCTATTGCCGAGTTAGTCATGCAACCGAACACGACAGAGCCCATGCCAGCGAACGTACAAGTCAGGCTTTCTGTTGGCGTTCTCCAGGTAAGAGTGTCGCAGCTGGGCCACTGATACTCGAGTGTCCAAGGTTCCCATCTCGCCATTAGCCGCCCCTGATAAAGGCACAGGCCTGGAGGAGGTCTCGCGGGTGGCGGTAGCCCTCTGCCTCCGGTACATGACAGAATCCTCGCTGATACCAATGTCTGACATAGAGCGGATTCGTGTTTTGGGTTTGGGCCCTCCACCTGCTTCTGTGCTTCTGTGCTTGGCCTGAGGTAAAGAAGAACCCTTCTGAAGATAAATAGCTGAGTCGCTCCTCTGCAATTCTTGCTGCCTTTGAGGCTCTGAGACTTCATACCGCCGGGCCTCTTCCACTCTCATCAGATGAGCTTCTTGTCGTGTCTGGTGTTCTCCTTTGAACTCCTGAGGCTTCCTTGAGGAGTTGTACTGATACTGTTGTGGAAGATCTTCCTCAGCACCCCTTCTGATTTCTGTCTGAAGCATGAGTGACTCTGGATGGTTGAACGTTTCCGAGGCATTCTCCGTGTGCACTAGTCTTAACACTCTGTCCTCTTGAGTCTCATGACCCGAGAAACGATGCCTCCTTCGTTCTCGTATCTTCTCTGTGTTCCTTTCCCGTCTTCGCTCTCTGGGTGAATGACAGGCTTCCTCAAATTCTTGACTAAGTATCATCTGTTCCGGGCTGTTCGTATGACTCTCCACATTTTTGTTTGGATCTCTGTGAGGATCATCTGCCGTCTTTTCTCGCTTACGGATTTCGGATGGCAACACCGCTTTCCGGCTCTTCAACAGACCTTCCGTGTGGACTTCTTCTTTGGAGGCTTGCTGGGTCTCCAACCTTGCCTCCAGCCTTGCCTCCTTGTGTGCTGCGTGAATTTGGTCAGCGCTCACTCGCCTTCGTGATCCCCCGATCTCTGGGGGACTGTGGAGTTGGCCGGTGGACATGGGGAGGTTTTGGTAGTCAATGGAAGGTTGGTAGTCATGAGTAGAATGAGAGTGACCTGGACTGGGGCGAGGCTGAGGAATAGTTCTATACTGTCCGGGTTCCGGGCCGTGTGCAAGCGGGTTCTCCTGAGTTCGGTGTCTGGTACTGTGATGTCTGTCTGTTCTCCACTCAGGAGGCCTCTGTGTACTGCCTCTGATTCTTAGGCAAAGGAATGTACAAGGGGAGTCAGTAAGCATGAAAAACAAAACACGCTCAAAGGAATTAGCCAGTCAAGAAATTCAATCCTGGTGTAAGGTAGGTGAACTGCAAAATGATTTTTTTTTAATGTTCTCACAAGCGCTCCATTGGTGGATTAATTTGACACAGACGCTACCCATGGCAAAAAAAAACCCATAAAGGTAAGGACTGTTAGGAACGAGTCATTGGATTCAAACCGTCTAAAGTGATTATGTGTGGTACAATCAGTCAAAGTTAATGTTCAGATGATTCCTTGCTACTTCCTACCTTGACGACCAGCTGATGAGTGTCTGTGTTATGAGTACAGTCGCTCTTTGACAGGACAGCAAGGTTACGGACAATGTCAAACTGTCACCGATACTTCTTGTCTTGATCGTCAACTGTTTGGTCAAGCTAGTTATGTCTTCTGGTAAAGTCTGGTCAGAATCAGAGGGTTACAGAGGCAACACTTTGGCAGCGAGGCTTACTTCGGCATTGAAAGCTGGCTGAAACTATTTATTACAGACATAGGGTTTAGTGATGCATCTAACTGTCGAAATCAATGATTCCCAACCCCTGCACATTAGTGTGTCAGCAGAGATCAACAGGTGTGTAGCGGGACATTATCTAATTTCATTTAATTGGTCAAAAAAAAGATCATTTATTTGGTACAAATAATCTATGATCACCTATATCGACGCCCGTGACGTTAAATGACAGGCAAAACAATTAAATGCTCTTCCACGAGATGATAGAATGCACAGTTAATCAACTAAATAGTCTCAGCTTTCATACCGAGAAAGTAGATTTGTGAGAAAGCTGAGATCATTATTTCAGTTCTTCAATAAAAGGTTTTGAAAACCATGTTTGAGACATGTGGTTTTTACTCGGTTCATCAAAACCCCAAGCACGCGGAAAGAGCCCTCGGCCTTGAGACCAGAACAAAATCAAGGCAACTTTTTATGAACTCACCCCTGCCTGTTGAGAATGCTTTGTGCCTGCTGCTCAATGAACAAATCCCCAGGTGAGATACCGTAGCGGGTTGATGGCAGTGAGGCCCGGCGGGCAGTGCGAGGAGACCCGGGCACCGCTGTGACGCTGGACTCCCTGCTGGAATTGGGACTCTGCTCTTTATGTGTTGCATCTATGTGGTGGTGGTGAGTGGGATTTTGCTGCTGCTGCTGCTGTTGCTGATTATGATGATGTTGGGGCAGAGGCACATGGTGCTCCTGGGCCCTGATTCCAGATGTGCATTCTTCAGCGCCGCCTCTCCGGTAGTTTTCGATGTTCATGGCTCTTTCCTGTTCTAAGAATCTGCTATCTTGCGTAGGGGCTGAAGCTTGGTTTGTGCTGATTGGGCCTGGTGGAATTGCGGATGCAAGGTCTGGGTGAGTCCTCATGTAAACTCTGCCCACACCAGAGCGGTACGGGCCACCAGTTTCATCTTCTGTTGGTTCTGTTTCTGGTCTATCTCGTCTTCCAGCTGAGTGTCTGTCGGCAGCGGAATCTTGGTCGAGTCGCACACGGTAGCGAGATGCATAATCAATGTCCGCTTCCTGGTCGAGAAGGATGCCGTACCGCTCTGAGAGCTGCTTCCGTCTCTCGGCTTTGTAGCGGGCGATGCGCTCGGCCTTGGATCTCAGATCGGCTGCGTCTGAGGGTGTGGACGCTGGTGTCGACGAGGTAGATAACGTCACAGGGTCGACATACACCAACATTGCCTCAGTGCGGCTGACTCCAGCTCTGGACTGGCACTGTGGAGATGTCACAGGCTTCTGGGGTGCGTCCAGCTCCTCTCGACTGAGGCGCCTCACTGCGGTCGAGAATAAGCAAATCTTTCGGATATTTCAGTTAACAGAGTACAGCAAGGTCCTGTGTCAACTCACTCATCACACAAGGATCGCAGGGGTCCGAGGCCCTCGTGTACCGATGTGGGTCCTCTTCCAGCATTCTGTTAGCAACCAAACCGCCAGGCAGCAGGACTGGCGGAGCGTCACTTTCAATCCCTTCCAGACGGCGGGCCATCCTCTCCTTCCTGAAATCATAGGCAAAGAGTCATGCTGAATTTGAGCATTTTCTTTTACTTCCAAATACTGTACACTAAGTAACTAGTAACAAATGCCATATAGTCACGTCTGTAAGAAATATCTTATTAATCAGGTCAACAATCAACAAATGTTTAACTTGTTCCAATATTTATAGCAAATCCTGATGTTGGTGATCTGAACTGCACTGGGATGAACCAAAGGAAGATTGTGAATTGATACTGAACGACTTTTTGCTCAGCACAACTAGAAGAGCAACTGGTTGTGTTGAGTGCTTGTGCAACATGTCTCACCAGTCATTCGCCGCAATAAAAATAACAAGGCCACAGTTTTTTTTCTACTACGATTCTTCGTCTTGTGCCAATACACGTTCTCTCCCGGATCACTTTTGGTAATATGACAGACATTTGGCTTCAAAGACAAGACTTGGTTATATGTTTGGTGTGGTGTGCTGGTTATTTTGAGTACACCCGGATTATTTTCTTGTTATGAGTGAGGTCTTTCACATTTTTAAAATTTCAGTTTAAATTCCCAGTTTATGTATACCCCGCTTAAGGAGTCCATACCTGTTCATCTCGAAATCTGCTGGAACAGCTCCCTCGAAGTATTTCTTCAATTCTGAAACTAAATGTTATAGTACCGTTTAAAAAAAAATGCACAGCACTAAAAAACAAACAAACAAACAAAGAAACCAATGCGCACCCTTGGGAAGTACCACCAGCAGTTTGGCATCTGTATCTGAAATGCTCTTGACCAGGGCGGCCTTGTCGTGCAAAGAGAAATCACTCTGAAAACTAAATGTCAAAAAATGAGAATACAAATAAAAGAAGGAAAACTGACTTGAAAAAAAATGAATGCACAATCAGCAGATTAAGGAGTTGATGGTAAATGACTCTTGTCTTAAAGGGTGACGCGAGGTGAAAGTATCACACCGCCACAATTCAACTCAAGAACGCGGTCATTGAGCCTTGACATTCTCTATCAGCCTGGCACAATATTTTTGTTAACTATTTTGATCATACAAAGCTATTTTCAAATTTGGACACATACAGTGATGTTAAAAAGGACAAAGACAAACAACAACAATAACAACAAGCCTCTTTTAGCATCTTTTTGATATTATACAGTGAAAAATATGGTCAAGCAGGATTGGATTTTTTTTTTGTGTGTGTGCCTTAATAAATTAAATTGGCATTTAGAAACTACATTTTGTGTTTGTGTCTGTTTTGATATTAAAATTGGTGATACATATAGAAAGAACACAGAAATCAGGAAGAGGGCAAATACTTTTTCACAACACTGCATTTCCTCTTCACTGTGTTTACTTAAAGAACCGCAGGAGTCATTATAAACATGATGCAAAAGAGGCTTAGGGGAATCATGATTCGAATGCTATGGATATTTTTTTAATATGTGTCTGGGAATTTACTGTTCATCAGCAGCATTTAATGCTGACCGGCATGACAACATAAAGCTGTCTATGCTGACATACTGCATCTCTTGTCTTGATGACCAAGCATGCGGTATGAAGAAAATGGTCAGCGATTCTTAGCTTGTTAACTAAAATGCTAACATTATGCTATGTGGTCGGCCGCATAGTCATTTGAATCAACAGTCTCCAAACTTTTACCATGAACTTGTATTAGAAGTAAAATGACGTTTTGCTGTTGTTAGCTTGAAAAATGTCATTCACACGTTAAAACAAAACACAAATGTTTTCTACTTACATGAGGCCTACTTTCTTTCCTTGCCCCAGCTGATGTTTCTTACCTTAAGGCTTCGTTTGGCAATGATGTTGAGGAGCAAAGTTTGCCCACAGCTTCGGATCCAAATCCTGCTAGGACACAAGTCTCAGTCAAGACCAGTGACCACATAACAGCGCTAGCATTTGAAATTGAGTCGCTAGTGCCCAGTGGGATGTTTGAAAAGCTATTTTCCCTTATCAAAATGTAACATTAGAGCAATGTCTGTCATGAATGGGCCCACTATAAAATCTCAAGAAGCCACATGTGAAAAGACACAGGAAGTCTGCCATTTTTGTTTGATGTTGTCATCGTAGGTCCATTTTGGCCTTTTTCAGCGGTCAGTTCAAAGATAAACTTGTCTTATTAAATTTGAACCTTTGTGCTCGACAGATAGGCGATGCCGGATTGTCATTGTGTGTGGGCAGAGCGTGATTGATGACTTGTCTTAAAAAAAGAATAATCTAGACATGGTGTTTTTGAAGACTTCCAAAATCAATTTTAATGTCTGTGTTACGTTCGCATTCTAGATGAACTAAACTATTAAAATTAGTAGATTGCCAGCACCTCTTGGTTTGAAATATCGACACAACGCAACGTTTAAATCAAACATTTATAGATTTTTGTCATTAACAAGTATGTTTCCCTTTTGAAGATGAAAACCATGTTGACAATGACATGGGTGTCAATCAAATGGGTGCAAGTTGACATTCCTCGCGGGTCACGTTGCAACGTGACATGACGCAAACTGTCAAGATGGAGGATCAAATAACAGTTGGTGCGCTTGCTTAGTAAGGATTTAGCGCATTGATTATAAGACAGAAGTCATAAGAAACAATTGCTTTTTGAGAATAATGCTCTATGTTTGTTTTTTTGGTTTTTTGGGGGGGGGGGGGTTGATGATCATGTCAGTCGCTCTCCATGCAGTTCACAGCAACTCTCACAACAAGCACAGCAGTCTGTTGTGAAGTAGGTTCCTTTTTTTGTCGCAGACAGATTCAGTTACCGCTCCAGACACCAATAGAACAAATGTCCGTCTATTTTTTGGCCCCACTGAACCTTCAACAGGACACAAGCAGATTAAAAAAAAAAAAGAATCATATGATCTCTGGCTGTCAAAACTGATCATGTGTATACTTTTTGTATTCAAGACTTGTGCAATGTGTACGCGACCCGTTTGGAAAGCCCCGTGCACGTCAAGTCAGTTCAGTTTTCCTCGGAAACACCCGCATGCTGCCAACCGGGCTAAGAGGCTCAGAGTTGCTGGGGCCAGAAAAAAACTTAGCCAGTGACGACTTAGGTTTTCTATTAATATTCGATGCAGAAAAGTAGTCTTGCGGGGAGGAAAAATACAATCAGTGAGTTCTGACTTGTGTGGCCCGACTTGCAAGATTAATGCAGGTCAAAATTGGAAACCATTGGGTCACAGTCGACTGGTTAGCACATCGGCCTCACAATGCACAGGTGCAGCGTTCGATTCCGGCTTCGGCCCTCCCGTGTGGAGTTTGCATGTTCTCTCCATGCCTGCGTGGTTTTTCTCTGGGTACTCCAATTTCCTCCCACATTACAAAAACATATACCTTACGTTAATTGTTTACTCTAAATTGTGTGAGTTCATCGAAGTGTGCCCTGCGATTGGCTGGCAACCATTCAAGGTGTACCTCACCTACTGCCCGAAGACAGCTGGGATACGCTCCAGCACACCCAAACCCTTGTGAGGATAAGAAGATTAGAAAATGGATGGATGGAATATTTTGCTTGATGATACATCTCCAAGGGGAAAGCATATTGACAATTTACTTCACTTTGCCACATCCAATACGGCTGCGGTGTCGGGGTACTTTGTCTTTGTGTATGTAAAGTAAATGTTGTATGAGGAACGATGACGGAAGGGTACCCAGGTCGCGGACGGAGGACGCAAATATGGGTAAAGTCCCCATCTCTGCCAACAGGCCTTACCTGAGCCGCAGTACTGGACATTGTTGACATGGTAACCAGATATCCAAGGGTTTCGGAACATGTTTAGCACCGTGGATAACGCGCAGCAGGAGAAGAGCGGTCGCAAACTGGCACTCAAGCGGTGGAAGCACCACCGCCACCACCACCACCCGGCAATGACACCACGCAGCCTGTTCACAATGTCACCCGAGTCGGAGAACGACAGCGCAGCGGGACGCCAAAGCTGCTCAGCGGCCTAATCAGATTACAGTCAGAAATTAGCCGCGATGATCAAAACAACAGGACAGGGGATTGGACGCTATGTGCCAGCAAAGGCGGGGATATTCGGGTCGTGTGTATGGTGCTTCCCGGGCCACCGACTGAAGGTGAAGCTTCATGCGTGTCAATTAGCATTAGCAAGCTAACACATTTGTGCTGTAATCCCGTCTAGGATTGTGTGAGAAGAGGTGTTTACTTCTAGGCTTTCACTGACTTTTTGCTAGTTGCTATAACTCATTACTCTTTATTTTTCTGATTTCAAGTGTTGTATTTTAATGTGTCGGAGGTCTGAAAAATGACAATTATTCAGCTTTTTATGAAAATAATTATTGATGTTATTGATAGAGGTATCCAAATATACTATTATTGTTATGATTAATATCATTATTATTATTCATAGTACTAGTAGTAGTAGTAGTAGTAGTAGCAGTCATGAAAAAAAAATCAACGTTTTGTTGAAAATGTTCAGCAAAACCATCCATCCATTATCTGATCTGATCCGCTTATCTTCAGAAGGGTCACAGGTGTGCTGGTGCATGTTTTTGGAATGTGGGAGGAAATCAGAGTGCCCAGAGAAAACCGACGCAGACATGGGGAGAACATGCAAACTCCACACAGGAAGGTCAGAGCCTGGAATCAAACCGTGGACCTCTCTGTACTGCGGGGCAGACGTGCTAACCGTGCCACCCTCATAATAGTAATATTAATAATAAACATTAGCTCGATTATTTTCAGTATTTAAATAGAGTACGTCTGAACCCCCCCCCCCCCAAATTTTTGTATGTACAGTATACTGTATTTTGCATGTACGCAAAACTTTCATGTATATTGTGTGTGAGTTGAAGTACAAAAAGTAGCCGGGTGTCAAATCACACTGATGTTTTTTCTCACCCTTTCAAACAAGCAGACATACGGACACACACGCACGCACACTTGTCCCAGGCGGCTGTCCCCTAATAAGGCAACATGTGTTGTGAGTGGCTGCTGCAAGGAGGTCATCCTGTCCACCAGCAGAGGCTTGTGTTTACAAGACGGCAGCCAGCCTTGTGTCACCCACCTCACCCCCCATCCCAAGCTCCCTACCTTACTTTTTATACGCTTTTTGAATGTTCGTCTGTGGTTGTGCCTGTTATGTGGGATTGCGCAAATCATATTGTTATGATAAGTCTTTACGTGCGATGATCTATGGAGTGACATGTTATATCTCAAGGTAAAGTATCAGGTATCTAAGCGTAGTTACCTAATTCTCCTCTTCCTCACTTACATCATCATCATCATCATCATCATCATCATCATCAACACCACCATCATGGTGGAGGCCAGATGTGCTGCCTAGCGTCCAATGGGCCTTAGAGTCCTAGCTCAGGGCAAAAAAAAAAAAAAAAGTTTTGCATACTTTGTACTTTGTAAATAACAGCTCAAATCTTTTCGTTTTATCAAAACGTGAAATCAAAACTGAAATGAAATTTTTTACTACACAACAAATAAACAGCTCAAATCTTTTCGTTTTTTGAAAACGTGACATCAAAACAGAAATGAAATTTTATACTACACAACAAATAAACAATGAACCGTATCAAATAAAAATACAATATTTACTATAATGAAATTGTGCAAACTTAGAGGAGTAAATTTTCCAATGAACAAAATATTCTCAATTCTAATGCAAATAATGGGCAACTAAAATAATCAAGGGGGCCACACATTTTCATCAGTGCTACTGGGGTGGCACGTAGAACCACGCACTTCTTAACCAGCTATTATTACAAAAATGTGATTTGAAATATGGACAAAATATGTGTTTGAGTGCAAAACACATGCTCGTAATTTAAAGGTTTTTTTTTCCCCCAGTGCAAACCATAAGCTGGCAAAATGAGTAAAAAACATATGCGCAATATGCGGCAGGCGACTTTTGATTTAGTTATATGCTGAATTCAATATTTACATGAACTTTAAATGTGTTCTGTGTTGCCTTATAGTGGCGCGTTTCAGGAGGACGCTATTATAGTTACATAAAAATGCGATTCACATTTGTTATACCTACAAAATGCCCCGGTCTTTGTGTTGCTCCTATCATTCACGCGCTTTGTATTTGTTCTGTTCTGTCTGTTTCACGATTAAGAGTTATGGTGACCATATTAAAACACTGATACCCTGTGTGTGTGTGTGTGTGTGTGTGTGTGTGTGTGTGTGTGTGTGTGCGTGTGTGTGTGTGTGTGTGTGTGTGTGTGTGTAACCATGTGGTCATGTGTGTCCTGATGGGCCAAGCAGGTGCTGGCGTGGTCCAGCCTGCCGCGCAACACGCAACTTGCACCACAAACAACACGGTTTGTCGCACAAGGCAGCTTGCCAACAGCTGTGTGGGAACCACGTGTGACATCCGCATGTCATGATGTCATGATGATGATGATGATGATAATGACAACTTATTCAAATACAAGCATTAAACTTGAGGTCATACAGAGTCATTTCCAGAATTTAGTTGTCTCTTTTTGAGGACAAAATAAGATATTTTCAACAAAAGCGAGCTGGATTTATAAAAAAAAAAAAAAATTGGCATTCTTTTGAAAAAAGGTTGTATTTGAAATATATACGTATTATTTTTAAGTATATAAAATAAACAATAAATATATAATTTTAAGCTTAGACAGTTTCTCGAAAGAACTGCACATTTTTGCAAAGAATGTCGTAAAGTTTTAAAAACAAAAGACATTTTATGAAAAAAATGGTAGGCTTATTTTAAGAAAGAAATAAGTACATTCTTGAGGGGAATATATCCTATTTTTAAGAAATACATTTATTTTCAAAAATAAGGTTGCATTTTATTTATTTTTTTTTTATTTTATTTTTTTTGGCAGGGGGCGCTCTTTTTATTTGGAATAAAGTTACGTTTTTTTCTCATGGAAAAAAAAAAGATCGTTTCAATAAGTAAAGTCTTATTTTTATTTTCAAGAATCAAGTCCTAAACCATTGGAAACCATTGTCGAGCAAAACATAAATTCATGACGTGGGTTTACATCTGCTACATTCTAATTCTTTCTGATGGCGCTTTTGTCCACAAATATCATCATAGGAAGGAAGGACCGACTGTTACTGGACTCACGTGTATCCTGCAGGCCGAGATCAGGGCTCACTACTCCCACGTTCAAGTGCTGCGGAAGCTGCTGGTGTGAGCAGGTAAACCCCCCAAAATCCAAAACGACACAAAAAAACAAACAAACACAGATACAGCTGCAGAAATGAATCCCTAAATATTCCACACTTCCATAAGGTGTGGTAATATTCACCCGGGACTGGAGCGAGTGTGAGAGGTGACCCGCCGGCGGGGAGGGTCACTCGGCGTGCTGGGTAACCCAACCTCGGGGCCCACCATGTATGGGCCCATGCCTGGACAGGCGTCTGCCATAAATAGCCGGGCGGAGCCCGGTCGGACCCCCGTCCAATCAGCTGCGAGCCCGCCTGAGGGTCCCGACACCAGCGGGGGCAGGTCCACCCTCCTTGTAAACCGCACTGGGGGGGGGGGGGGGGGGGGGGGGATAAACCTAACAGGAGGGATTAAACCAAATCTGAAGCACATTGTTAGGATTGCAACAGGGGAGTCAATCGTGGCATTAAAGGCACACACAGTGATTGTAAACATGCACATTATTCGAGCAGAAGGCAATTCAAGATGCATGAAAATGCAACATGTGAATGCGCTTGCGAACTCTGAACGTAACTGCAGGCTATTAGTTGACCCTATAAATAAATCGAGTCCGCTGAATTAATTGGCTATGGAGTTTCCTGTTCGTCCTTTGGCGCCATCTTAAGGTGATAAGAACTCACACTACTTAATGCTCTTAGTTTATATCTATCGATCAAAAATATTTTATTTGTTATATTTTTATATTTTAAGTAATCAAAATATATAGGAAAAAGTACCTTGTACGGCTGTATCAGTATAATGACATAGCGATTAAATATTAAACGTCATCAAAATAAAAAATGTAACTTGTAGTATCCTTACATTGTCCTTTATTGACAGGCACTACTAGCTTCAAACAACCAACACATCTTCACATTGAAATAAATTGAAATGAGATCCAATTAAATGTATGAAATTAATTCTAGTCATCATTGGATTTTTCTTTAACCTGATGGACGACTTCCTAACGGGCCATTTGAGAGGAGAGAGAAGATGGCTGCACTCCAAGCGTGGCCGCCACCACCAACTCATTCACGCCAGCAAAATGTGCCAACTTCTCTAACACTGTGATGGCACTCGAGTGTGGCGCGGCGGGACTCCGTCATCTGAGTGGACCTGGCTGGACAGTTCAGACCTGCTAATTGGTCTAATGTGGCGGACAAAAGCTTCAACAAAGAAAAAAAAAAGAAGGGAATTGTTCCCCTGAGCGACGAGTTTGGACAGAATCGGAAAAAATGTAAAAGAAGGCATGTGCATATTTTTCAGAAAAAAAAACTTTCTTTTTATATTTAGTTTTCTAAAAATTCGATATTTTCAAGAAAAAATATTGGGGGGAGATAAAGATGTTTAAAAAAAAAAAGATTTTGGATGCTATGTGATGACATCCCCGCCATTTTACTTTGGTGTTCTTTGGCACGGTCTGCTCTGGGCCTGTGAAAAGCAGTTCGCCCACATCAAAGCCCGATTGATGAGAAAAGAGGCAGTTTCATGCAAAGAGTTTATTTGCGAATGGGACTGCAGTATCATACAACAGTAGCACAATCATCATGACTCTATGGATTTTCCTGCTATATGTAGATACAAAGATCAAAGGCATGTCGAAAGGAAACAATGAAGGACTTCTCCCACGTTTTTTTTCTTTTATGTTACTCTAAAAATAGCTTTTAAATACTTGGCATAGTCTCGTAAATTAACCTACGAAACACCCACACGTTTTGCCTGTCATCGCGTGTTTTTTTTAATCCTTTTTTTAAATGTCATTTTTACTACCGAGAGTACCAAATGCAAATATACTATACTGTACTGAAAAAGAAAACATTTGTTTCCCCCCCCTCCCCTCATCCCGCTCACTTGCACTCCATGCAAGGAAGAAAAAAAAAGATGTAGAAAAAAAGCACTTAAATCTCTTATGAAAATAGAAAATATTACAAGTGTGCATAATCACTGCTCACGTTGCACATCAACCTGTCGTAGAAAAAAAAAAGTCCAACGAGACTCTTTTATTGTTTTGACGTTCAAGTAGCGCTCATATGCCAATCATGGGGGCTGTTCCTGTGGTCCGGGATAGTTTGCGTAACTTTCAAAGGAACGAGTGGCTCGCTCGTTCGGCAAAAAAAAAAAAAAACAACACAAACTATGCTCGTTTTGCTACAGTGCCCCCGGCTGGTGGGCCCGTCGCTCACAAGTAACACTGCCAAATGACCTGTGACAACAGTGTTGCGTAGACTCGGAGAAGATATTTGGCTGCAGTGGAATGCAATGCTTGTTTTTGACAAGGAATATTTAGGCCACACTCCAAAAAAGAAATGATTACATTATGACTTTCAAGTTGGAATTTCACGAGTGAAATAATGAAGTCATGTATTTTTGAGGGGAAAAAAGTTGTTTACCGTATTTTAAGGGTTTTCATGTTTTCGAAAAAAAAAAGTTGTGCATTTTTGAGAAGAGTCATATTTTAGAAAAAAAAATGATAGTAGTTTTGAGATTTACAAAAGTCTAATATGTTCAAGAGAAAAAAAATGATATTTTCAAGACTATGTCAGACATTACAAAAAATAGTTTAGTTTCAAGAAATAAAAAGTATTTTGCCTTCAAGAATAAAGCAAAAATATTTTTGGGAAAAATGTATATATTTTTAGAAAAAAGTTAAGAAAGTTGTAGATTTTCAAGAAATTGGATATTTCCATGAAAAAAAGCCAAATATTGTTCTGAAGCACAAACTGTAGTTCAATTAAAAGAAATGTCTTCTTGAGAAAAAAGGAGTATATTTTCGAGAAGACATCTTGTATTATTTAGATAGCTTGATCATTTTAAAATACTTGTAGATTATCATGAGAAAAAAAAGTCTTCACTTAGTAATGATTGAAGAAATCTTGTATAGTATTTTTGACAAAAAGGCTATATAGTGTTTTTAACATGAAAAAAAATGCGAGAAAAAACTCACTGTGTGACTGTTCTCAAGAACAGAGTAATATAGTTAGAGAGAAATTGCTTATATTTGAGAAGAAAATATATATTTTCAAGAAAAAAGTTGTACACATTGAGGAAATTATAGATTTTCAAGATCAAAAAGTTGTGTATTTTCAAGAAAAATGTCCTATACTTTCAGGAAAACATTATTTATTTTGGGGAGGAAAAAAAACCTCACATTTTGAAGCCATTTGTCTTCATGACAAAATCTGAATATTTCCAAAGAATAAAGGCATAGATTTTTATTTTTAAAGTTTTAAAAATAGTTTTAAGGGCAGTCATAGAATTTAAAGAAAAAAAATGTAATCTTGCGAGGAAGAAAAGAATGCACTTCCAGATAAAAATGACAATTTCGAGAAGAAATTTCTTTTATTTTCGAGAAAAATTTCACAACTTCATTCTCAAAAATATGCAACTTTTTTTCTCGAATAATTATGACTTCACTGCAAAAAAAAAAATCTATGTGGCCCTTATACTTCTTTGTATGTTTTTTAATAAGGCGACGTCGAAAATTTACAAGAGATGCTGAGACACAACCGCTAAAATGCTACAAGAGTAAAAAGGCTACATAACAATTATGTTCATTCATGACAAATAATTTGCGCACATTCGTTGTTGACTTGTTACAATGCAATGCTGGATAATGCAAAAACACACACAACTTTTCAAACACATTTTCACGACTATCGCGATATATATTTTTTAAGAGTCTTTTTTTTCCATTCTCTATTTAAAAAGTCTTATCTAAAAACCCTGTTTTTATTGAAAATTCAAAGATATTTTTGCGCATTTGTGTTTTAGTTGCAGCATTGCATTGTAGCATTCAAGTACAACCACCCAAGAATTGCGATACCCCATCCCAGAACCCCCCTGGAAATCACGCATGAATGCTGAGAGCAAAGCACAAATATTAAGAATGATTTTAAATGTTATGCGGAAAACAACCGAAGTGACTGGACGTGATGTTTTTGGGGGATACTTGTATTTCATTGGACAGAGATATTGTGCACATTAGCAGCAGAATGTTTGCTAATCTCTCAGCCTTCACACGAGTTTCGAAAACCAAGAAACTATTTATGTTTTTTTTTTTTCCCTCGGGATCACCAGCAAATGAGCCGGGCGAGTGCAAGCTGGAAGACGAGACGACGACAACGCAACACTAACGAAACACGGCGGAGACGACGCGACAAACGCCACCAAACAAAACTTTTCCATTAGCACACTAGAAAATTAGGGACGCTCTCTGTATGTTTATAATCTACAGACACACGGGTGGAGAAAAAAAAAACTTGAAGGCGAAAATACAAAATACCTCTTAAAATATTTAAAATATATATACTTTGTATATATTAATTTTTTTTGTACACTATGCAAACACATTTGAAAGCTGATGAAAGGAAAAATAAATACTCGGTGAAATGTATGATTATGTAATGCTTAACAAATGCATTAGACCACCACCAAATGAAGAGCATTGGTCATCATTCAATTTGTTTCCCTTGAATATCTTGAAAATTGAGCTCCAAAGCCAATTTCCGGAATGAAATTTAACAGCTCTGTCTATTATGACTAGACTGACAAAAAGTCTCAGAAAGCCATGCCTGAAAACACACATAGTTTTAGTTTGAAGAGGCCATTTCAGTAAAAGTTAACATCTGGCAGTGGCCATTAGACTGTTGTGAAATCAGCTCCCAAAGCAAGTTTCCCTTAGCAACATTGAATTTAAAAGCAATGTGTACCATGAGTAGACCCACAAAAAAGCATCACAAAACCATGCCTGAAAACACACATGAAATCTGCCATTTTGGTTGAGAGTGGCCATTTTAGTAAAAAGTTTAGGTCACGGGCCCTGGACTTCCTTGAAAATCAGCTTTCCCCCCACCTCCCCTCAAGCCAGTTTCCTTTCGCCGTGGGAAATTTAATAGCAATGTCTATCAAGAGAAAAAAAAAAATCACAATTAGCCTTGCCTCAATCGACACAGGAAGTCTGACACTTTGGTCTATAGTGGCCATTTTAAGATCATTTTGATCAGTTTGATAGCAACTCCTGAACTATTTTGAGCCCTGCCCCAACCCACAAAATCAGTTATCATTTAATACCAATGTCTTTCACAAGTAAACCCAAAAAAAAGAAGCCATGCCCGAAAGACCCAGAAAGTCTGTCATTTTTCTTCGAAGTGGCTATGTTAGATTCATTTGGGTGGAACCTCTGGAGTAATTTGAAAATCCAGCCCCTCAAACCAGTTTCCCTTAGCTACATAAGATTTAATACTAATGTCTATCACGTGTCGACCAACAAAAAAGTCTCAAGAAGCCATACCTAAAAAGACACAGGAAGTTAGTCATTTTGTTTTGAAGCCATCATTTCCAGGGCATGCGTGCCATTTCCGGGGTTGCTTACAAACAAATGTCACCTACAGATTTTGGCAAATCGGAATCTTGTAAACTGGGCAGATTTCTTTTAAAAAATGCCAAGAATTGAGTTTTTATAATTGCGTGTAGGCAGAGCTGAAAGCAAAGTTTGATGACTTAAACCACAAAAATCTAATAAGTCAACTCCACTCATCCAATAGATGGCGGTGGTCTAATGAACATGTCAAGCGCTGTACATAGATCTATATGATGACGTAAAGCAGCAGCCCAAATACCCTGACACCAATGTCCCTGTAGAATGATCACAAGACAACGCTTCCGACAGGTAGCTCCACGACACCGCTCAGCTTATTTGTATAACAATATTGCTCTATCTCGCTTTCTTTTTTTTTATGTGTTCTGTTTGATCTTTTTATCATCATTGTTGTGATAGAGTTGCTGTCAATCTTTATTGCTTCCTGAAGGTACCTACGCGGCGGGAGCTGCACGGATCCAGTCAGACTTCACTTAAGAGCAAAGCAACCGGCATGCCATGGACTGAGCGGGCGGGTTGGCGAGGGCATAATGTCACAGAGGTAAAGAAAGGCCGAGCCATGACAGGAAATCAAAAACAGTTCTCGAGCCAAACACAGTCGCAATGAGCGGTGGCGCCACCGCTGCAGTAGTGACTTTATTTTGGTACAGCAAATAATAGCAAGACCCTCAAATTAATGCTTACATTCGTAATGCGCAGATTCTCGAGTGTATTCACTGTCGTCGTATGCATGGATGAGTTGCATAATGTCTGCCAATGAGAAAAGCATCGGGAGAAGACTGGGGGGAGGTTGAAGAAGTTGGTTATCGGGGGTAGGCTGGGTTGGGTAGTGTGTGTGTGTGTGTGTGGGGGGGGGGGGCACCTCCCTTTTGGCAGTGGAACAGCACTCTTAGAAGTCAAGCCGAGGGTGAGGGTGTTTACACAATGCTCTCGTCGGACAAGAAGGCCATTTCAGTGTCAAGAGATGAAGATGAAGGCATTCTAAATTAGGCAGCCAGTTCACAGTGTTGTGTGGAGCGCTAAAACCTTGAGATGGGGACACGATGGACGCTGTCTTTTTCCACGCCATCGCCGCTGTCTCCAGCTATCACAGCGTTCTACGGTGTAAAAAGAGGAGTCGTTACCTCAGAGTTCACCACACTTTGTTTTCGGGGGGTAAAAAAGGTCCAAAAGAAAAATTGGGGTGTGACATTTTGGGGTGAGATTCTATTCATTCAAGACTGTGGAGTATCAGGGTGTCAGAGAGTATCCGAATTCAGCCGCTCCCAAAATATACAGAGGGTCCTCAGTTTACAACGGAAGCAGCAAAATTGAGGACCTCCTGTACATCGATGTCTAATGTCGTAGAGTTTGAAGTAAGTTAATTTTGAAATCTGAAAAAAATCCATTGTCATAAAGTATCCTGGTACACTGTTATTTTGGATAGTCCACTTCACAAGACACATATACAGTAGGCAACTATTCACACTGAGTGGGAATTGAACCCATGCTCCCTGGACCAAAATCAGGCGACTGAACCACTACGCCACAACTCGTGACACAACTCCTAACTTTATTTCTAATGTCCTAATCTTACCTGAAAGTCGACTTGTCACCGTGCCTCGCACTTTCGTCCAATAACTGGCAGGATCCAGCCACTTCTTCATCTTTGCTCTCCCCACCTCTCTGCGAAGCGCCGGAGGGATCCCGGGAGTCCTTGCCCTCCCCCTCTCCCTCCCCAGAGTCAGTGCTCCTGATGCTGAGGCGTCTCACGCGATACATCACGTCCACCTCCCTCATCCTGCCCAGGCGTTCCGCGGCCCCTTGGCCAGGAGAAATGGCTAGCTTATTCTGCAGAGCTTCAAATCGGTCAGGTGGCGCATTGCCCCGCCGTTCCCCTTCCAAGCTCAGAGACAGCCTGCGGTCGAGCTTTGGCACGACTGAAAGTGGCAGTCTCTCTGGTGGGAACTCTGGCAACCCGGTGTGATCTCGCCCTGGATGGGTCCATAGAACAAGTCTATGTTCCGCGAGCGCAACTAGCTTCCTCTCTTGCTCCTGCTTGTCATCCGAAGCCATGTCGGTTTGTCCCTCTTGCCCTAGTCCAGAGTCAGCCTTGACACATTCGGCCGTTTCCTCCTTAGTGACTTCTTTCTGTGCTGACTCCACCAACTCAGTTTGACTCCGTTCCTCTGAGTCTGCTACCTCATCCGTAGATCCATCTACAGTTTCTGCAACCTCTCCCAAATTGTCTTGTGTTGATGAATCCTTTTTCCCTGCATTCGTGCTCAAATCAAACCCCGTCTGGTCGGGATTTGAGTTCTGCAGTTCTTGATTCCTCGCATTCTCAGACGGACTTTCAACTGCAGCACGCTGTGGTGGACTTCCATTTGGATTGACCGAGCTATCCGAGCTGTTCTCCTCATGGAGAGGAGGCAGCGGGCCCTGTCTCAATTGGTTCTCCAGCTCCCTTTTGCAAATAGGACACTCCTCCTCTGAATCGAGATCTTGAGGACCCACCGGGTCATTAGGATCGTTTGAATCCCGAGAGTGCCGCAAAGTCTGGCATATGTCTTCATAGTCAGGAGGGCTCGTGAGAGTGGAGGCGTCCTGCATGGGTTGTCGGTCCGCCCATGGCACCTCCGCCGCCGCACTTTTGGTCGTTGGGCTGAAGTCGCACAGTGGCGTCTCAATGGGTTCGTCCGGGAGGTCCAGTTTCACGGTCCTGCCGTCGGTGCTACGTCTACGTGGAAGATGAGGAACAACCCTGTATTCTCGAAAGCCTGACTCCCGAGGGGGCACAGGAAGTTCTTCCCTTAGCTGTTTGCTGAATGTGACCGACTTTGTGGCAGGCCTAGAGAAGGCGCTCTTGACTTCCCTGTATTCGGGATCAACAGACCAGCTGACTGCACTGCGCCTAAGGCTGCTGGGTTTGTTGAGAGGCTGGGACGTCAGCCGGATTTTGATACGCTCAGGGATTTCAACGGACCCATCTGGGACTTTATTGCTGGCAGCGCCGAGCTCCAAGATATCTTTGTAGGCCTCGTTGAGGTCTTCGATGCATTTGTCAACGCTTGGCTGTTTGCTGCTCTGTTTCTGATGCTGCTGTTGATCCTGGACTTCTTTTTGGATTGCCTCCAGCTCTTTGACAGCATCCCATGGTCGCTGGCTGACGATCGGTTTCAGCAAGAACTCTGGAACCTTGAACACCTCCTGCCCGCTGTTCGCTGCTGGTTTGCTCTCCACATTTCCTGAGGGCGGCACTGCTGGCTGCTGAGCTGTGCTCTTGTTCAGCTGGTTGGAGAAAGTGGTGGTCAGGGAGAAGGCGCTGTTGCTTGAAAGTTTTAGACTCTTCACTCCCTTGATAGGGAAAGTGAAGGTAGTTCCCCCCACACCGCCACCATTTGCAGGGGCTTCGGTGGCAGCAGGAATAGGGTCCTCTTGTGCTTCCTTGTTTTCAGGGTCAGGTTTTTCGGCCTCAGGGCTAGTTTGCGTCTCCTGGTCACGGTATTGGTTTGCGGGCCAAGATCCTGACAACTTCAGCTCTTTGTAATGGTTGATTTTAGGGGGTCTGCAGGGCAACTTTTTGAACATTTTGCTGCTTGCTCGGCTACTCGTCTTGCTGCTCGCAATGCTACCAGTTAATGCTTGCAGCTCTGCCTCGGCTGAAGATGTGCTTTGGAGACTTTGGTTCGTTAAATGGCCTGTTTTGTTGTCACTGGGACTATCGGCTGGGTCTGGTGACTTCTCATTATTGTTATTCTGATCACGGGTTGTACCAGTTAACTGTGGGGTGACCGGAACAGAAACCAAACAAAAGATGGTCTCGCTGAGTCTCTTTTTGAGATTCTTGGACTTATCTTTCTCCGGTGGTTCGGGCTGTTCGACTTTCTTTACTTCTGGTACAGTTTCAGAGACAACCTGTTCAGACGGCTTGCACGGGGGTGGTGGTGGTTTACCCAGAATAGACGAGGGGAAAAACTGACTACGATTTTGTTCAGGACCTACACTGTCACTTTTTTTGTTCAATCCTCTGTTGCCCCATCGAGTACTGCTATCATTTTCAGTTAGGGTCGTCTTGCGACCAGCATTGAGGGATTGCCCCTGTTGGGGAGGAAAGGCACTATCACATGTAGATTGTCCTAAATTCTTAGCGGATGGATTCTCTTTGTTAATGTTCCGGATCTTGTCTGAGTCGGTCAGAGAATTTCCACCGGACCCTCCTGAGATTTGATTTGCTCTTGTGTCTTCAGCTGGTACTTGACGAACTTGACTCAGTTGCTCTTTGTGTCCAGAGGGTATCTGTTTTCGATAGGACGCCCCACGATCTCCATAGTGTTCCAGCCATGAATCACCCATGTGCCGTGTTAGCCATCTCCCGGGGTCTGAGCTGGGCTGCAGGGAGTCTGAGCGCCACCGCAGGTTTAGCATTTCGTTACGATTGATTGACACAGCTCTTGGGGGTAGGACTCTTTTATAAGACGGGGGCGGGATGTAGCCCGGGGGCTCCATTCCAGAGAGTGAGTGTTGTGCAAAATAGTCATGCCGCAGCTCCCCGCCCCTAGAATAAAAGATAGGCCTGTCTTTTAGCTTGAGACCCTGGTCTATCGCAAGCATTTCTGCGCTACCCCTAATTTGCTGGTGAATCTCATACGATGGCGGCTTCAAAGGCCTACTGAACCTAGGCTTTGGTAAAAGTGCAACATGACTGCTTGGCCCAGCATTCCTACCCCACCGGTCCTTGCCAATCGCGCTGCTATAAATATACCGACTATAGGGCCCGGAGAAAAGAGTGCTGCTTAGCCTTTGCGGTCTATCTGGTTGGCTTGGTCTGGATGGAATAAGCTCTCTGCTGTTTAGTCCGTCAGGTGACAAAACTCTTGGGAGAGACTGAGACTTAGCTTTTGTTCTCGGGTGAAAAAATCCTTCAGGCGTCCTCAGGTGATACTGCTCTAAAGCCCACCTTTCCCCGTCCCCATCAGACAACTGCCTGCCCAGGCCCACGGCGGGCCTCCACTCCTCAGTGCCAAGGCTCTGACACTTACGCTCCCCAGTCACCCTCAGCTGACCGGGTGCATCTTGGTCCCGCAGCCAGGAAATTTCCTCCCACAGTTGTTGCGCTTGCCTCTCCGCCCTGAGTTCCTCGGCCGCGATGAGGGCCTGTGGTCTCCATGCTCCAGCAGAGGCCCTTAGCTCCCTGCCATCAGCATAGTCCAGGAGAATGCTAAAGTCTTGTCCTCGTCTCCGCCAGTAAGAAATATCCCTCTCATCGTGGCTTAGCGGCTCGGAGTAGGTCAAACTTGGGACATCATAGAAACTGCAAGGAAACAAAAAGAAAAAATACTAGAAGAGTTCTTCTAGAAGCATTCATCGAAGCTGCAGGCTATTCCCTTTTAGTGCATAGTCACCGCCCAGTCTCTGTTACGCCTTTGTTGTCGGGAATTTCAAATGTTGACATTATCCCCCCAACCATTCTTGTCAGCCTAATCTAAATCTGCGGATGGGTCAGAACGAACTGTTATCGGAATATTCTTCCCTTGTCATCATGTCGAAAATAATCATCAGATAAATCAAACCGAGCCAATACGCTAACATGTAACTGATAGCTTTCCACCACACATTGATTTGCTTTACATGAGAGACTTACTATACTATGCGTGTGTGTGTGCGTGTGTGTGTGTGTGTGCGTGTGTGTGCACGCGCGCATGCAATGGCTTTTCCAACAAAGTGTTGAGGTCAGCCACAGCTCCGGCGTCCCTTAATGACGCAAATTGTGATGTTTGTGCAATATGAACGGCATTTTTAATTGTGCTGACCTTTACTTAAAGGGCTGTCGTTGAAAAATAAGGCTTCAGTCGTGCAAATCTGGATAAACGTAACCCATCAACATATCACAAACATTTGGATACACCATAACCACTATTCCTGCATACGCCTTGTTGTTTCAAGCAGTTCTTATTTTGTTATTTTATGTTAACTGTTCTGTGAAGCGCTCTGTTACAGCTGCAGAAACCAAAAAAAAAAGAAATCAAGTATATGCATATAAGGGAGTGTGAAGCGTCGTCATTGATTACAATTCGATGCAATATGATCTGATATGTTATGATACGATAGATCATGATGCAATACATTGTGATATATCACAATATATTCCCATACATTGAAATACACACTACCACATGATTCATTGCGATATATGACGATATATACATATGATACATTAAGATACATTGTTTATACATTACGAAACATGACAATACTTTGTGATCCATTACAATTCATTCACAGTACAGTGAGAAACTATGCGACACGATATATTGTGAGACACTGTGAAAACAATTTGATACGGTACGGTCCGATAAATCGTGATACATTATGACATATCTTGATCAGATAGGACGCCATGCAATATCATAATACATTATATAATACAATAAGATATCGTACGAGGCAATAGTTGCAACGTTTGAGTCAAACTGGGGAAATTAAGACAATCAAGACCTCATCTGGCCACTTCATTAGGTATACCCACCTAATGTCAGATAATAATGTTCCCTTTTGAGCGGATCATTTGGAAGCTGTTTGGAAAATGCAATGGAAACTATGTCAGTATTATGGAAACCTGTTGTGTGATACTCTGTAGGTTATAAATTAAAAATAGTCTTTTTTTTGATATACGAAACATGACAATACTTTGTGATCCATTACAATTCATTCACAGTACAGTGAGAAACTATGCGACACGATATATTGTGAGACACTGTGAAAACAATTTGATACGGTACGGTCCGATAAATCGTGATACATTATGACATATCTTGATCAGATAGGACGCCATGCAATATCATAATACATTATATAATACAATAAGATATCGTACGAGGCAATAGTTGCAACGTTTGAGTCAAACTGGGGAAATTAAGACAATCAAGACCTCATCTGGCCACTTCATTAGGTACACCCACCTAATGACAGATAATAATGTTCCCTTTTGGAAGCTGTTTGGAATATGCAATGGAAACTATGTCAGTATTAGGGAAACCTGTTGTGTGATACTCTGTAGGTCATAAATTAAAAATAGTCTTTTTTTTAATCTTAAAATTACTTTAAAAAGTAAAATACATTTATTATTAAGGAACATTAAATCAACAAAAGATATTTTTGTATATTCTGAAATTATTTCTTGGATTAAACTATTGAATACCCGAGCACTTTAATGTTTTCTACAAAGGGTTAATCATTATTGGAGGTGTTTTTTTTTAATTTATTTATTTATTTTTTATCACTATCTATTAAAAACTATTCAACACGTGTCAAATAACCGCGACAAATGAATGAACATGCCATGTGTGACCCGCGCTGTACGTGCGCGTGTGAGTCACGAGCAGCATATGCTAGTGTATGGCTGAGGGGGGAGCCGCGCACACTTGCCCAGCAACATGCTGACATCACAGAGCACGTGCTGGATGGGATTCGGTGTGCCAGTGTTTACAGTGGAGTGACACTGTGCTGTGCCTTGACGCAAGTTCAATTCACCCCCCGACCTCCATTTTCACTCTGCTGTTGTTTTCATCTGTCACCAACCGGGTTGATGCTAGCTCTGCGCACACAAATGCATCAAGCTTTTGTCAGAAGGCCGGCCTGAGATATGTCAGCTGTGCTGCTGCAGGAAGGCGGGTGCGCGGTGGGAGTTGGGGGGACCTGCAGTGCAGCTTTTGCATGCTGACGAAAGGAAAGGAAAAGGTGTAGAAAAAAAAAAGTGGGGAGAAGCACTCACCCGCTGTCTGTAGCCAGAGAATCACCCAAAGCCTGAGCGTCACCTAGGATACCGAGGAAGGCCTCCTTCCTCCTCCTGTCGCCCTCATTGTCCATATAACCCTTGAGGGGCGCCGGCCTGCTGCTGTATAAGCCGCTGCCGCCCGCCGAGGCCCCGCCACGCTCCGCCTCATAGCCGTTGAGCGTTGCCCCCGCCGTTGCCCGGCCCGCCCGGTTGTCCAGCAGGAGCTCACGCTGGCAGTCGGCAGGCCGTTTGTCATAAGCTGTGGCCGACGGCGGGCCGCTCCTGGGTAGCTTGTATCCGTGCGAGATGAGCAGGTCCTCCACGCTGTACATGGCGGCGCACGTCCGGGGAGGGGGGGGCGCAAAGGTCGGTATTTGCCTTATGCGCTGCGCTGCTCAGCAGAGGCCATCACTTTTGGGGGAAGGTGACCCCAAAACAAAAACAGAAATAACGGTATAACACATTAACCACGTCACCATGCGACACGATCAATTTCAATTCAGACGTGATTCATTCTGATACGATTCATTCCGATACAACATGATACGACACATGCAACGTGATGCGGTGCATTCCAATGAGACTTCATGTAATGCATGATGTGACAATTCAATACATGGCGATATTTGCTACAACGTTATTGCGACGCGATACGAAATGATACGTTGGGATTTGTTGCAATATCCATCCATCCATTTTCCGATCCACTTATCCTCACACGGGTCGCTGGGGGTGCTGGAGCCTATTCCAGCCGTCTTCGGGCAGTAGGCGGTGGACACCCTGAACCGGTTGCCAGCCAATCGCCAGATACACAGAGATGAACAACCATCCGCGCTCACACTCAAACCTAGGGACAATTTGGAGTGTTCAATCAGCCTGCCATGCATGTTTTTGGAACGTGGGAGGACACCAGAGTACCCGGAGAAAACCCACGCCGGCCCGGGGAGAGCATGCAAACTCCACACAGGGAAGCCGGAGCTGGAATTGAACCCGGTACCTCTGTACTGTGAGGTCGACGCGCTAACCACTGGACCACCGGGCTGTTTGTTGCAATATATTATGAGATATTGCTATACACTATATTAAGTGTGATGAGATACTGTGCAATAGGCTACAAATTCTTGGGATGCGTCATACAACATTTCGATACATTACCATGTGATGAAAGGCAATACTGTGTGATTTGATGCGATTGCTTCTATGCTACATTTCAACACATCAACACACTATTAAAATACAATAAATTAGAAGATGATGTATAAATTAGGTAACAATTGGGTACTAGCCCATCACACACAAAAAAAAAAAAAAAAACATTATTGGATGATCACAAAATGAGTTATATGAACCCAATTTTGATAATTAATGACTTGAGACATTCCTAAAATCTTTCTGCAACTGGCTGGCAACCAGTTCAGGGTGTCCCCCGCCTACTGCCCGAAGGCAGCTGGGACCCGTGACCCTCATGAGGATAAAGAGGATTAGAAAATGGATGGATGGATAAAATCCTTCTCACGTATTATCCTGTTTTGACATTTTCTTCAATTTATATATCGAGTATGAACATTTTGGTCCTTTTCTTCGGACTTTCACTTCAACAATGAGTCATGATGTCATAAAAATGACAAATTGATACAAGCTCCTTCAAGGTGACCTTAAGTTTACTACTATTATGATTTTTTTTTTTTTTTTTTTTTACTTTAGCAATATTCTATTTTGGAAAATCCAAGGAGACTTTGCTGTTCACTCCGCATTGAAGCGATTCTTTACATGTACAAACTGCACTAGAAGCATCAGACGCTGATGTCATACAATTTAGGGAAATATAAGCCATAAAAACGCATAAACTTTGGACTTTACCAAAGGATAGATTGTATGAGTGTTTTGCCTTTGGGGCAGGGGGGACTTTATGTGTATTTTTTTTCTGTTGATGCTCCATCTAGAGAAAAACAAACATAAAATGGATGAAAAGCATTTCTCCACACGCACTTTTACACTTGCATGGCAGTTAAGAATGTTTAAATGTGACTTTAAGCATTGCTTGTAGACTCACGGTGGAACGACTTCAGATTATTATTTTTTTGTTTGTAGCCGTAGTTAGAAGCACATGCTTGGTCACTTACTCCGTCCTCGTCTATTTGTCAGTCTGTATTAATGAATGCTTTATCAGATGGGTCTTCCTAGCAATAGTGCTTTTGTTACATTTGTCATAGATTTCCATATTAGTAAGTTTCCGTGCTTCTGGTTCCAAATCATTTCCAGAGGCTCAGGCACCACAGCTGATATGCTGCACCGACCAACCACTTGTTGATTTCAGCGATACGATCCATGCTGTTCATGCTAAAACAAATATAAGCCATAAAAACGCATAAACTTTGGACTTTACCAAAGGATAGATTGTATGAGTGTTTTGCCTTTGGGGCAGGGGGGACTTTATGTGTATTTTTTTTCTGTTGATGCTCCATCTAGAGAAAAACAAACATAAAATGGATGAAAAGCATTTCTCCACACGCACTTTTACACTTGCATGGCAGTTAAGAATGTTTAAATGTGACTTTAAGCATTGCTTGTAGACTCACGGTGGAACGACTTCAGATTATTATTTTTTTGTTTGTAGCCGTAGTTAGAAGCACATGCTTGGTCACTTACTCCGTCCTCGTCTATTTGTCAGTCTGTATTAATGAATGCTTTATCAGATGGGTCTTCCTAGCAATAGTGCTTTTGTTACATTTGTCATAGATTTCCATATTAGTAAGTTTCCGTGCTTCTGGTTCCAAATCATTTCCAGAGGCTCAGGCACCACAGCTGATATGCTGCACCGACCAACCACTTGTTGATTTCAGCGATACGATCCATGTTGTTCATGCTAAAACATGCGATATATCAATCTTTAATCGTCCTTTACACCTCAAAGTAGATTACTCATTCGACCCAACTTTTGGGGTTTAAATGACTTACCCCAAATGTGGTGTACATCCCTTTTTGACCAATATTGAGTTCTTTTTTTGCCCAAATGTTTCAAGAGTGTATGACATGGTATGGCATAATCCAATATGACAAATGATGATATATTGCAATATGATATGATGGGAGGCAATAAGATACAGTACAGTTTTGTATAGGGTGGAATACATTACAATAGATCATGATATCATGCATGATGACATATGATGGGATAAGATATATTATGATACGACAGCATACAGCATAATATAGTACGATAGGTTATGATATGACACGATACAATACAGCACAACACCGTGCATACAATGCATATGCTCAGATATGATGTGTTAAAATACAATCGATTACAGCAATAGATGCACTAAAATGTGATACAAGTACAATATGATGTGATATGATGTGATACAATGCTACGTGATACATGATGATAAGATACCACTTACGGTATGACAATATGGTCCGTTACGATATGATGTCATATGAAGCCATGATTGGATGGGATATGATCAGTTACATCACATTGTGATAAAATATGATACAACTCGATGTGTTACGTTATGGTACAATAAGATAGCATTTGAAATCATTTGCATTGTTGCTACTTTATATACAATATTATTCCTGGAACAGAGGGGCCATTCAACTTGCACCACCGCCATTCAACTTATTCACTGTAACTGTCGGGGAGCGAATGCACTGATTCAGTATATGCTCTACAGCAAGTAAATGCACCATATGACTTATTCTTGGAACCGAGGGGCAATGAATACAGCACCACTTGACTTTTTATTAAGTGCATGACTACTTTTGGGAAGTGAGGCTCACTGAATGCACCACCAGTCAACTTACACAAGGTCATGACTTCAAAGTCCCTCTAATTCGCATAGCAACAGCCAAGGTATTGCTGTTTGCTTCCACAAGGGCGGATAAAAAAGAAAGAAAGAAAGAAAAAAAAAGCATGTGCAAACTTATTCAGACTAAAAGTGTGTACATGTTAACATTTGCCACTATCTCAAAGTTGTTCACGCAGGAGCTCACATAAGATTCACTTCTGATGTGCATAAATTAACACTCCACATGTCCCAAATAATGTACATACACATGTATCACAGCATGGGGAGTGTACCTGGATCTTTACCTAGCAACCCACACACCATCACATATGCACACACACTCTCAGTTCGTGAATGCCTGCTCATCCTCCTGCCATGAATGAATCATGCAGGTGAAACATGTATCATAGCAAACAGCCTTCAATAATACATGGTTAACGTGCACCACGCCTCACGGCTGCATGCCATGCCATGCTATATGCTACTATGCTATGCTATGGGAGGGGGACACCGCAATATGGCAACATCATGAGCCCTATCATCATACCTGCCTGGAGACAGCTGCATGCACCTGCACTCCAACTTGCACATGCGGCCATGCTGCGACCCAACCCCGCCCCGCGAACGGGAGGAGGAAAAAAAAAACACCACCAAAAATAATGAGGAGAGGATTCATAAGAATTAAAGCCAAAACGCGCAAGTTGCAGATGCGCTAAACTGGGAGTGTTTACCGACGCTCACGCGCGTTCACACGCGCACAAGCATGCATAGCAACCCCTCCCTAGAAACCATGCAGCCGGGATGCACGTTGCTCTGGTAGAACGCATACATGAAAGAAATGAAAATGTCGTTTTCGTGTTGAAACATACCTGGCGAGATGCGTGCGTGCGTGCGTGCGTGCGTGGCCGCTCGCTGCGGTTCGGCTTGCTCACAGAGCGCGGAGCCCGAGCCGAGCATGCCGATTGGTAGGCGGGGAGGACGCGCCGGTTGCTGGCTGCCTTGGACTGCATGGGCTCCCCGAGACACACGCAGGGAGGGAGGAAGGCTGGAGGGGGGGTGGAGGTAGGGTGGGGTGGGCTGCCGCCCCTCTTCGCTCGCTGCCTGCACAAATGATTCCTTCCAAACTCTCTTTTCAACTTTGCTTTCTAACAACAAGAGTATTGTTTGGGCTCGAGCACCAACGTCTGCTTTTTGGAGGTCCCTTCCAAAGTTTTCCACTATTCGCCCCTGTGAGTGATGTCACGAAATTAGGTGGACACGTCAATAACGTCAGGACGCTTGAAAAACTCTCAAGTCGCTCGTATGTCCAAAATTCAACAGGAAGTCGGCCATTTTGGTGGAAGCGGCCATTTTGGCTGAATTCCAGAGTTCTTATCAGTGAATTGGCACAAGTCAATTTCAAAAGGAAGAAGACATTCTTGGCAGCTGGGCGATGTGAAATTGTTAAGCTTTTTTTAACGCCATACGTAGTAGGCGGCGAATGCGGTGAAACTTCGCTCCAAGTATTTGTATTGAAAATTGTCATGACAATGGAACCCCAGAGCCAATTTCACACAGCAACATGCTTGTGAGTCTTTTCATTCAACCAGGTCATTCCAATCTCATAGTATTTAATCGATCGCAACTGGACTCATCCGGTTGTCGTAGAAGACGTTTCACCTCTTGTCCCAGAAGGCTTCATCAGTTCAGTACTTCATCAGTAAGGCTAGTGTAGTCCTAACTGAGCCTTGTTCCAAGTGGGCCTCATAAAGTTTTGAAAACACTGCTGTAACTTGCCACGCTCAATGTCCAATGTGGTTGGAGCAGTTAACTCAAAAGTTTAATGACACTGCTCAACAAGTTTTTACATTTTTTCTCTTGAATCAGAGACGTCTTTCTAGATCTTTCTAGTTTTTTTTTTTGGTTTGTGTGCATATTCTGAATATGCCCACATTTTTTCATTGGCACATCAGGTTTTCATAATATTCATAACAATAACATAATAATGTAAAACAAAAAATTAAACTATCATAAACCAGATGTGCGAGAGAATCGGTGTCAAAAATACATTAACCCACATAAAAGTAAACCAAAAAAAAATGCCAAATTTTAGACTCAAACCTTGCTGTTAATTATAAACATCACACATGCCACTTTTTAAAATCCTCAACGGGCTTACAAAAAAGGGGCAATAATTCAGTCAAATTAATTTATGTAGCCTTTAATCATGGATAAGTCTCACAGTTGACAAATATAAATGACATCCCCTGATGTTAACCCCCAGAAGAGCAAGCAAAAACAAAAAAATCCCATCTGGGGAAATTTTGAGAAACCTTATGAAGGGGCCGCAGATGGGGGAATCCCCTTGCCAGGATGACTTACCTGTATGTGCAGGATTCACCCTTTCTTGATGAGTGCAGATTGCGTCTTGTCTTCTTGTGTTGTGTTAAGATTAAAAAGATGCACAGAACTCATTTGGAAGCCAGGAGAGTGGCACTTGTTTGCTGATTTCTATTTAAAATGAGTTTGAATGTGATTGGTTAATTCTATGCAAAGCCACTTCCGCAGGTATGAGAGCGTGTCCACGTTTGTTCAATCTCATCATCTCAGTTGTTTGCTTTGAAACTGCCCTCTAAAAAAAAAAAAAAAAGATGTTTTCATGACTGAGTTGTACAAGTTGAAGATCATGTTAATACTGGGAAGAGTTTGAAAATGATTTAAAATTTGTGTCATTTTTATATCACATCAACCTGGCATTTGAACAGGAGAGGGCAGAGATTTTATATCACTGTGACTGTAGACTTAGACCCTCGTAAACCTCGAAGTCACCCGCTTTGCCTCCTCCTGTTCTATTTTGGGACTGAATGGGTCACAGATGACTGCTATTGTCTTTTTTTAAGTCATCCCTCCATAGCTCTACGTCGATGTCAAGGTCACTTAGCATGTGAAGGTCACTGTGGTGAAAAACAATGCCACCACATCTCATCAAACATCACTTCTTAATGACCTCCCCTTAGTCCATGAACCCTTTTGGACGTCTGCTTCCAAACACGCACACACACTTACATAGAAATACACACACAGCTCCACACTGTCTTGTCCCCAGCCCTGGTTGCCTAGGAGACAGCTGATGGGTTCCCCATCTCCTAAAAACAGCACCAATAAGGCAGCGTGGCAGCCAAGATCAGATTCCAGCGTTGGGGATATTTGTCTTCCTCTAGCGGTCAAACTGAGGTACTGCGCAGGCTGTGATTCTGCCTAGTAACCCAATCTGCTGACTTCTCCTGTCTGGCACCAACATCAATCTTGACAGATATATTCAAGAAGGCACTTACTCTGGAGTAGACTTTATTCGAAGTGACATATTAGTATATGATATAGACTCCTGTTGTTATTAAAAGCATCAAGTAAAAACACCACGTTAATAGACAGCAGCGGGTAGCAGGAAGTTAGGGTGTGACTTGTGCTGTGAGTTCCTCCCCAAGGTCAATCACAAATTTCATCAGAATGTGCCTCAAAAAATAAAACAAAAAGTCAGCATTTGTAGTTACAAACGGTTTTGTCCCTTAATGGCCACTGTATCACACTAAAATGACCAATCCAAGCACCCCTTAAAAGAGTCTGAATACGCCCATGGCTGAGACCAAAGAAAAAAAATATCCCTGCATTATATACGACACCAGAAACAGCTTTATGTGTTCTGATGTCCCGCTGTGTTAGGAATGTCTTGAACAAACAGCGCCCTCCAGTAGCCTGGGAAAATGCTAGCAGAGCAAAGCAAATTCACTTAATTACATATTTGGTTTTCCCCTGATTAATAAAAGTACCACCATCGCCTGTGTGACATCACACAGAGAACAGCGCCCTTGCTAGAGCATAGGTGTTAATGTTCAGAGTTGCTTGTAGCACATAATTCTTTTTAACATGTGCAAACACTTCCTAAACTATCTACAGGCTAATCAAATGTGAGCAAATCTGGCCAATGTACAATATCCTGCCTCATTGAAACCGTGATAAAAGGCCAGGGTGGTTTAAAAAGAGAAAAGTCCATGTATGCTGTCTAGAAAGACAAAAAGAAACAAAATGTCTTCTTGTGGAGATCTAAACAAATCGTCCGAATGTCTTTGTGCACATTCTGTCATCTAAGCCTCGCACGCTGACTGGATGCTGCCGTTTGGCTCGCCGAGCGCCGGCGGTGGAACGCTGTTGTCGGTCATCTCGCCAACGATGAAGGTGGGCGCCTCGCCTTTGCCGCTGTCGGGCGGCGCCGCCTGCGGCTCCGTGGCGGCCTGCTGGACGAGGGTGGGCTCCTCGTCTAGCCGGCTGGAGATGGACCAGTAGAGGTGAGCGTCCAGCCTAGCGGCAGCCAATGAGAGTTCTCGTGCCGAACAGGAGGGCGTGTCCACCTGGAGTGGGATGAAAGGGTACCAATTAGTTGTACATCGTCAATGAAATGACTTACATTCAAAGGTGTAAAACATCGTCGCCGCAAAAGTCATCGCTTTTTTTTTTTTTTTTTGGTGTCTATGTCAGGGATTACAGTAGCCCTTCTGACATGTTACAGTCAGCCATCTGACACTATATATGGGTCGGATGGCTGTCATAACAATTAGAACAATATTGAATCATAACCAGGTGAGACGTTACCTCAAAGGTGTGATGGAAAGCACCGTAGTCAACATCGAAGAAGCCCTCAGCCAGCGACATCATGGGACTGAAGCGGTGCCCCCATTGCACCTCCTCAGCCAAGTAGGAGCTCCGGGCTTGGCAGGTCATGCCTTGCACACAGGCAGCGGACATCACACGCGTTACTCAGAATCGCTTTGCGCCGCAAACCAAGACAGAATAATTTGAGTGATGCAACGGGTGACGAATGATGAGCCCTTATTATGATTATTCTCTGCGGCAGAGTTACGACTGAAAAACCTTCGTCGGAAGTTGCTGAGCAAGGAAATCAATAGCCAACTTCACCCCCGTAGCGTCAAAGAATAGCTCGAAACTTTTATCATCCTCCTCTGGGGCCATTTTGCCGCAAGGCAATAATATAAAGAGCTTTGCTAAGCCACATCTTGTGCAGTTTTTATACCACTTTGAATTAAAATGACCACAATACTTTTTTTATTACGTATGTAAGTGGATGAAAGAACAATTGGGGCGGCCCCGTGGTCGACTGGTTAGCGCGTCAGATTCACAGTGCAGAGGTGCAGGGTTCGATTCCAGCTCCGGCCTTCCTGTGTGGAGTTTGCATGTACTCCCAGTGCATGGGTGGGTTTTCTCCGGGTACTCCGGTTTCCTCCCACATTCCAAAAACATGCATGGCAGGTTAACGGAACACTCCAAATTGTCCAAAGGTGTGATTTGGGAACACGGAGGGTTGTTTGTGTGTGTCTGCCCTGCGATTGGCTGGCAACCAGTTCAGGATGTACACCGCCTACTACCAAAAAACAGCTGGGATAGGCTCCAGCACGCCCACGACCCTCGTGAGGATAAGCAGATTGAAAATGGATAGATGGATATTTTATCGTGATGTTACAAATAACCAAATAAGCAGAGATTTGAGCCCTCAAGCCTCAGAGCTGTGAGGCAGACTGGCCAAACACTTGTCCACCGTGCCTCTTCACAAAATAAGAAGGTTGAAATTTCTTTCATAATCTCACCTGTTGCCTCCACCATTCCTTCCAGGATAACCACGATCTCAAAGTCCTCCTTCTCCAGCTGCGCCTGCGACATGTCCCAGAAAGGAGAGCGGGCGTCGATCTCATGCGAGATTACCAGCGGCGATACCAGGAAGAGGCGGTCGTCGCCTGTCTCGAAGCCCACGCTTATGTCCGTCTGGTCCAAGGGGATGAACTCGCCTTCAAAGAAGGGACGCAGAGGGTAAAAGTGTGAAATTCACAGCTCGCCACAACATTATAACAAACAAGAATTGATTTCATAATGTCCTAAAAGACCAACACACTCCACTTTTTTTTTTTTTTTTTAAATCACAGATTTTGGACACGTATGAGACTGCTTTGGCCGCCAAGTGCATATCTGATGTTGCTCACTGTGGTCCATGAGATGCTCAGGAAAATTGAAGGAAACATTGGTTGGCAGTCTTACCCTCCTGCGTCTGCTTGGATTTGATGAGCTTGGCCCGCATGTTGGCGCCCACAATGTGTGAGCTACGCAGGTCGCCCACCCGGAACATCAGGCACAGCTTGTCGTCCCGCAGAGAAATGACGGCATTCTTAGAAAACACCAGCGTCTCGGCCCGCTTGTTGGGCTGTGAGATCTTCACGAACATGCAGCCCACCTGCGCCGACACCACATGCTAGTTTTCATCACCTGGTCAAGTCAGACTTTGATTGGGTGCTTGTTGCTAGGCAGATTACCTACAGCTTGACAATTACAATTGTGAAAAAAAATTGATATTGGTCAGCCACACTAAAACTGTTTGAAATCACTCCAAAATAACACCAACCTGAATGACGGTACGTCTACTCTACATTAAGATGCAAAAACACATGCTCACCATGAAAGCGTTGACCATTGATCCCAGAATGGCCTGCAGCAGCAGCAGCATGGTGCCGACGGGACACTGGTCAGTGATGACGCGGTGGCCGTAGCCAATGGTGGTCTCCGTCTCGATGGAGAAGAGGAAGGCCGAAATGAAGCCATTGACATTGTTGACGCACGGTGTCCACGTCTCGTCCTCAAGGTGGTCCAGATCGCCCCTGAGGATGATAATGGCAGCAAATCCGATTCAAAAAGGCTGATTTGAAATGTATGGATGACACACAACTGCAATGTCAATTTGTAAAAATTACAGATTGATTTTATTTTATTGACACACCTCAGAAACCCGAAAATTGGCATACTAAATGTATTTATCTATTTATTTAGTTACCGGTAGTTATTTTTTGGGACGGTGCACATTATCAACATGACAATAAACAGTGTAAATGTGCCGGACTTAGCATAAATGCTAATTTTCAGCCGTAGTCCCAAGGCAAGTTTCTAAAATAGCACAGTGAGACACATAAAACTTTAAGACCACAATGACAGAAATTCAACCCCACCCTTCTGTGTCAGTACCTTTCACACTAAGTCGCGAAAACAGAAAGATACGGTTTTGACGGGTAGTATCAAATGGACTTATAAAGATACCCTGACCTCAAATGTTGGAAAATGAGTTGGTTAGCTGGTTTGCCAACTTCATCCGCCACCATTCCTTGTAGCTACTATACTTCACACAGAAAAGTGACGAGAGAACTGACCAGGGCGCGACAGTAACAGTCCACCATTAACCATTCTGTGCTTGTCCCGTTCATGAACATCAAACTCAAATTTAACCTGCCCACAAGTGAAGCTTTTCGCAGCTCCTGATCTAAAGTCAACAGAGCTTTTGTGTCTTTTCGAACACAGCGTAAAAGAATGCTAACAGCATGAGATGGACACACACTACTGCTGACATGATTTGAACGTGTCTCTCGCCATTTTGCCGTCATAAGCCAACACCACTGGGACAAAACACTTTGTGTGACAGGAGCTAATGTCTCTTAATAACCGAGGAAGATAATCCATTAAAGTGGTGTTCATTTATAGCATCCGTGTCTTTTATATGAAACGCCGTCGATAGCAAGGAAGCGCAACGGTAGCGGCTCTGTGCCGCTGCTGGCACCGGTGATCCATTGATACGATAAGGTCAGGATTTTACGAGGTGAACCCCTTTAGCTAATTTGAGAGTCGCTTCTGCAGAAAGTGCCATGTGGCCATTATGCGGCGACTGCTTCTTCTTTTTCTTTTCAGCCTTCGCAGCAGAAACCCATCTGAGGACTTGTCGCCGGGCGGTTCAGAGGAGGTGACGCAGCCCGCGTGATGGTTCAATTAATATATATGCGCTTGTGTTGTATTGATGTCGCGCCAAGTGTCAGATTGGGCGCTCCATTAGTCGTGTTTGGCGATAAACAAGACGGCACCAGGCGAGTACAGAGCAGCTTTGCTTGACGTACGCCGCTGCTAATGCTCGCTAAATAATTACCTAATTGTGTTGAAGATAAATGGTGTGCCGATTCGCATTTTGAACACGGCAGCAGAAAATAAAACGTTATAAATATTGTTGGCAAGGTGTCATTAGTAAAGTGATATTAATTTTGGGTTATTTATAGCATTATATCATAACTAAAGAGCAGGTTTGCCACATTGTTTAGCTAAATGAGATGAGTCAAAACATTGCTTACACCTTTCACTATGATGCAGCGCAGTTATGAATGAATGGAACACGAACATTTCAAATGTAGGAATTAAAAAAAAAAAAGAATTAATCTAAATGTATAATTGAGAATCACCGAAGTTTGATTTTAAACAAAAATGTTCTCAATGTGAAAATGGTCATTTGAAATATCACATTTTAATATCGCGGTGATTATAAAAAAAATGGTCATTACAAAAAGTAAAACAAATGTTGAATGTGATTATTTCTTAATAAATATTTTCATCTTAAACATTATTACATATACTGTCATTTTTAACTTTGTCATTTTCATTTAAGTGCAAAGATTTTCATTGTAAGTGCAAATATTTTCATTTTAAACAGAATTTTCATGATAAAAATGCATGTAATTTTCGTCATACATTTAATTTTGAATAACAAAAAAAAAATCATTTGAAACAGATTAAACTAACTTGAAGGTAAAACATATTTTTTTAAATGTTTCATTTTAAATGTAAAAAGTATTATTTTAAATATAAATTTAGTTTTAAAAGTAAAAGGGCTCATTTTGAATTGACAATTTAAATTTTTATCATGCAAATTCTCCATTTTAAACATCCGATGGTCAATTTAAACATCCTTCCATCCATACATTTTGTATAGCGCTATCGCGGAAGCCTTTTTCAGATGACTTGTCACCAGCCAATCTCAGTATCTTAAACATAGGAATTGTTTTTTTGAACCAAAATGAATGAATTTGAAAAAAACAAAACATTGAAACCTTGTGACAAATGCCAATGAAACAAATGGATCAAGGGCAACACCAACCTGCAGTAGGCGATGAGGTACCAGATAGCGCCGAAGAAGAGCCACGTGACGGCGTACGCCATGACAAAGACGAAAAGTGAGCAGCGCCAGTTGAGGTCCACCAGAGTGGTGAAAATATCTGTCAGATAGCGATACGTCTCCCGCATGTTGCCGTGCTGCACGTTGCAGCGGCCGTTCTTCTCCACGTAGCGTTGCCTCTTGCGGCGAGTGCGAGCTGGTGCAAAAATATCAAGACAAACGGCATCATAGATTGTCTTCACACTGTCACCATGAAATCACTCACCCCATCCGAATCGCCCTCTCTCCTTCTCTGGCCCTTGGGTTTTCTTCCTGGTCTGATTGACTGTGGCCTCCCGCTCGGCCATCTTTGATTGGAACGACCGGTTCACCTTGACCGCCTCGGTGGTGACGACGTGACCCAGCTCCTCGGACACGTTGAAGACACCACGGCCGTCCGCAGGGGTCATCGGGGCCTCGGTGACCGCCTCCTGCTCCCCTTCTGGCTTGTGGTCCACCGGCAGTGAGAGCGAGTCCGGACGCGGGGTCAGGACAGAGTTCTCCACAGCCATCACTTGACTGTGTGTGTGTGTGTGTGTGTGTGTGTGTGTGTGTGTGTGTGTGTGTGTGTGTGTGTGTGTGCGCGTGTTATTGAAATGTCACTTTGGCGAACTCGGTCCACTGGATATTTGTTGTACTACCATTTGTTTGCTGAAACATGAGAAGGAAAACAAGCAAGTCAGACTATTGTTGTGACACAATGACTGATTTATCCATCTCAAAACAAATACACATACAGTATGAGCAAAACTACTCAGGTGACAGTAGACCATCGCCAAGGCCAAATAATTATTTGCTTCTCAACTCAACTGAATTTATAGAGCACTTTCAAACAGCCATCGCTGCATACAAAGTGCTGTACATGGACAAATGCAGTTGACTATGCTTGAACTGCTAAAAACATGTACTAAGACTGAGAAAAATTTGAACTGAATTGCTGAGCGTTAAACTCTTTTGAGATGTATTCTGGTGACACGGGAAAGACATAAAACAGTTATAATGCTCATTATAAATGACAAAAACTGCTTGTCATTTTTTAAGTGGAGGGAAAAAAATCTACATCCCGCACCAAGTGTATACATCTTTGTATTATAACATTAAAGAATTGTTTTCTCATTTTGTGCTTATGATGACACTTTTCGCCATGTCCGGTCCTCTGCTGCACTTCCATTGCATGCAATTTTCTGAAGTCACACATAATGCCAGTCGGAAGTCCAAATTTTGGTTGATTTTTGAGGCGAACTTTTTTTTTTTTTGAAACAGAATTCGAAATTGTTCTGTATTGGGGGTTGCATTTGCATAACCCATTGTGGTCAGCATATTTTGCATGTTTTGAATTGTGTGAGCGTGTGTTTGTGAGTGCGAGCGTGTGTGTGTGTGTGTGTGTGTGTGTGTGTGTGTGTTTGTGTGTGTGTGAGAGAGAGTGAGAGAAAAAGAGAGAGAGAGAGAGGGGTAAGTAAGATAGGGAGGCAGAGAGAGAGAGAGAGAGAGAGAGAGAGACTTATAGTTTATGTGCGTGTGTGCTATTTTCACTGTGCATTGCTATCACAGCAGGCCGTCTCAGGTGTCTTGCATAATGCGCGCAGCAGGCCTGCCGTTTAAAAATATATATATTTTATTATTATTACAAATAATAACGAGTCTATTTGCATAAGTCGAATGATTTATTTTGGCGTGGGTCCATCGTGAAACTGATGGAGAAAATCACAATGACGTACGATCACAAATTTGACACAATCTGTGAACAGGGTTTATGTACCCAAGCAACGGTTCGCATTTGGTCAACAAAAGTGGCTGTACATTCAAATAACGAAATATCGCACCTGATTAGTTTAACCTCATTTGCCGAAGAAGATAAGTATTCGTCGTGTGGAACGGTGGTTCGACGCGTCCGTCCATATTCGCCATCGATCCGGTCGATCCTCCGGGACCTTGAGGACAAAAGAAAATCCCTCAACCCCGAAAATGGACCTTACGCGTCCGCCTTTCCGAGGCTAGCGTGTCGCTGTGGCTGTGAGGTGGGGGAGTCTTCCGCCGTGCGTGGATGCGATGGAGGCGGGCAGGTGTCGTCAGCCCAGCCCCTCTCACCAAGCCTTGCATTGCCTTGATGAATGGTGCTGTAATTGCATCCTTTGGCATTATTTCTTTTGAATAATGTACATCTGACCCATTTACGTGTTCAAAACTATGCGCTTAAGCCTCTTTAAAGTTAAAAAAAAAGCTGTGTGTAAATTTACGGTATACACTGACACTCACTAGACACAGCATGAGGAACACCAATACAAGAAAAAATAGGAGACACCAAATACTCTCAATATATTCCATTTATATTCAAAAAGTAATGTATTCTAATTGCACCTATTTTCTCGTGTCATGCACACTCCGAATCAGCAGTGGGCGGTAAAAAGCTAATGTGGCTAAAATACGAGACTGTTCGTCGAAGCTGGGGACGAAGAAGTCACTCCTTTCCTTCTTTTCCAATATGTCGGTTTTCGGGCCGGTTGTGAAGGTTCATCCCGTCGTCCTCGCCTCCATTTGCGACTCGTACGAGCGACGAAATGAGGGAGCGAGTCGCGTGATTGGCACCCTGTTGGGTAAGAAGCCATTATGTTGGTGAATAGCCCATTTTGTCACTTCGTCCGATCGTTGGCGCGTTCGCTGGTTTTAGCATGTCTGCTGCTAACGCGTGCGTGTTACTCGTCTCACTAGTACATCACTAGAACCAAACATCTGGTACTGTCATGTACTCGTAAATATCACTCTGTTAAGATTAGGTAATATTGGACGATCAAAGTGGATTGTAACGTTTGCGATGTGTTTGTAATGTGAGTAGTAGGTGTACTGTGGCTAAATGTAACTAGTTGATACGTTTACGTGTTATTTGAAGGTGTGTTGTCCCCCTCCAGGTACCATCGACAAGCACTCGATCGAGGTGACCAACTGCTTCTCTGTGCCCCACAATGAGTCTGAAGACGAGGTGCGTTGTTCATGTCTCTTTACTCTTTATTGTTGTCGCCGTAGTTTATTTTAAAAAAGACAGCACTCAACTCCATTTTGAAGAGCACTTTTGAGAACAACTCAAGCTAAGAGAAAGAGTCGCGGACTCGCTGGAACCTATCCCAGCTGTCTTCGAGTAGTAGTAGGCGGGGTCCACCCTAAACTGGTTGCCAGCCAAGAGGGAATTTTAAGCAGCAGCAACCTCTAGATCGCTGATGTACGGTCTTTGATGAGACTCTTTGCTCATGGACAGTTGTGTGACTTGATATTCCTTGTCCTCCCACAGGTCGCCGTTGACATGGAGTTTGCCAAAAACATGTACGAGCTACACAAGCGTGTCTCGCCCAGCGAGGTCATCATCGGCTGGTACGCCACAGGCTTCGATATCACTGAGCACTCTGTGCTCATCCACGAGTACTACAGCCGCGAGGCAACCAACCCCATCCACCTGACCGCTGACACAGCCCTGCAGAGCGGCAAGATGAACATTCGTGCCTACGTCAGGTCTGTCTCACCGTCTTTATTTCGTCGCGCATTTTATGCCAACGACCACTTCCTAACACCTCATCTCTTACACAGTGCACAGATGGGCGTGCCCGGGAAGACGGTCGGCGTGATGTTTACTCCACTCACAGTCAAATACGTCTACTATGACACAGAGAGGATAGGAGGTAAGGAAAGAAACACTCTTCAGTGTCAGCGTTTCCACCAAGTAGTCAGGGAACAACTGACAGTAATTTTTTTTTTTTCGTCTTCCCAGTCTCTAATATATCTAATGACTAAGTTGCATTTAACTTTGTAAGACATGCATCTTACCTTGCAAGATCTCTGCATGTTTTCCTTGAATGCACCTCTTTAATGTTCTGTGAATAAAAATTTGCCTTCACGATGTTGTCTTTATATATTGTTTTTTGTTTGCTTTTTAAGTGGACCTTTTGCAGAGGACACGCCTCACTACTAGTCGCGCCAAGGGCCTGACGTCGGACCTCTCCCAGGTGGCCGGCTCTGCTGCACGCGTTCAGGACATGCTGACCACCGTGCTAGCATACATCGAGGATGTGCTGGTGAGTCTCTACAGACATTTTATCAATCGCCTGCATCTTGTACTTTGAGAACGTTAACCTGGGCTGTGTTTGGAATCTCTCCCGATCCACTACGTAGTGCCCTATAAAACAAGGTTGCCATTTTGTAGTGTTGTTTGAATGTACTATGCCCTCACTGTATCTCACAATGCACTTCCTAGTATTCCATATTAGCAAGCATCGTGCTAAATGTGACCTCTTTATCCGTCTCAGTCTGGCAAGGTGACGGCAGACAACAGCGTGGGCCGCTTCCTGATGGACCTGGTCAACAAGGTACCGACCATCTCAGCGGAGGACTTTGAGAATATGATCAACTCCAACATCAACGTATGTTTGTCTTTCTTGTCACGGTTGATTAATGGGTCATGTTTTCTCTCCGAATTGGATTAACCACACGTCAATTAATGCCATGTCAAATGTTTCTTGACAGGACCTCTTGATGGTGACGTACCTGTCCAACCTCACCCAAGCACAGATCGCCCTTAACGAGAAGCTGGTGCTGCTCTGAGGCGCTATTTAATTTTTGGTTACAAGTTGCCCTTTTCTGAGATGAATAAAAGCTACATATTCCCAGAGTCCATCCCCTCCTTGAAGCAGCTTGTGGTGTCATTTGATCACTGATTTGACTTTCTAGGCACATTTGTGATACAGTACTCCAGGAAACAAACGGATAGCAACACAATTTATCTGTAAAACCTGGTATAAATGTAGTCACGATGGGAATCAATGACACCATGATCTCAATATCATGCTGAAGTGACAACTGATTTGAAGGTGCTCGAGTACTGTACATATTTGGTTTTAATTTGGACTGTATTGTTAGTTTGCAATATTGATACTACAGTGATAATTGATACATTTGAAATAAAATCTAAAGTTGGTCAGTGTACTGTACTCTTAAAAACATTTTCATTTTACTGCAGTACTACTTTAATGAATGGGATGTTATCATTGGAGTATTGTATTCGAGATGTTGACATTGATCATTTGTCCCACGAATTGTTGAATGTTTTTTGAGTAACACCGTAGTCTGTGAAACGTTTGACTGTTTATTATTTTTGTAATAATTCTCTGCATAAAATATACATTCTAATTGTCCAGCCTGAGTTATCTTCGTACAAAATGTAGGCATAAATAAGAGCACCCAGTTGTTGGAGCTGCTGTTGTCTTCCTGCTTTGGTGACCCTCAACGTTTCCCCGGAGAGTCGACGCCCGGCTCGGCCTTTTTGCTTTGCGGTTTCAGGATCCTTTCCATGGCGGCGTAGCCGTTCACGGCCCCCTCGTATAAGGTGTCGCCGGCGGACCTGGCGACGGTCGCAGCACGATCTGGGTAGTAGAGGGAGGCGCTGGTGGCCATGAGACCCGCCGGATAAATGACCCTCTTTACCCGCGAGCGTCTGGCCAGAAGCAGCCCCAGCACGCCGGTACAGCCAATGATACCGGCACGCGCGTAGAAGTCCCCCGGCGGGTTTTTGAGAAACGCCCAGGAGTTGCCCGCCAGCTGCGCCGCGCTTTGCACTTTAGGTTCGATGCGGTCGTAGGTGGTCCGACACCAGGCAGCGTACGGCTCCGCAAACTTCCGCAGCGTGGCAACACTACGCTCCAGTTGCCCGGCTTTCGGCTCCTCGGAGACGGCTTTCTCTTGTCGCGGCGGGGCGTACAGCGACAGGTCTTCCCGTTTCAGCTTTGCAGGCGTGGGTTTCTTTCCGTCACCCGCCGCGGCGTAGACAGTGGCCGGCCACAAGGTGAAGGCTCCGGCCATGAGTCTACCTGTCACCTTCAACATGATCCCTGGTAGCCATGAATGGCCAATACGGCGACTCGGGAGGAACATCCTTCCCCAAGGCGAACACGTTCGACTATCTCCACAACCTCAAAACAACAAACCTCATTTAGGTTTTGTAGTATGTATTTCATCCAGAAATTGGTTTCGTCATATGGCACAAAAATATCTCGGTAATTATAGCTATTTTTATAGAAACGTGAATTTCCTATTGACTGTTGTACGGAGTGTCGCTTTAAACGTCACGTTACGAGTTGACGTTTTGTAGCGCTTAGTCATGTGACGTAATTGTGCCCATGGTAACAACGACGTCTCGAGGATACAACAGTGGCACGCTGCTTTCTGCTGGAAGATACTTTACAAAAGTAGAATAATCGTGATATAATTTCTTCAATTGAGAAAAAAAATGGAATATCTTGACGTTTCATCCGTTCAGAACATTAAGGCACTGTCTGCCTTGCTTTCCTCTCAACAAGAAGAGGAAAATGATGAAGATTATCAAGTGAGTATATTTTCCCATGTCAGTGTTCAATTATTTTTTTTCCTGGTTCTTGAAGTCTTTTTCTCATTCAAAATATTTCCAGGATGTGTCTCCTTATGCAAAGATGGGCCCCGGACATATAGGGCCACCGACCAAAAAAGAGAAAGAAGGTACAGTACTAACTTATTTCTCATCAAGAAAAAAACGAATAATGCATTTAACAAGTTGTGTGTGCATTTTAGAGTCATCAGTTTACGCGAAAAAGAACAGCAAAGAGGTGTGGAGCGAAGAGGAGGTGACCGACGGCCCGCAATACGATGATGTCACTGACCCACGGCCGCAGCCTCAGTACGTTCACACAGCAACATATGGATTTACAGTAGTCATGTTTTACTGCTAAATGAGACGTGTTCCCCTATTTGGAAGTCACTAATCAAGCCTTACGACGTGAAATATAAAGTGCTTTCTCCCCCCTGTGACTATGCACAGATATGAAATCATCCTCAAGCAAAGTGTCGGCACAGAGGATCTCTTTTTGGGCTTGAGCAGAAAGGACCCTTCCTCCATGTGCTGTGAGGCAATGCTGGTAATGAGGTTTCTGTCCTAGTGGAAAATTCCACAACCAATAAATTATCTGCCTATTTCCCAAAATGAGAGCAACTCGTTTCAGAATTTTGCGCTGTAACAGTGAGGCTAATTTTACTGCCTCCTAACTTCATGACTTGGCAATGAGGCTATTAGAAAAGCTCCAGTTTTTAAGTGATGGCCACACTACTTGGAAGCACTGTCATGTCAATAAATAAATAAAAATAAATCAACGCTTCACTCCACGCCACAGTAAAATTGCTCAGAAATTGTTTCAGAGACACAATTCCATAATCAGACCTTCCCTGTTGACTTTGACCACAAAGGGAGGGAAGAATGTTCAAATTTGTCCCAACTGTCGGTATGTATGTGTGCCTCGCTCTACAGGTCACAAGAGCATTTGAAAGCTCAGACTCCACTACAATAAATAAACACAAGACATATGTGTGGCCCACATAAAGCACAACAGTCCAAAATGTTGATGATGGATATTTCTACAACCAGGTGAAAATCAAACTCCCGGACAGCAAAGTGACGGACGTGACTCTGGACTTGAAAGAAAAGTTCCTTGATCTTCGGACACCAAAATAGTAAGAAACATTATTAATACCTTTGATTACCTCTTGTAATGCTCATGACACACTTCTGTCAGACTTCGCCTCGGATCAGATTTAATTTAAAACATGTTACGTTGTTATAACATGTTTATAACAATGTCTATCATGAGTGGACCCACAAAAAGTCTCAAGCATTTTGGTTTCTAATCTAACATTAACCTGCACATTTTGTGTCTTAATGTTGTAGTCGACTTGGCCTCCACCTCCCGCACCCGGTCCACCACCAGGAGGGTAAGGCTCAGTTTTTTAGCGAAAGAGAGGAATTAGAAGTGACGCTGGTGATGAATCGACCACTAGACGCCATTAACATGCAGTGAAACTCGACGGCTCGCAAGATCACACCTGGACCGGATCTGACTGTCAGCTAATGAAGACTATGCACATTGATCCAACACAGTATCATGATGAAAAATGGTCCCCATGATCCATTTTGGATATCCGACATGCTGTTCGGAGTTACTCTGTTCTAAACTGCAAATACAGTGCTCTCATATTTTAATTTGCTCTCCAAAGTCTCTTTTTGAAGACAAAATAATGCTCAGGCAATTTTTTTAAGGCAGCATGTTTAATTGACATTCAAAACAGAGTGGGGCAAAAGTAGGTGTAAACATTTTTTTTTTTGTCCTTTTTATCACAGTCCAATTTTTCATGGAATATTTTTGTCTCTTACATCTTGACCTTCCTTCCTTCCCTAAATTGCTTTTTATTCTTGCATCTTTCCTTCAATCATTCCTTCAGTGAAAGCTCCTTTCTTTCTGACCTCTTTCCCCTGGCATCTTTTCCATTCTTCAGTTCTCTCGTTCTTTCTTGTCTTCCTTCCCTCAGACCTGTTTTTTGATTCATATGTCCTTCCTCCTGTCATTTAAACCTGCTTTTCTCCTTTCCTTTCGTCTTCCACTCCAGACCTTTTTCTTCTTCCTGACCTCTAGTCCTCCTTACCACCCTCCCTTTTGACTTCCTTCCTTCCTCCATTAGCGCTGTCCCTCAAAACCATTTATTTTGAATCCTTTCTTTGTTTGGAACTACTTTTCTGTATTCCTTTCTTTCTTAAGCACCTATCCAATATTCAACTTTGTAGCTTGTGTACTCGTGCTGTACTGTAAAACACCTCATAGAATGTATCCACATTTTCTACATCCTTGATCAAAATGTCAAGCGGGTTTTGAGCCACCTGGTGGCAAATGTCAATAAAATGATAAAAACAAAGTTGAGGAGAAAACGCTTCATATGACTATCACTTGTTTCTGTATATATGATTACTGGTATCATTATTAAGGAAGGAAACGCTTGGTTTCCCGGCGTGCACTTGTTCCACTGCGCAGGCGCAGACGGCTTTATTTATTTCACGACCCGAGACAACCGGAAACTACGAGGCTGTGGACTTGACCGCACTTGGTAAAGTTTATCACTTAAAATACTTCACACATTCCTATAGCATTTTAAATAAAACGTTGTTGAACGTCTACATTTTTTTTAAGAAAAGTGGAAAAAAGCTAACGGCTCGCAAAGCTGGAGTATCGTTAGCACACACGGGCCCCTTCATTCAATGCTTAGCATGTCCTTTTTAAAACACTTTCCTGACAATAACCTGCTTCGACTCGCTTATATTTTACGCCGAACCTGTAAAATCCCCGAGAAAACACGATCTTACAAGCCACTGGCCTTTATTACTTACGTCGAGTGGTGTAGTGAAGGATTAGCATCTTTAAGGTGACTATACATGATTAAAACTGCATTTTATTCTGGGGAGATTCTACCTCCAAAGACAGGTTCGTAAACATTAGCTCATGACTCGCTTACATACGTTCAGTTTTTTTTTTCTATTTTAATTGTTTGACAGAGTTACACTGGTGTAAATAAGATCATAATTCACTTTGCAAGTGTCAAAGGAATTTGAATTAATATATCAAAAGTCTTGTAAAGCTGTACCTTTATTGATTGTTCATTTATTAATCTTGGGTGGAAAAGTTAATTTTTTTTCTGCAGAATGAAGTTGGATTTGTATTTGAGGGAAAAGTTATCATCACACGCAAAGAAGGCTTTACTGCAAGTAGTAATTTAGAGATTTAAGTGTCAAGAATGTCAAGTAAAACTTGTAAGACAAAAAGCGATGATGTTATGAAGATGCAGACAATTTACAAGATCTAATCCTAAAAGAATTAAGGTGTACTTTTAATTTTAAGGACTTTGTTATGAGAACATTTTTTTTTAGGAAATAAACAAAAATTACCACCAGTGCACTTTCAATCATTTTATTCAAGAAAGGAAAAGAAAACAAACCTGTAATAAGTACATTCATGCCAATGTCTAAGACTCAAAATGAACCCTGGACCTCTGGACTGTGCTAAACAGTTGACCACCCGTTATTGTTTTTCAGAATGTGAAATAATTTTTCATCTGATTACTCTGTTATGTAATGTGATAATCGGGAGAATAATCAATTCTAAAATGTTCCGATACCTCCCGCCCGAGGCGCCCGCCGTTGTCCTAAAAGCAGATTAGAGTTTATGACTCATGGATAACTTTTTCACAGTTGTGATGGCGGCAAGGGCGTGATCGGCGCGACCCAGCTATCATGACCGAGTGCTTCCTGCCACCCAGCAGCAGCCCCGCCGAGCAGCGTCGGGCTGAGCATCCGGGTGGCGTGGCGCGCACCCCTAGCTCCGAGGAGATAAGCCCCACCAAGTTTCCAGGGTTGTACCGCACCGGTGACCCATCGCCACCGCACGATGGCCTCCACCATGAGGCGCCAGATGCGTACGTGTCAGATGAGGACAAAGAGCACAGCAAGAAGAAGAACAAGTTTAAGAAGAAGGAGAAGCGCAGTAAGTGGTACTTAATATGGATGAACTAAATGGATGGATGGATGCTGTTTCTATTGCCTGTTTTTAAATTTTCATCCCACTTTTCCTTATTTCCATTTCCGGTTCCCTTTTTCTTTGGCTTCATAAAAGAAGCCAAAGAAAAAGCTGGTGGGGGGTGGGAAGCGCGTGGGGTGCGGTCGCCTCAAGAATATATTTGACATATTATATGATTTATTATAATATTGCATTATATTAAAGGACTTTTTTACTCACCAACCTTTTGTTTTCAATACCTGGTGGCATAAGTGAGCACTAACTGCCTTTTTTTAAGACTTTAAATGATTTAAAATTAGGGCGGTTGAAGCACAAGGGAGTTGTGCCACATTCGTGGCTGACCTCTTTTTTTTCCAAGCACCCCCTGTTTCTCCCGCCTCCCTTCCTGTTTCTCATGTAGAACAACTAACCAGAACTCTCCCTCCCTTTTGCTCTCCCTCTCTCGACCCAGCGGAAGGATATGCCGCCTTCCAGGAGGACAGCTCGGCAGACGAGGCGGAGAGCCCGTCCAAGATGAAGCGCTCAAAAGGCATCCACGTGTTCAAGAAGCCCAGCTTCTCCAAGAAGAAGGAGAAGGACTTCAAGGTGAAGGAGAAGGGCCCCAAAGAGGCAAAAGACAAGAAGTCCAAGGACCTGACAGCTGCCGATGTGGTGAAACAGTGGAAAGAGAAGAAGAAAAAGAAGAAGCCTGCCACTGGTACCGCCCCTGCCGTTGACGTGGAGACATTGCCAGCAGAGATGCCCGCCTTCAGGCCCATCTTCGGTGCCCCCCTAGCGGAGGCGGTGAAGCGGACTGCGTTATATGATGGCATCCAGCTGCCCGCAATCTTCAGGGAGTGTGTGGACTACATCGAGAACTACGGCATGAAGTGCGAAGGCATCTATCGCGTCTCAGGTATGCTTCACACCATGAAAATGGTTATAAAGATGCTTGACTGTACTGTACGGTATATACCCTTGTAAGAGAGGACAGCCAGGGAGAAGTGAGAGAATAAACAAAAGCAACACTTCCTAATCTGGGTTTTCAAACGGGACCGATGGAGGAAAAAAAAAATAGCCATAACAACACTTTCTTAGTTTTAGAGGTGACAGGCGGAGAGGAAGACTACAGGAAGCAACATTAACATGTGCCAATGTGAATGATCGGGGACAGATAGAGAGAGGAAAGTCAAATAAAAGCACGGGCAGGGGACAACCACAAGTCACTGTTAATTTGTGGTTTTTCGAGGGGGATAGATAGCGTTAAAAGACGGAACAAAAAGCAACAACAACACAACACTATTAAGTACATATACTGGTATTTAGTTTCTATTGAGACAGACAGAGAGAAGAAGAAACAAACAGCAATAGCAAATGAGTGTAAGAAGCCAAATTTTTATTGTTTTGGAGAAGGATGGCAAGAGAGAAAAAAAAGGGAGCACAGAGAGAAGAGACCCCCCCAAAAAAAACAATAACAAAAAAACTAGAATGAATGATCTTTCGTGTCTCTGTCAGGTATGAAGTCCAAAGTGGACGAGCTGAAAGCGGCATATGACCGGGAGGAGTGCCCGTGCCTGGAGGAGTACGACCCTCACACGGTGGCCAGCCTGCTCAAGCAGTACTTGCGCGAGCTGCCCGACAACCTGCTGGGCCGGGACCTGGGACAGCGCTTCGAGGACGCGTGCGGTCGGCAGGCGGAGGCCGACAAGGTGAGCGAGTTCCAGCGGCTGCTGGCCGAGGCGCCGCCCGAGAGCCGCCTCCTGCTGGGCTGGCTGGTCACGCACATGGATCATGTCATCGCCAAGGAGGCCGACACCAAGATGAACATCCAAAACATCTCCATCGTCCTCAACCCCACCATACAGGTCCCTTTTTCCGTTGCCATAAATTAGGTCTGTTTATCTTTGAAGCTCCGGCCTACTTTAGAGCATTTATTCTGATGTGGGATATCTATTGGGCTGCTCCACTTTTTCCCAATTTACAAAGTTTGCAATTTTGACACATTTTTAATTTCTTTAATCATATTTTACACGAAACTACAAAATAAAATAAACCCTGTTTAATATTATAGATCACAAAAGTGCATGTGTGGACAGCAAAGTTACTCCTCTAAGTAGTCTTCATGGGCCCCTGCTAATGGTAGTTGATTGTTGAGACGTGATGAATTAAGTTCAATTGGGGAACAAAATATTTGTTGAGTTATTTCTAATAGGTGTGAACTAATTTTTGGGTGCGTAATCCAAAACGCCCCCATAATAGAGGGCTTCTCCCACCTTGTGTTTAGTCAATAAACTTTGACCTTCTCACCATTATTTCAGATCGGAAACCGGGTCCTCTACATGTTTTTCACGCACGTGAAGGAGCTGTTCGGTGATGTAGCCCTGAGGCAGGTGGTGCGCCCGCTCCGCTGGTCCAACATGGCCACCATGCCGGCGCTGCCTGAGACTCAGGATAGCATCAAAGAGGAGATTAGGCGACAGGTGAGAAGATAAATGTTTGTCGTCTGTTGTGTTGCTGCCGTTAGTCTCCTCTTGAATGAAAATTCCCCTTTTAAGGTTAGAGGGGACACAAGGCTGGATGTGACAAAAATATACGCTGCACTCTACGGTTTCCATTTTGCTGCACAGGCCCATTTTCTTGCTGACCTCCATTTCCTTTTGAGGAAAATTAGTCTCCTTTGTCTTTTGGGCGTCTATGGCGAGAAACTCTTGAATGCAATAAGTCGGGTTTTTTTCCCCCTGTAAAGAGAAAATTATCTTCCCTCGCTGACAGTTTCGTCTGTCACTCCAGCCGTCGTCAGAGCTGTCACCACTTCGTAATGTCATGTCACACTAAGAAGTGGTGAAGCTGAAGTGACAGGCGAAACTGTCAGCAAGGTAATATAATTTTCTCTTGATTTAAAAAACTAAAATAAATCTGAAAAAGAGACTTCAAACCAAAATTAGCCTCTGTTAAATTTTGAAGACTTGTTACTAGAAAAGAAAAAAAAATGCACTACTCTACTGTCTCCACTTTGCCTCTGTAGTCCATTTTCATGCTACACACAATCTCGTCTTGGATAAAATAGTCTCCTTGCCATAAAAAAAACCCAAACAAACATTTGAGACCCTCCTCTATTGTTGTTGGTTTTTTTTTTTTTTTAGCATCTTGTCCCGACTGATGTATTTGTGTAGGAGTTCCTGCTCAACTGCCTGCACAGGGACCTGCAGGCTGGCGTAAAGGACTTGTCCAAAGAGGAGCGTCTTTGGGAGGTCCAGAGAATCCTCACAGCTCTCAAGCGTAAGCTGAGGGAGGCCAAGCGACAAGTAAGAGGCGTTCATTTTCAAATGCCACGCCCTCCTTCGTTGAACGAGGTTGGCGTTATGATGGTGACTCTTTTTTTGTTGTTGTTGTTGTTGTTGTGATGATTTAGGAGTGCGAAACTAAGATCGCCCAGGAAATCGCCAGCCTGTCCAAGGAAGACGTTTCCAAAGAAGAGATGACGGAGAATGAGGAGGAAGTGGTTAACCTTTTACTGGCACAGGTGAGTGCCTCGCCACCTTACATACAGTTCATAAACCAGCACTGGTTGTATATATCGCAAGTGTTAGCCTGATACTTTATTTGTCATAATTTGGTCAATTTAATATTTTTGCAAAAATCTATACTTTTAATCGACCCCTGTGTACGTGTTATTTAAAAAAAAAATAGGTCACCGATCTTCGGTGATGAAAAGGGCTTGCTTTCTTTGACGATACATTGTTAATGATTGAACAAGCACGTTTTTGAGGTGAACTGAAAAGGGACAACACAGCACATCAAAGGTATTCGAAACAAAATCAAAGATAACTTTAATAATAAATAAAACATAATAAAGTAAATCAAAATATGAGAGAACTGTAAACGTTGTACATGATACTGTATATTAAAAAAGCAAGGACATGTTGATTTCATCACATTTATTTATGACATTTGCTTCCTTATGTCTGGTTAGGAAAATGAGATCCTGACAGAACAAGAGGAGTTAATCTCTCTGGAGCAAGTATTGCGCCGACAGATTGCCGCAGAGAAGGAGGAGATCGAGAGGCTACGGGCGGAGATCGCAGATATCCAGAGGTAAGACAGTGGCCGTAATTTACGCTTTAGTACTAACTAAAGCCCTAATCTTCCTCCCCAGTCGCCAGCAGGGCCGCAGCGAGACCGAGGAGTATTCTTCGGAGAGTGAGAGCGAAAGTGAGGACGAGGAGGAGCTACAGATGATCCTGGAGGACCTTCAGAAGCAAAACGAGGAGCTGGAGGTAAAGAGTAATTGCCTCAAAAGTCAACAGCAAGCGAGTTCAAGCCGTTGTTGTGTGAAATGTCATCAAATGTTATGATGCTTCAGTCAAGTGTGCGCGTAAAGGGTTAACGCCTTTTTTTAAATCAATTTATCTCATCAAATAATTGTTTCATTTATTTTTGTTAATAGTGACATGAAAAAAAGTGATTAAAAATATTTTCAAAGGTATATATTCTTTATCCTCTGAAAAATAACGACTTTTACTGTAGCTTCAGTTACAGTAGTTGTGAAACTTTTTTTAAATTTTTTTTGTAGGTCTGCATAACTGTAGTATTCTGCTCCCTGGTGACCAAGTTGTGCACACCAGACAAACCCAGTTATTTAATTATGATGCACAAAAGTGTTTAATTGTTTACATTGTACTTAATTATGGTATTACTAGATGATTTTATTATGTACAGTATAGTGGAATGTTGTTGTCCTTATTTAAAAACACATGGGCTCCATCTCAGGATGTATTGTTTTGTATTGTATCTCATTCGCGTCCTGAAAGAAGACAAGCGCTTAAAATAATGCAAGGAACTTAGATGCTCACTGGGTTGGAATCTCATGAGATGACCGTTGTTGCCACGGTTACCGACCGACTTTTGCGTCACAGAACAAGAACACCCACCTGAACCAGGCCATCCACGAGGAGCAGGAGGCCATCTTGGAGCTGCGCGTCCAGCTGCGCCTCCTACAGAGCCACAAGCTGCAGCATGAGCTTGCTGCGCCGCCGCCGCCGCTGCCGACACCAACAGTAGCTGAGCAAGCCGCACCCACGCAACCCAGCCCGGAAGCCCGAGGCGGTGGCGAGGAGCAAGCCAAGGTTGCCGACAGCAGCACCGGTACCACCGCTGCTGCCTGCGTTGTGGCACCCCCCGGAAAGACAGTGAAGGACCCTCCCAAGCCGTCACCCAGCAAAGATCGGCGGGATGGCAACATGTGAGGCAAAGTTGGAAGAAGAGTGTTCCCTTACCTAAAAAAAAAAAAAATACAAATACCATAGTTTGTACATCATTGCTTCATCTTACAGTGACATATTGACCAAATAATTACAAATCTGGAAAGTCCTTGCTGTGGCCTTTTGTACGATGTGTGAGTCAATGAGGTTTGTCCCGAACTGATTGAGGTAGCGGTAAATGTTGACATTTAAAAAAAAAAAGTCTTCTTTTACGTCATTATTTCATCATGAGGCAGCATATTGACAAACTACAAATCTGAGTCCTTGAATAAGCCTTTTAAATGACGTGTGAGTTGATGAGGTTTGTTGTCAATTTATTTTGGACCTGCTTAGTCGCAAATTACAAGTATAAAAAAAAGATTGTTTGTCAGTGCTTCATCTTACTTATTGACTAAATAACTACAGGTATGGGAGGTTCTTGTCATGGCTTTTAATTATGCATGAGTTGATGAAGTTTGCAGAAAATTGATTTGAGTTAATGATGTTTGTTGCTTGACCTGGTTGGTAGTATTTTGATCATTGCTTCATTTTGGGTCAACATATTGACTAAATAATTACACATCTCGAAAGCCCTCGTAAATTCCTTGAATATGACGTCAGCTGGTGAAACTTGTTTTTGATACAGATTTTTTTTTTTGGTGGGGGGGGTCATTTGTTCATCTTACAATACATTGACTAAATTCTTAAAGATTTAGAAACACTCGTTGGATGTAGTCCTATGGGCAACTCTTGAAAATTAACGAAACCAAGAAGTCCACAAATACTCCTCACATATAATAATAATAAACATGTTAGTCTGTCATATATTTTCATAAATTCATATGTCAACAATACACTGTGCCAAAATGAAGACTGATTAAACAAAACAAAAGCTCTTTGAATACATATGATAGCTCTAAATATTTACATTGAAGATATACGTGGATTGAAATGTTTGTAGAAATATATTGTAGGTAACAAATGGCTGGAAGAAATGTTACCGTGCAATCATCTCCATGGGAATTGTCATGATGATTTCTCATATATTTTGCTCTGTATTTTATAACACTCTCCTGTTATGTTCTGGCAATTTGTTGGAGGCTCGGGTGTGACATTTCATATTTTCATTTTTTTCCCCCTCTCCGTGTAAATTATTTTATACATGCATTAATTGACTTGTATGCTTGCTTCTTGTCTCATGATCTGTGTTATTAAATAACGCTGTGACTGAAACATTTATATGCTGTGAGGAATAAGGAAAAGCATGCATTTTTAGTGACTTGTTTGCTTTACGCACAACACGGCCAAAACATTTTTTCTTTTGTTTCCATTCAGAATTAAATATTACTAAATATATTACTACTATAGTATAGTACTATAATATTATTACTATGAAAACCTGATTTGCTCGAGAAAAAATTAGGGCAGATTCAGAATCTGCAACAACAAAAAAAATCTTGAAAATTTACTTGCATCTCAGATTTAAAACATTGGTAAAAATCTTTTGACCAGTTTTATTCATCTCGAAAGAACAGTAGTTATTTATGGTAAGGGAAAAAGAAATACAAAATAAGACAAACGAGGGATGATATTAACTATTACTGAGCCCACCCCCCAAAAATTACATTTTTTTTTGTCCTCTGCCCGTTTCAGACATGCAGTTATGCAAAGTGACGTGTAGTCACAAAAACCCCATACAGGAAGTTAGCAAAATGAAATTATTCATATTGAAAATAATGTGTGCGCGTATATACTAGTAACGTTTTTATAGCAATTTGCGAGCTGACAAACAAAATGAATTCATATGCTCTTCGCAGTTAAAAACAGGATCTCTTCGGTTTAAACTTGTGTCATTATGTACGCTTCTTTCGCCATTTAGTTCTTTATTTTGGAATCCGTCACAGGATGTGCATCACATTTTGGTGCGGGATGTTCTTGCTGATGGTCAGCAAGTCAGACAGTCCGGGGCTGGGTTTTTCTCTCCTACGTAGAGTCGGGGACTGCCGCTGAAAAAAAAGAACAATTTTCAAGTATGACGAGACAAAGACAGTAATGGAACACTGATATACTGTACAATGATTTAAGTCATTTTGGCGACCCACCATGGCGATAAGGGAGCTCAAAGTTTGTCTTTTAGGGGTAAGTGACACCTATTTTATCTCCCTCCATTTTGGGGAAATTCTTTCGCTGTAAATACTTTTGTTTGTTATTTGTTTAATCTAACTTTATGTGTTGGACTTCACGAGACCCCGTACTAACTAGCGATCTGAACTGTTGACTTTTTTTTTTCATGAAAATAGTGAAACCCGTTGTACCCCTTTGATGGCAAACTGTTGACCCAAAAAACAAACCTCATCAGGAGCAGCTGACAATTCGGGAACATTTTGGTTACGTTCTGACGTTCTATGACGTAATCGCACCGACTCGACATTTAACTGTCACTTCATGAGAGAGCTGACCGTTCTCAGAATATGATATGTATATTTTTCTGAACTCCGTACATTTACAGTACAGTATTGGGCAATTGTTCGCCTTTTGTTTCGAAACACACGAAAAGTACAACATTTACTCTGCATTTTAAGTTAATTAAATAAAATGTTTTGAATTACTTTTTGTGACTTTCGGCTTGTCCCTTCAACGGTCACCACAGCGAGTCACAAAATAATACTGTATATTAAGATTAAATTATTAAATATTGAAAATGGTCCTAATGTGCATTCCAAATAATTTTTTCACCTAATGCTTTTTAATATTAAAAAAAGTTATACTAAAAAATGGAATTTAAATTTGACTGAGTAAAACCCTTTAAATTAATACAATACGTTTAAATGTAAGAATTAAACTTAAATAATTTTCTTGAAATACATTTCACTATTTTCATATTTATTGTAAAATTATTTAGCATTCTCAACATAAATGTTAATATTTTCAAATAAGTAAATTTACATGCTGCTAAGTGAAGTTTCATGCTGGTAAAGTTTAGCAGGTGGAGTCATCCGTGTAAATACATTATTGTAAAATATTGGGATGCATAATGGTGCTCTATGATTTTGCATTTCTCATTGTCTTGCATGATTGGGATCGAAAAGATTTTTCTGAATGAATCATTGCCCTTGCTGACTGCCAATGTGCATATGTGTACGTATGTGTGTGCAGGACACTGGTGTGGGCAAATCCAGCATTGTATGTCGTTTCGTCCAGGATCACTTTGACCACAACATCAGCCCCACGATAGGGTGAGACCACAGTCAAGAAAACAGCAATAGCAGGGCAGCTTGTAAAATACATTTGGAATTATGGAAATAGCTGAAATAATGTATTCCAAATTCAATATGTTCACACCATTAATCATTTTTAACTGCACAGGTTAAAGTTTAATATTGTTAACCATCACACAAGTGTAAAAAGAAATTGATGCGGAGGTTTTGACTGCGGCTAATGCTAAGTTAAGTCTAATTGTAAGCTAAATTTAATGTAAACCAATGTGAAAAGATGTCCCCGATATGACAGTCTGCCAAAATGCTCAGTCTTGTTGGAATAGCTAGAGAAATTGAACGTTTTTTTTCACTTGTGGGAACGTTTTTGTGTGATATTACCAATAGAGAATCTGGTTTTGCTAATTCTAACTGAAGTCCAATCCTGAGTGAAGTTAATACAGAGTGAATGTTTAGCCTGTTGCTAAATGCTAAGTGAGGCTGTGAGAAATATAAAACTGAGTCAAAATTTTAACCATGCTATTGCTAAGTGATGTTTTTGACCATTAGTAATACTAGAAACGTTTTGCTCCGTCGCAAATGCTCATTAACGTTTTCGACCATCACTAATGCCCAGGGACGTTTAATGCCACGTACAGTTTCATATTGTTGCTCATGCAAAGTGAATGTTTTAGTGTTGCTAATGCTAAAGGATGTTATAGACTGTCGCTAATCCCAAGTGACATGCTCCACTGTGGCTAATATTAAAGGAATCTTTCGACCGTCCTTAATGCTATGGGAAGTTTCAGACTGACGCTAATGCTGCGTGAAGTTTCACACTGTCATGAATGCTAAATAAAGTTTACTGCTCAGTGAAGTTTTATGCTGTGGCTAATGCTTCATGTTTCTCCCTAGAGCCTCATTCCTGACCAAGACCGTGCCGTCCGGGAGTGAGCTGCACAAATTTCTGATCTGGGACACGGCGGGACAGGAGCGGGTGACCTACTACTACTCTTGATGTCCTTTTTTAGTTGTTGTTCACATGCCCCCATCATGTATCTTGTTCTCTTGTGACCGATGCGGTGTCTGCCGTGAAACGCCATGATCTGCCTTCATGTTGAAGATCACAAGGACACCGCGAGCCTGGAGTCACATTCACATTCGACCACAGGGAAAATATTGAACACAGTGAACCCTCGCTAATTGTGGAGGTTAATGACAAAGCGCAGAATTAGAATTGCTGAAAGATGCGGCAAGATTTCGCCAAAGGACTACTTTTGTCTTTTGCCCCCAAAATCCCACTTCACAGTCATGAATGACATCCAAATGGAATCGAATGGGTTCTTTTTGTACTTTTCTGAAAAAAGAAAAAAAAAGAGGTCGTCGTCCATCAAAAGAAAAATCCAGTTTGATCAAAATCGTATACACCAAATGGCGCCCAAAGCACTTTACAAAGCCTCACATTCACCGATTGCTTTTCCACGGCCACTGAAATCCCAAATCAAATCACCGCCAATTCGTGTACAGTCGTATTATGTACTATAAGTGTATAATAATGTTTATTTGGTACCGAGATGCCATAAGATGAGCACAAAAACAGCTAATAAGTGTGTTTTTTGGGCGGGAGATAGGTTCACCCTAAAAATCTGTGACGAGGTGAAGCTGTACATACTGGAGGCAGTGCAGCCATCAGAATTGCTGCGAAATCTTCAAAATAACAAATACAAGTAAATGAGTACAATTTCATGGAACAAGTACTAGCTATGAAGTTGTACATGTAGGGCAGTGCTTCAGGTAGTGTTCAGGTCAGCACAGAAGGTCTTGCTGAATGCACGTGAGTCATGTTTTTGAGACCAGTGTAATTTGCAAGCATTTCTCTGTTGACAGCTTTTCTTAATAAAGTGCATTGCCGAGGCTTTGAAACGGTCTTCACCGAAGTTCGTTTCATCACAAGAAGCGTCATGGTTTCTAGTCGTCACGAGCTGTCTGTCGGGTCATGGCAGGAAAGCCCACTTGAGTCTAGTTACGACGCATTCTCATAAAATTTCAGTCAAGTTAATGGAAGCCTTTTTTCTTCCCCCTTTGTAGTTCCACTCATTAGCTCCAATGTACTACAGAGGATCGGCTGCTGCTGTCATCGTCTATGACATCACTAAACTGGTAAGCCTCTCATTGAGCACAGCAATAATAATGATAACAACAAAGAAAACAGAAAAACTCACACGGTCTCAAGGTCAAAGCCGAGGTCAGACACCAAACGTCAGAACTCTGTGGCAGACTTGCAAACCACAAGGGCATCCGACAACTATTTTCCGCCCTTTTTTCCCCTATCACAGCTCTGTGCAACTGCATTACCACAGAATGGAGGGAATTAAGCTGACCTGGTAATTTTCAGCCAACTGTGTGTGCAGGACTCTTTCCAGACATTGAAGAAGTGGGTGAAAGAGCTAAAAGAACACGGGCCCGAGGACATCGTTGTCGCCATTGCAGGGAACAAGAATGACCTAGGAGACATCAGGTGGGTTAGTCATTGCTGTTGGACTACTAAACTGGTACCATAATGTAGCAAACATAAAAAGTTTGGCAGTGAACAATTCTTGAAAAACACAGGACAGACAAGGCCTTACTTCAAGGCTATTTGAAATTTTACTGTAAAAAAAACAAAAGTGAATGACACTTTTAATTCACCAAATCGCATTAACTGTCTCACAAAAGTCCGCTAACTTAATGCTAACGTGCCATGCAAAATGTCACAAATGCCACAGTCGTTTGAAATCTTTGAATAACACTTCAACACAAATGGTATCAACATGTGCAGACAGAGCAAATGATACTCACAGACATATATTATTTATCCTGTGCATTCATTTCAATGCCGAAAGATGATATGATTTATGAGTGTTTTCAGTTTTGAGCATAATCTCAGAACAATTTAAACTCAGAAGTTAGAGTACTATTGCATGTCCATAAAAAAGACCCTCATCGATCGATCTCATACGTGACATTGTAGGGAAGTCCCCATGAAGGAGGCCAAGGAGTTCGCCGAATCCATCGCCGCCATCTTCATCGAGACCAGCGCCAGGAATGCCGTCAATGTGGAGGAACTCTTCCAGAAGATCAGTAGGTTTCATGCCATTTCATTCGAAGACTGATATTTATCGGAAAAACGGTTCAAATGAAACAACTGCTTCGATAGGCTCCAGCACGTCCCTGACCGACCCATGTGTGGATAAACCGTTTGGATTTGGTGCATGGATGAATACTTTGGACTTAATTGAAGAGCTTTTACATGTTTTTACATATTATTAAAAATGACAAAAGCTACAGCCGTACTATAGCAAATCAAATCGTAATCCCGCTGTAGCAAATCGAATCGTTCCACATGAAAATGTCCCGCTCTCGAATCGTATCGTACCCCATGTGTCGAGATATTTAACGAATTATCTTTTATCGGAGGGATGCACACCCCTGTTGTGTGCCCATCAGTACGTGTTGTATTACAGGTTTAACATAAACCATATCGCAAGTGAAAACACGAGCACTTTCTGTGCTTCCAAATACAACGTGGCACCGTTTTCACATCTTTTTATTTCAGGCAAACAGATCCCACCGCTGGACAACCCCGACGTGGAAAGTACGGAGTCGTTCAAACTGACCCGACAGCCTGCTGCGTCCACCAGGAGGTGCTGCTAGTACAGCAACAAACTGTCAAGGTCACAAGCCGCAATGCAGAACGTCATTGTGCTTAGTGCCTCATGTCTTAAAAAGTATTAGGGCCACTATGAAAAGGAAAAAAAAGTTTTTATATTCCCGATACATTTTATAATATTGCGATAATAAAGTAAAAAAAAAAGTTCCCTAAAAATTGACTAGTCATAATATTAAAAGAAAAAGTTATTTTATAATTTTTATTTTACAGGGAAGAAGTTGTCATATTATGAGAAAGGTATTGTTCTACAAGAATAAAGTTCTAACATTATGAGGAAAAAAACCCAACATTGTTCTTCGAGATGAGATTTTTACGTGAAAAAAACATTACATTACATTCTAATACTGCAATGCAAGAAAATCCTGTATATAGCGGAGCAAAAATACAATTTTACAAGATGTATGTTGTAACCTTACTAGAATTAATTGGTAAGACAACTAAAGTTGTAAACATTACAATTTTAAAAGTTGTAGTACGAAAATATAATAGTCAAATTTATGATTTTTACAAGAAAAAGTCTTAATATGGGAGAAAAATAATTGCAGTTTACCGGACAACAGCTGGAATATCCGAGGAAAAGGTGAAAAGTAATTACCAAAAAGCATCATGTTGGGAAAAAAAATCAACAACAAAAAAACCTTGCAATATTACTAGAATGTTAAAAGTCATATTATTGCAACGATTATTGCATTCATTCGGGTGTTTTTATTTTTATTTTTTTAAATAGTGCTTATCCACCTGAGACTGTTTGCCAGTTGGCTGTTTGCCAAGTTGCAGGTTGTCTTGTCAGGTTAAAGTTTAACAAGCATCAAAAGATTGTACAGAATTACAACTTGTGGTCATTTTTGCAATTCTTTCTCCTTTTCAGTGTGGCCTTAATATTCAAACATGTGGCGTAACCTCAAATGATCACAGAAAAGACCCCCCCCCCAAAAAAAAAAAGCAAACCAGATGTCGCCCTCTGGTGCTGCATTGCAGAGCATTGCTCGCCCGTCTGCTGCCATTACCTTCAATGCACTACGGGCTCTTCAGTGGCACATCAAACATACAATTTTAATGCACCTGCAGTTGTGTAGCAGACACACACGTATGCACTTGTGTAAGAGGCAACTGTAATGCTTACAGTACTCTCCCCTTTATTGCAATTGTTTACATGCTGAATGAACTACAGCGGAACCTCCATTGTGGAAACATCATATCAAGAGTAAAAACATTCACCTTTTCGCAAAGAGGGAACAGGAAGGTATTTTGAAGTTGCCAGTTGCGGATTCCTTTTTTTTTTCTCCCAACGCATTAGGTTCCCTTTTGGTTCTATGGTTATAATTTTCACACATGCTAGTTTTGTGAAGAAAAAGTTGCAAATCATTTGGTCATGAAGTAATTTTATGATGAAAAAAGTTGTAATTTTATGACCAAAAAGTGTCAATTTGGTATGAAGAAAGCCCTAATTTTATGTGGAAATGTCATAATTTCGTGTGAATATAATCTGAAACTACAAGAAAAAAAGACGTCATGTTAATCCGATAATTTCCTAATCTTTCCTAAATCTAATGTATTTTTATATTTTATTTTTATGGCACAAAAATATTGAATTCTATGAGAATTAATTCAGAATGTTATGATTTTTTTTTTTTACTTTACATGTAAGAAGAAAATTTTGTGTGAATAAAGTTAGAAATTGGCAAGAATTATATCTGAATTTTACAAGAAAAAAAGTAACAATTTTACTCTGAATAATTTGTCATATTCTAAAAAAAAAGTTGCCTTGTTAGGAGAATTCTTGTTGACTTTCTCAAGGAAAAAAAATTAACCTCACAACAACGAGGGTGTAATTTTACGACAATTAAAATCACAATTTTCAGGGTGCTGTTTGCTGTCGGCTGTGTTTCTTTATATCATGCCCATGATAACCATAGAACAGAAAATGGAACTTAATTCGATGTCATCGTTGCTCAGTATTATATTGGCGTTTCGTTTTTGTGTGAAGAAACTCGCCTCACCTGCACAAGCAGTAATCAGCTTTTCGCGTCTTATCTGTCATACAAGTGTAAAAGGAAGTTAATAGCTGTTTAATAAAATGAAAAAGAAGTAAAAGCAAGCGCTCATTAGCTAAGCTCATCCTTTGAATGTTCTCTGAGCTGAAGTGTGGTCCCACTTTGGAGGTTCTGCTATTTTATGTTCTGTGGTTTCACTACAGGGAATACAACATGTGTTTTCCATGTATTATTTTTTATTTTTACCCAAAAAGGGTTTCTTTTTACTTTTTTTAAAAAACTCTTAAGCATGTAAGAAAGTGTTTACATACAATGGACTAACAAACACAAAATATATTTTTGAAGGGGAAGTGAAGTAACTAGTGCCATGTGTTTTATTGTGTCATCACAAATCCAGAATAGGTATTCTTATTAATATTGTGTTTGTGGAATATGAATTAAGCATTAAAATCCACCAAGGGCTGGCCATTTTGCCTTGTACTGCGATACTTGCTGTCGACTGAAAATGACATCACAGTGCCCAAGCCTGAGGCACTGTGATGTCATTTTCAGTCGACAGCAAGTGGCAAAATGGCCACCCTTGAGATGGATTTCTATGCTGAAAACATATTCCACAAACGCAATATTAATCAGAATTCTGCTTTTCGATGAGTGCACATTGAACACATTATGGTCAAGATTTTTTTACATGACTCCACTCTTTAACCCATGTGCTGCAGTCGATCTAAATATTTATCTAAATATATTATTCCTGAATATTTATTTCACTTTCAACCACTCGACATGTTCAGTGGCATCAGTGCTATACATACACATATAGTTCATATTTTTTTCTTTGTATTTTTGCCCTCTATGGACAATAAAAGCGGTATTGTGCTATGACCAAAACATAAATGTAAATCTATATAAATAAAACATGAATTGGAATATTTCATATCACACACTTTTTATGCTGTGTCTTTGATTTAAAGATGACAATACGCAAAAATCTACAAAAATTGTAGAAATTGTAACATATGGGGTAACCCATGTGTTACAAACATCGTAGAAATTGCAGCACAAGGGTTACAGCGTGTTTTTTAAGCAAGTTTTCCTCCGCATCAACACTTTATCTCATCCATGCTGGACTCATTGTTAATATGCCATGAAGCGATCATGTGAAACATACTGGATGTCAAATTTGTTGATGTTCCCAAAAGTGCCTTTTCTGCATGAATCATCTGATTTCTCAAAGGACGTAGAGATTTCTTGTATTCCTCTAACTTGTTTCAGCATCTAATCAGTGTACTGTAATAAAATGGTAATTATACAATGTTATACTCTTGCATTTTATTTTATCACAGTTTGGTCCTTTGCAAACAGGATTATGTTCAATTGACTTAACCCATTACCATGAAGTTAGGGCCAAGGGAGGACATTTTTGTTCAGCTATCTTGAAAACCTGCACAGATGAGGCCTATGCAAAATTGTTGTCGTCTTTTTTATGTAAAAAGTCTTGGCAAGTGAAACATTTTTCAAAAACTATAAAATTTAGAAGATGCACGACAGATATGTTACTGTGAGTGACCTGGAAGGTGTTTTACTTTCATTTCCTCGTCTATGATTATCATCACGTAATAGGCATGATTGTTTTTGAAAGACAAAAAAAAATAATCTAAGATAAAAGGTAATAATTTTAAGAGAAATACCTAATTGTTTGAGAATATAATTGTCAATTTATGAAACTAAAGTTATTTTATGAGAAAAAAGTAAATTTTATGAGAAAACAGTGGGTGCCAAACCGTGAGAATGGGGGCGGGGGGGGGGTGTCCACTCCATAGTTTTTAGTTTTAAGGGAGACTTTTATGATCCACTTTATTTTACGTCTAGTCTAAAATAAAGCAGCTCACGCAAGTGTAATTATAGTCTAAAATGTAGACAATAATTAGGTCAAATTGAAGCAAATTTGTTAGGGTTATAGTCAGTCAAAAGTCATGTAAGCTGAATTAAAGAGGGCTCTGGTTGTGTTGACAATTTGAACTCATTCTCATTTTATTCCTCCTCGGGTTTAACACAATTACTGCGCCCTTAACCACATCTGCTGGGGCCGCATAGGTACGTAAGCACGCACGTACGTACGCACCAGTAGCGGTTGTCGTGCGCGCGCGCTCTAGTATTAGTAGCCACAAGCTCGCGCACGTCGGCGTTGTGCTCAGTGGACTGACAGAGAGAGGGAGAGAGACAGAGAGAGAGAGAGAGAGAGTGGGGGAGAGAGAGAGAGAGAGAGAGAGTAGCAGAGCTTTGCAATAGTCGTAGTGACCCGTTCCCACTCACGCGCCCCCTCCTCTTTAGCTAAAATGTCAAAGTTGGACCAGGTACTCGTTCTCGAGCCTCCTTCCGACCTCAAATTTAAAGGTAAGGTGCGCCGCAATGTGCCTGTTGCGTGACAAACGTCCCGGTGGTTCGTGACGACGTGTTGTTGGGGCTCCAAATGTAATTTTTTACACTCACTCCAGCGGCTCGTCGTAGGCTGCGTGCTAGCGAACGTTCAGCGCCATTTTAAGTTAGCCGCGGACTGGACGGGCCGCCACTTCCTCCTCGCGCTCCGGTGACGCGGGCGAGCCGGGCCTCGAGGCCACGCTGGCGGCCAAAGGTGGCGGTGTGATGCCGGGGCAGGCTGACGTCGCTGGAAGTGAACGTGTTAGCAATGTTAGCATGGCCACAAGCGCTCTCATTCAAGTTTGAATGGTTAGGGAATGACTGAATGTGTGCAATGGGAATTGTACACTTTGTCACAGCAAGCAATTTCAGAGACTGACAGTTGTAGAAAAAAATCTAACTTGGCGAATTATCATTATGCAACTCACTTTTGTGAAATTGTGTAAAACCACCCAGCTTTAGGATAGTGTGGAAAAACATTCGGGTGCCAGGCAGTGCTGTGTAGCTGCACCTGGCTAGCTTTCAGTGATGTGTCATTTAATCGTTGGCTAGGCAGGCCAGCCCAAGTGTTAGCTTGTCTAAAACGACCCCTTTTTCAACTTCCCTCCAAACAAACCCCGTCTCCCAACCCCCACTTGTAACATTTGTTGGTTACAACTGTTGCTTGTTATGCTGATGAATGTGTACTAGTAATGAGCTTGCAGGGAACGTTGTCAACCTATACAATTAATATAATCTGTCGTTTACTCAACTCAACTGTATTTATCGAGCACTATAAAGACAGTAGAAAGCACCAAACAGTAAGACTAAGATCAAGTCTGAGTCATGCCGTGTCAAATGCCATAGAATACAAATGAGTTTTGAGACGAGTTTTAAAGATTGGCATCGAGGGGACTTGCCGAATGTTCAGTGGGAGCTCATTCCAAAGAGAGGGACCAGCAACGGAAAAGGCTCGATCCCCTCTGAGCCTCCGCTTAGTTCTTGGTACTTCTAACAATGTCTGGTCCGCAGACCTGGGGTGCCGGGCAGGTGTGTAGGGGCGGATGAGCTCAGAGAGGTAACGATTTGAAAACAAATAATAGGATCTTAAAAAGAACTCTAAAATGTATCTGGAGCCAGTGAAGGGATGCCAGAGTAGGAGTTATGTGCTCCCTCTTACGAGTACCAGTCAAGAGGCGAGCAGCAGCATTCTGGACCAGCTGGAGATGCTTAATGGAGGATTGTCTGACTCCAAAGTGAAGTGCATTACAGTAATCCAGCCGGGATGTGACGAAGGCATGAATTACTGTCTCAAAGTGCTCATGAGAAAGTAGAGGTTTTACTTGGGCCAGCTGCTTCAGATGAAAGAAGCTGGATTGAACAACGGCACCAATTTGCCGGTCAAGTTTAAAATCACTGTCCAGTTTAAGACCCAAGTTTGAGACTGTTGACTTAAGATAAGGAGACAGGGGGCCCAAGTCTACAGGATGGGCTGAATTTGGTATAGAGCCTGCGCATGGGTTCAGGAAAATGTCCCCACCAAAATATGAAAGCTATGTTTAGTTCTTCACATTTGTAAACCCCCTTTTATTTGCAAATGTTTCTTAACAACATGACAAACTATTAGGTGAAAAAAACCACATCGATTCGAGCCAAATTGTGTTAAGTGGTGTCTTACAAGGTTAATTTGTTCTGCGACCATGCTCATGACTGAAAACACTCGTATTGTAAATAATTGTTCTCCATTGGATTGAATATCAATATTTTCGGCAATGTGACGAGATGACCCTAAAATAACAGTCTGTCAAAATGCACAGTCTGGTTACAATGGCCTTTTTCAACCTTAGTACAGCGCACGAAGAATTTTGACGGGTTTTGGAGAAGTGCCGATTTTTGTGTCGGAAAAAGTAGCCATTTGGAGGGGAACGTTTTTGTGTAAAGTTGAGTTGATATCGTCGATAGAAAGTCGGGTGTCACTTAGGTGTCACAACTTAAATAGCGCACATTGAACATTATTTATGAGAAGAGTGGTGTGGGCAGTAGATTAAATGACCTAATACTATTACCTTATTCTTAGTAATAAAACTCTGTGTATCCCCAATAACTAGCAAGTTAATGTATTGACGGCGTGAATGTTTTAAGACAAACTTGCTTTAAAAAAAAAAAAAAGTAAAATAATAAGAATAAGAATCTTTTTGGCTGTGACTTCGGACAAAAGTGAAATATATGTTTATCATTGATTTATAAAAAAAATACTATATATATAAATGTGAGCAAAGCCTAAACAGTGGTGATTGTTGTCTTTGTTGGTTCTGTGGTAACAGCGTGTGTTATAAAAAACATTATTGACATTTCAAGTTATCGTGGGTGCTATGTTTGAGAACATACCTAACACCACAATTAAATAGGATATAAAGATTTAAATTGGCTTTAAATCATTGTTTCATACATGAATTGTGCGTTGACGTGTGCGTCGCCACCGGGGCACAGTGTAATGCGGATATACATGAGATGCACAAAGATCTGCACAACTGCCCAATAAGCTGCAATATTACTTGATTGTTGCAGAGGATAAAGAATAGATGCAAACTGTTGTCTGCTCCGACAGCATGTTATGCTCCTGCTTCTGTTCAAATACAAGTTGTTTAAAGGTGAATCATTTCCACAAAATTGAGGCTAGTTTTATTAGCCCGTTGATGGCGGTTTGCATCAAGGGTTAGCATTAAGGTAGTGGACTTTCCTATGGAAAAAAAAATGTAGTCATTTTAAATACACATGTAATTCTTTGTTTTTACGTTTAGTTCAACAGTAAACTTCAATTGGGCGGGGCAATAAACAGCTTTGAAGTCTTTTTTTTTTTTTGGAAGAATTGCTCATGTTCTGCCAAAATACTGCTTGCTGTGAAGCTTACTGCGACCATGAAGTTCTTGTCTCAAATTTTTCCTCTCAAGTCCTGGCAAAAAAAAAAAGAACTCAAATGACAGTTTGGATTTCAAAATAACTCAAGCAAGCTCGAGGTGACACTGTGATTTTGTGTTCTTTCTGTAACACCTTAATTGCAAATCCTCCGAAAATTGTTCCTACCTTGATCGCGATAAAAGTTGCACTGGTTTCGACAACTGTAAATCCAACACCGTGTTTCCCACTGAAGTCAAAATGTAGCATGTTTGAGTCCAAAACATGATTTAAGAGTCAAATGTCAGAATGGCTGCAAGCTATTGGTCACTTTGTTTTGGACACAGACTTAAATGTGACTCAGGTTGATCCTCCCAAAAATATTTCGTGTCCTTGAATTGAGCCTACAATTAGTACTTAATGATTAGCAGTCTGCCATACGGCGTCAATGTTCTCCGGTCAGATTTAATAAATAAGCCCAATTGACGTAATTCATCCAAACGTCAGATTATGTGATCGAACCCATCTGATTGAATTAATGAAGCAAAACACAGACTATTTTTTTCACTCTTGAATAATGCTCATACTTTTCAACAGACCAACGAATAACGAACTTTCTTATCACATGTCCTCAGCCATCTGAGATTCTTCTAGTTAGATAGAAGAGGGCAGCCCTGTTGTTTTTTTTTTCTCCCTGCTATTTTTAGACCACAACCAGGCCCGGGGGACCCAAACTTGGCTGGCATGCAACAAGATGAGCCAAGGTGTCAGCTCGGGGTTAGGTAAAAGACGAGAGGCTGTGTGGGTGTTCCATGTGCGTATTTATGTTGGAGTCATTTCCATGCTGCCTTGAGTTGTGCTCACTGTGTATTTTTTTTTTTTTGGAATGGACTTTCTATACTAGTCCTTTTCCAGTGGGCACTTCTTGCCGTTAACTCTTTTCCACTTTGCTGCAGTGTTGCCCGGTGTAATACTCCGCAGTAGGACCGTCAATCAGGGTTCTACTACGGTGGCCCGCTTCCGCTATGCGACCGTGTCGGGCTACCCGAAGTTCACCGGCGCTGGCCTGACCAGGCCAGTACAAATTTCATAAATAAATAAATACAATACAATACAATCAATGATATGTTTCTGTAAAAAAAAAAAAAAAAAAAATTCTATATTTGCAGTCATCAATATTTTTCAGCTGTGGGCATGTAAAACCCTTTCAGGCTTTTCTATATAAATACATTTGACTTGACATGACGGTGCTACGCACATTTTTTATTTGTTCCATAAGGAAAGGCTTGAACGCGATATAAAACCCAGGAACTATCAAATGTTAAATATTAAATTAGATTTTATATTGAACAGAAAAAAAATGAAAAAAGTCACCCACACAGAAGTACTATTTTCTTTCTCAATAAGTCTAAATAATACAATATTAAAAATCTTAAATTTGAAACATATCGTATTGTATGATGGGGAATACAGAACCAGGATCAGTTCTAGTGGGGCCGCCGCCTCCCAAAAAGGTTTAATTTAGAACCCCATCGATTATCACAGCACAATTCAACTATCCAAGTTCCCGCCAAGCCACGACTTTTTCAATTGCTGCTCATCTTCTCCTCCTCCTTCCCAAAACGAGAACAGTCAGGGCTCTCTCATGCTGCGATGAAAGATGCTTCTTGTCGAGCTACAGCCTACCTAATGGCAAAATCTCTGTTTTTACTTCTCGGTGGACTGCTACATCAGCACTTCCAAATAAGGACACGCTGGCAACTGGGTCGCCGTTATCGTTGTCGTCATGTTGCCGCGCGACTTTTACACTGAGCGAGAGCAGTGTGTAAAGGGCTTCATTGGCTTTTTCTTTTTTTTTTTTTTGGGTGACCTCTGCTTTGTCCCAGTTTTGTACTCCACAGTCTCCACATGGCTGCAGCAACCCAATTGCTTGCTGTCCAGTCTCCTCTGGGACATGGTCTGTTTTACAGGAAACGTCCAAGGGAACGTTGAACGGGCTCTCAATGCGTGCGTTTGGGCTAACAGGCAAGCACAAGACATCAAAAAGCATCATGCGCTTGAAATTTTTTTAAATGGAACAACGATGTAACGTCTCGACATGCTTTAATTATTCTAAAAAAACGTATTGATGATTTTTTTTTTTTTTTTGTACTAATCAGGTTAGATATTTTAGTTTTTGAAACTAGGAGTTATCTATCGTGTCTGCTTGATTAGGGTCGGGTGATTCATATCATTGCCAATGGCCACAAATTTCTGGGTTTATTTCAGAGCTCCCGTTGTCCTCAACAGACAGCGTGATTGACGAGGTCGTACCGGTTTGCAGGAATGTCCTGGTGACGCACCTGTGCTCGCGCGCGCATGCATGTGCCACAACACTGCCATGCTTGTGTTCTGCAAGCGGGTCATGCCTGTCGTCTTATCTTTCTGAGCAGCCAGTGTGAATGTAGCCTTTTGTCAACATTCGCCAAGCTTAATGCACAGCCTTTAATACCTTACAACCTGACATGCACAAACACCGAATTCACGTTTTTTTTTTCCCCCCCCGAGTGAGAAAAGCCAACACGCGCGTCGTGTTCCTCTCTGTCAAAAAATATGAATCGACAAACTCAAGCGCATCAAATGACACACAAAAAAAGGAAGAACAAATGTGGATGCTATGGGACTTTAGAATCCAGTATGCTTACCGTCAGTAGTATCGACGATGCTACAAGACATTAGCATCAGCTAGGCTATCGGACATTAGCGTCCGCTATGCTTTTGCATGGTGGAAACAGTTTTGCTACTGGCTGTTCCAATTGGCTTTCCTTGTGGTCCAAGTGCGGAAATAAAAGGCTCATTCGTGAAAGTCTGTGGTCGGATGCGGTTACGTATCCACGCGAGGATCAGTATTTGGTCTGGGTCATCTTGTGACCGAGCTTGCCTCCCATTAGGGTCCTAACTCTGTCAGCTGTATTTAGCCTTAATGAGGCATGACATGGTGAAAAACAGCTCAATCAGCGCAAGCTCGCCGCGGAGAAAAGGCCGTCTCATGATGCTCGCTTTTGCTTTCCAACTTTAAATGTAATCTACTCTCAAATCCGGCACGCGTTATGATACTGGCCGATACAAAGTACGGCACTCGAGCATCACAAGTTGTTTTTTTGAGCTGATTTGTTAATGTAATCCAGGAGTCTTGGAATCTGAAAATCATGTACCCCTGGATCTTTTTATCAGACCACAAGTACCCACTCACTCATTTGGAGAAATTTCGATTTGCACCACATGCTCCTCTGGCAGAAAAGCAGTGTGTTGGTATCATCGGTGTGAGCGATGGTTATGATGAAACTTTGGCTTTGGTTCACAGTCATGTACAACTGATGGCTGTGAGCATCCATCCATCCATCCATCCGTTTTCTGATCCGGTTGGTCCTCACAAGGGTAGTGGGGGGGTACTAGAGCCTATCCCAGCTGTCTTTGGGCAGTAGGCGGGGGACATCCTGAACCGGTGGCCAGCCAATCACAGGTGTGTTCAATCAGCCTGCCATGCATGATTTTGCAATGTGGGAGGAAACTGGAGCACCCGGAGAAAACCCACCCATGCACTGGGAGTACATACAAACTCCACACAGGAAGGCAGTTGGAGCCGGAATTGAACCCTATACTTCTGCACTGTGAGGCGGACGTGCGAACCACTGGCCCGCCGAGCCGCCATGGCTGTAAGCAAATAACATAAATATATTCAACAGACACTCAAACGTCTCCGCTCGCTATTGTTTGCGGGAGTTATGAAAAGGTTCAGAGACCCACAAACGCCGGTGTCACCCGCCACGTATTTGCCTTGACTTAAATGTAATTACGTCACAGCGATAGTTCCGATTCCCGTCCTGTGTGAACTCACCATAAGCGTAATTTCTCATATCTGACAGCACAGCTGATTTGTGACGGGCGGTCGCATGCTGATTCTCATGCCTGTTAGCGTCGCCGATTCAAATGTCCTGCGGCAAAGCAGATTTACATTGCCTGGTACCGTGGCTGATTATTATGTCCAATAACTTGGCTGACTAACGTGCGGCGACTTAGTCGGTCGATTTGTAAATCCATCAACGTCAACTCTTATTATCGGAACGTGTGTCACCGCGAAAGGACTCTCGAACCGTCTCGAGTCATGTAGGTGGTCCCAATCGAGGGGCGCCTTTAATCCCGCTTAGTCCATTGAAGTCAGTCGGACGCTTTAATTTCCGTCTTGTCTGATGGCAGGACGTTCACACGAGCTCCATCCAGCAAAGCCTCGATTCAATTATTCCTTGTAATCACATCGGCTTAATCGAGTTGCGCTACTACTGTTCAAACGATCTCTTGAAGTTCTTTTTGAACTCTTTGCCAACCTTTTTTTTTTTCCCCCTCTCCCCTTGAAGTATAAGGAGCATATTTAGAAATACAGAATTTCCACTCTGTGATTTAGTATTGAAACGATGGCTGTCACTAACATATCTTCGAACATATCTCTTTTTCTATCAAATACACGGTGACCTTGACCTTGTCCTAGTATGTGCGGGCTCGGATTTAAGTCCACGAGGTGCTGGATATTTTTTTTGCTCCACTTTGTAGTCATTTCATAAAACATTCAATATATGTCGTATAACAATATGTTTGACAAATTATTATTGCTTTGACGAAATTCTGTGGTAGACTTTTTTTTTTTTTTTTTTGAACCGCTAGCCTTAGTTGAAACTATACAAATCAGTCAAAACGCTCTGTGGTTGTAACTCCACGGTTTGTCATCATGTCCTCCGCCAGGTCCGTTCACAGATGTTGTCACTACCAACCTCAAGCTGAAGAACCCCTCCGATAGAAGAGTGTGCTTCAAAGTCAAGACGACGGCGCCGCGCCGGTATTGCGTACGGCCCAACAGCGGCGTCATCGAAGCGGGAGCCGCCGTCAACATCTCTGGTGAGTGAAGCTTGCGCGTTTTCTGCCGAGTGCTACGGTTTGTTTGGCGTAGGTCAGCTCGGGTATCTGCGCTTTATCCACAGAAAACAAACACGAGCCCATTAGGGGGGGGGAAACAACAACAAAAAAAACACTTTTCCATAAGATATCCACTATTAACTAATTCACTCCCAAAGACGTTTTTAAACGTCTTTTCAGACTTGGTCTAGAATTGGCTGGTACTGAATGAGTTTTAATATGATCTCCGGCCCAATAGACGGACGGGTTCACCCTAACTGTGTTGACCCTGCTTTGCCGTCCCTTCCTCAGTTATGCTACAGCCCTTTGACTACGACCCCAATGAGAAGAGCAAACACAAATTCATGGTGCAGACAATCTACGCTCCACCCAACGTCTCTGACATGGACTCTATGGTGAGGAACATGCATGACGTGTGACGGTTCAAGTGTGCCCTCTCTGCCACCAGAGGGAAGCAATATCCCAGTTATGTGTTACCACACCGGACTCTTCTGATGATGTTGTATGAGATCAGCTTGTTTGTCGTGTTTCTGTGAATGCATTCCATGTGACATGTTTGTGTAAATGTGCCAAAATCTTTTAGATTTTTTCAGAAGTGTGCGTTCACATCGCAGGATAGGCAGGAAATGTGACGATGGATAACGTTGCCCACTCTGCTTTCTTTCTCTCCCGCCGCTGCCAGTGGAAAGACGCAAAACCCGATGACCTCATGGATTCCAAGTTAAGATGCATCTTCGAGTTGCCTTCTGAAAATGATAAGATGGTGAGAAAGAGGCTATTCCTTTCCCCATGATTTTCAAGATAAGAGGACGGCTTCTGGTGGGGAACGTGTAATAGGCATCTCCAATTATTCGGTGCTGGTGCTTTTCAAGGTGTACATGTGGAAACATTGTATTAAAAAGTGAAATACAACTGAACTGTACATAAGCGGTGATTCTTTGGCGGAACACTAAAGGGAGTCTGTGTGCTCGTAGTTCACGAGGCACGGTGCAATATTTCTATTTGATTAACAAAAACTCCCAAAATATATAATTCACCCTCTGAATGTATTTATTTATTTTAAAGGAATGAACTCTTCCAAGGCATTTGAATTGCTTGAATATGGCTGTTTGTACCTGCTGACTGTAAACGCCGCCCCAAACTTGACCCTACTCATTGTTTCCTTCCCTGTTTTCAGAATGACTCGGACTCGAGCAAATCTGCTCCGGTGATGAACTCCGCCAAGGCCGACCTGCCCTCAGCTGCCGCCACCGCCGCCGCCGCAGCAGCAGCACCAACCCCCGCCGTCTTGGCCAGCGCTTCTGCCTCATCATTGGATGACAACGAGATGAAGAAGTTGCTGGAGAAGTGCAAGCGGTTGCAGTCTGAGATGAGCAAAATGGCCGAGGAGAACCGGCATTTAAAGGTGAGACACCCCCACCGTCCCCTCGCAGTGACGATTAAAGTGCGTTCTCGCTGGTGTGGTGCCAACCAGGGCTTGGCTGATTTTAGGGTATCTTAGGACATGATAGAAAGATGCCAAAAATATGCAGCTGTTCTTTAAAAAAAAAAAGGGATTTTACTATCCACCAAAAACACAAATATTTGTAACAAGCTGTGAATGGCTTGTGTTCCAGTGTAATCTCGTCATTTGTCAGTTAAGCGATTTGAAATTGAAGTCACATTTTTGCGCAAAAATAAATCTGGTCATTGCCTTCCAGTCCAAGCCACTTTGCTTGTCTCCGCCAGGACGACGGCGCTCGCATGAGGAAGATGGCGCGCTCAGATCACGTGAGCGCCCCCTCAGCAGCTTCGCTGCCCTCCCTCCTGGTGGTCATTGCGGCCATCTTCATCGGCTTCTTCCTAGGGAAGTTCATCTTGTAGACTCACGAGTTGGCGGCGGCGTCTCCGCGCCCCTCCTTCCCTCGAACCAAGTGTTTGTGTTGACGTCTGCCATATCACCGATAGCGTGGGCATCCGGGCCAACACGCGTGTACAATAAAGGGGTTGCCTTTTTCCCTTTTCACCCCCTCCTTCTCCCCCCACACGGTTAAGCGCGCACGCATCCAGAAAGCAAAGGTGAAGACTGATTTTTTTTTTTTTTTGGAAGGCTTCAAGTCTTGTGACAGTTCTGTCAGTCCACATGGAAGTGAATCATAACCACCCCTCTCTCTTTTGTTGCTTTTAATCGGTGTGGGCTCACTTGTTTTAATGAAATTCTTTTTAAAAGAAAGACGGAAGAACTTACATCACCTTCACTGGATCACTTCTTTCTTGCTTCTACTTCTTGGAATGTTCACGTCCAGTTGGGGCTCAAGGTGCCTCCTTCCTCCTTGTACATTTTGTCTATTCTTTACCCATCAATGCAGACTTTATATTATCATACAAATCTTCTATTCCCATCTGAGGCAAACATTGACTGAAATGGGTCTCCATTCTTAAATGATGTTCTATGATATTAAACATTGAAAATAAAATGGAGAAAAAAAAAGTGGTGCTTTCCATATGAGTCGATTCCTCCTTGAACTATAATCCTGAAGCATCAGTGCGGAAGCGTATTGCTGTGCGTTAACGGAGCGTATTGTTAGCCTTGGCATAATTAGAATCAATTTGTGTGCGTAATAAGAGACACCCATGTCATAACATCCAATTCATCGTTTGGGGTTAACCGTCACACGTTCCTCCCTGCCAACATTGGCACTTATCACCAAAAATGCCAAAGAAAATGTAAAACAGACCTCATCCTGTAAATAAAAACAGTCACATAATTTACTCATGGTTTGGACTCCTAAGACTTCTGTGGTATCCGTCTTCCATGGTTGCTGCCATCTGCTGGACTAAATTTTAAGCGCAGGCAGTTTAGATGTCATTAATTATATTACTTGAAGCAGTGGGTACAACTTCTCCCCCTTTTTAAATCTAAGGTCAGGACAACACAGACAATCAAGATATTTGTTGCAATTTTTGCATCTTCCCAAACAAGAATATCACATGCCAGACTTTCCCATATCCTGATTATCCTCAAGTCTGAGGTGTGTTTGATATCCATCTCAGGGTGCGCCTGTTTTGCCGCTTGCTGTCGACTAAAAACGACATCACAATGCCTATAGGGGCTCGGTCACATTACCAAACCCGGAAAACATGATTGGTTGAAAAATAACAGAAAAATGAAATGAAAATCTAATTTAATGGATAACTGTTGCATGGGTCCATTGATTAAAAAACACACCATCTCATTACAGTAATTTCATTACCCTGCTGTCTCGATAACATACAAGCTACAGTAAGTGCAATTGTGGTCATGTTTTTATGTATGACTGAACATAAAATGTGACATTTGTGTTTCTTGACAGTACAAAATAAATGTCGGATCTTTATGGAGAGTGAAGCCCAGGGTGGGCAACATCCGACACATGAGCCCACGACAGCAGTGGCACTTCACCACCGGGCCGCACAGATCGATTAGGTCTCGCGGGGCTGTGGACAATTACTTTTGTTTTGTAGTGGAGCATATACAGTATGCATCGGGTATATTTCCAATGAGGAATGTATGTAAACACACGTGAAAAGAGTACATGGCCCCTGATAGGAAAATGGCCCCCTGCCCCATATCTGTACAAATATGGATATGTACAGTCCGTCTTTGGGTCTTTCCGCCTAAAGTGCAGTTTTTTTTGTTGGGATAAGTCTCGCTCCTGGCTCTTTTTCTCTCCTTCAGTCAGCAATGCACACCCACTCGGGGGCCATTTTGTGGCCCTTTCGGCACAATCGACACTATTGTACTTCTTTGGGTTCCAAAAATGATCCCCCAAAGGCGACTTTTGTTGCTTTTCCCAAGTCTTTATCGGGGGCTTAAAGCGACAATCCTTTGACAATGATCGCTAAGAGCACCGCCGCAACACCGGCTCGGTGGCGGTCCCCGCCGCCATTACTGAGCCGCAGGGATGTATCGTCCCCTCCGGGGTCGCGTCCCGCCACCTGGCTGCTGGTTGAGCAGCGCACCAGGGGCAGCTGGTAGGACGTAGCTCGCTTGTCCGGGTGGTCTGGGCTGGATCCGTCGCTCGGCCGCTGGCCATTGAAGAGCAGATAGCGGCCATTGGCGTCGCGCTCCATGCGGAACAGCTCGTACTCTGTGTGCGGCAGGCGGATCCCCAGGGCCACGCATCCGTTGGTGGCCGTCACGTCCTGCTCCACGCCCAGCTGCCATGACCGCTCGGCGCCGCAGTCGTTGCCGCTGAACACGTTGAGCAGCGAGGTGGTGGCGAAGTCCATCGGCGTCACTCTCATGTGGTTCACTGCGGGAGAGAGGATACGGCGAGATAACCTCAGGGCTACCATCTTCCAAACTGACCCATGTTGGTCCCTTATTGACCCAAATTGGATTTGTTTGGGGGACCAAATTGTTTTTAATCGTGCACAAGGTAGAATATGTCACCTTTGAAGACAAAGTCGGTGCCGCCCATGACGCGCGTGGAGTGCAGGCCGCGTGAGTAGCGTCCGCGGGCGTAGATGGTGAAGGTGGGATGCTTGCACACGGGGTCGGAGAAGTGGTAGTAGTAGCCCTCCCACGTGTGGTTGTTATCATGGAACAGGAAGTGGCGGGTGAGGAAGAGCACCTCCGGGCGCACTTCGCACCGCTGGCTCACCCACTGGCCGTACAGGCCCACCGCCAGGTCGGCGCGCGGCGGCAGAATGGGCGGGTGAAACTCGTCCGAGCGGTAGATGATGCGACAGGCGATGCAGCCGTGCGCGTGGTTCTGCAATGACAATACATCAAACCTTGGAATTCCATCTTAAATGCACTAATAATGCTTTTCACACTTACAGGGCAATAATAAGTCAATCATCTTTGTTTGAGGTTTAATACCGGGAATAGAGAGCTTGTGCGAGAGGGAGATATAAATGCTATAAAAACTACCCTTGGCATGTTTTTATAACATTTACGACCCCATTCCCCCCACCCTCCCAAAAACTATTTCACCACACTTTTAAAACAGTACAAACACATGTAAATGCTTATATTGCGAGAGCAATAGTAATAAATAAAACAAAAATATTGTACAGTACACGATCACTCTGTAAACAAACCATTTGTCCCCTTTAAAACAGTACAAACACATGTAAATGCTTATATTGAGAGAGCAATAGTAATAAATAAAACAAAAATATCGTACAGTACACGATCCCCCAAACTAACAAACTTATCATCTCCCAATATAAATCAATACAATAATCATGCCCAAAGGTGTACATTATACAGTCAAACTGCAGCTGTCACTTTCTGTAAGCGTAAAAAGCAGGATTGAAGAGAGATTGAAACTTCAGGAAAAAGTAGGCTGATCTTGAAATAGGCCTACTTCCTGTTTCCGCTCCGATTTATAGTGTAAAACAAGAGTGTGCCACCCTCTCGTGGCCGGCAGTGTAAATACAACCAAAATAAACTGCCGGCAGAACAAAAATGATTTCTGAAAATGTGGCGTGAAAAAAAAAAAGTCGAAAAATTGTGACTCGCAAACCCAGGACGCAAGATGCATGGGGGTTGACAATATATTTTTTATCCTCTGCAGTCACTTCCAGTAGTTAAGTTTTACTCGTTTACGTCTACATCACTAGTATACAACCCTCCGGAACACCAAAAGGAGCCATAATGGTTCTGATGATCAAACAGTTGGATTCTTAAAATACTTTGTAAATACTGAATGTTTGAATAAAGTACAATAGTATTATCTTCCCTTTTAGAATATACATTTTTAAATTTTTGTTGATTTTTCAGGGAGGCTGGAACAGATCATTGGATTTCCTTCATTTCAATGGGGAGAGATCATTTGCTATGCAATCGTTAGGAGTTACGAGCATGGTCACAGAACAAATTCAAGTCGTATCTCAAAGGACCACTCAAGTTATTTGGCAACGTGTTGACTTGAACGCCAACATTTTGCCTGACTGCGGCATATTTTTCCAAGACAAGATAAATCGTTCCACTCGGAATGCGCGTTTTGTTTGTATTGAGGGATGGGAAAAAAAATGGATGTTTCCCTAAGGAGGCCGAAAGCAATTTTTGTTGTTCTTGAAAACAAGGAGGAATGTTCACAAATATTGTTGCAATGCAAACAACCACCATGTATTTCATATTTGTCCAAGAGAACAAAGCAACCATTTCAGCATCGCTTTGTGGTCATGTTTTTTTTAATTATTTTTTTTATTTAATGTTTCAACGTCTCAAATAAAATGGTCGCAAGACCACAGTGGATCTTGGCAGGGCTCTGCCTCTTGGGGGGGCGGGGGGATTCCCGCCATATTTGAAGGGGAGACAATGTTGTTGAGTGCGCTTCTCGATAAATAAACCTTTGCGAAGCCTGAAAATCGTGTTTAGCTATGCAGACGTTGCAAGCTAAGAAGCGTTCAAGCAACATTAAAAAAAAAAAAAAAAAAAAAGCTAAATGCAAAGTATATCAAAGAAATAAGAAAACAATTAAAAAAAAGTGTCACATGAAGTTAGCATAAAAAAAATTAAGTCTCATAAAAATTAAAGCAAAATCTAAAACAAAAGTCCCCAAAATTAAGGTATTGGCATGAAAAAAAAATTTCTCAAAACGCAAATAGGGGTCTATGAAAGTTTGAAAAAAAATCTTGGGAACATCAGAATAAATAAATCAAGGAAACATGATGAACAAATCTCAAAAATAAAGGGAACACAAAAATATTCAGTCAAATGAAGGAAACATCAAAACAAAATCGCCTGTGTATTCAGGTAAGGCGAATAATAAAGGCAACATTCAAAATGAAATCACAAAAAAAAAAGAAGGTAATGGCGAGTAAAAAATGACAAAAAATGGAAAGAAACTTAAGTAAAACAGTAGGAAACAGGAAATACAAAAACAATGTGACAAAATTTTCTAGTCATGGCTTAAAATTTTATAGTTTTGCTTCGTTGGGGAGAAGGATTTCATTTTTGATCTTCGGTCCTTCCATTTTCAGCCACTTAAATTTTGATGTTGCCCTTCTTTTTGGGGGGTTGTAACATCAAAAACAGCATGGGAAGAAAATTCAGGAAATAACTTCAAAAACAGTCACAAAACCTCAAACACAGTCTGGAAACATGAAGAGCAAAACCGCCCAAAATATGAACGAATCAAGACAGCGCAAAGAAGAAAACAATTGCCAAAAAGTTGCGAAAAAAGCAACACGAAAATGACGCGAACAGAACTGACCTTGGCGTTTTGCAGGGGCGTCTGGTAGCTGGAGGGCTTGTAGTAGAGCCTCTGCGTGGGTTCCGTGTGGATGTCCCCGAGGAAGAGCTCCTCCACCAGGTGGTCCGGGTTGTGGTGCATGTACTGCTTCTCCACCCGCAGCAGCTGCAGTTCGTGCATGGCGAAGTTGAGCTCCCTGGAGCAGTTGTAGCCGCCCTCCTCGCTCCACAACTCGTAGGGAACATCGGGCTCCCAGGGTCCCCTCACGGCTCCCCTGCAACTCCGGTTCAGCCTCTGGCTCAGCTCCTCGGCCACTGCCACACCGTGGGACATGATCTGGACCCGGTGGAGGTGGTACTCGGCCTCGGTGCCACCCCGGATGATCCAGGAGGCCTGGCGCAGGCGCAGGCGTCCCCGTACCAGCAGCGTGTAGGTGGGCTTGGTGCAGTGGTTGTCCTCATAGTAGAACTGGTGTGCCTGGAAGGTGTTGTTGGCGTAGAAGCGGTAGGAGCGTGTCAGGAACTCCGGACCGGGTCTCACCTCGCAGCTGAAAGGGAACAAACGTTCACTGGCGGAAGAACCGGGAGACCCGCGGAAGATCAGAGGGAGACTGACCTAGTGGACACCCAGTGACCCTCCACGTTTGGGGGCATCTGCACTGTGATGCGGGCCCCGTCGTGAAGGTGCTTCAACATGTGGTGGCACATGTGGGAGTCCTTCACAGAGCGGCCGTAGATTTTCTCCAAGGAGAGGTGACGCGACCGCTCTTCCGCGGAGAAACATGCTGACAAACCTGCACGACCAACAAAAATAACAACGGGGTTAGAGATTCTTTTTTGGACTGGTTAGTTTTAGGGGTAGGGTCATTTCCATAGGAAATGAATGCAAATTCCACTGTACCGCTTTTCAGCTATTTAGAAGAGAAAATGGGAACTCCAAACTCCAAATTCCAAGTCATGGAGGATGGGGGTGTAGGGGCATGAAGCATCTTTCCCAGGTACAAATCCCGGGCCTTACCAGGGGCTTGGAGCACCGGGGTCAGGCTTATGTTTACCTACCCAACTTTTTGGCACAGAGGGTTGGATTTCAATATTAGAACCGGTCCAGGACCACCGGTTGAGTTTAGAGCAAGAATTGGAACCTATGGTTAGGGTTTCAACTAATTCAGGTTCAGTTTAGTTCCAAGGTGAGGGTTAAGGATTAGAGTTTGGGGGACTTAGGGGATAGTCAAGAGCCAGTTATACATTTTAGGTTACAGATTTGGGAGTTAGGGTAATTTTACAGTTAGGGAGGGCTAGGAATATGTTAGGGTTACTTAAAGGGTAGCATGTTAGCAGTGAAGGTGAGTTTTAGGTTAAGGGATTGGATTAGCATTTAAAGACCCTGTCAAGTGAAATCAGGCGTTCCTTTCTCAATACATTTTACATGTTTGAAGATGATTGCTGAAAACAGGCGCTAACACTGAAAGGTATGTCATGTAAAATTGTGGCGACATAACACTAAACTGGTTTCCGCCATTTTAGTTTTCCTGATTTATTTATTTAGTGGGGGGGGGGGGTGTCCATCATGAGTGGTCCCTGCCCGACAACATAACAACTTAAACCTTTATTCGCATCAGTGTCGAAGTTACCAAGCACAATTGTGAGTTACTTAATTTTTATGTCGAGGTCAATTTTTACAGTGTGGAGGTAACTAGCTAATTCTAAACCCGGAAACTGCACGTTCTCTGGATGCCACCATTTACAGGGCAGCTCGGTCTCCTTATTTAAATTTCCAAATGAGGAAGTGTATGACCACACCACCCATCTGCCGACCGAGAAGATCCCCGGAAGCTTGCTAGCTAGCTGATGGCTAGGGCCTCTCGTCTCGTGGGAAGCCCCAAGACGACCCAGTGGAACATATTACGGCCACTTGAGGTTTTGGTGTTGGGCGTTAAGGTTGATCATAGGGTTCGGGTTTTTGACGGCTTCGATATTAGGTTACAGTCAAGTGTTAGGGTTAACTGTTAGCTTTGACGTAATTTGAATGTTAGGCATTAGTTGTAGGATTGTGGGGGCTGAGTTCTTCTTTTAGCTTTACTGGTTAAACATTAGGGGATTACGGTCGTTTTTGGGTTGGGGTTAAGGCAGTCTTAGTGAGCTAGGTACGATTGTGGTTCGGATTTTATGTTAGGTTCGGTTTAATTTAAGGGTTAGGGTTTCAAGATTAAGGTTAGGTTTAGAGTTATAGTTTAGGGCACGGGTGTCAAACTCAAAGCCCAGGGGCCAGATCCGGCTCACCACCCACGTCATTTTATGTGGCCCCCTCCAAAGAAAATCATGTGTGTCAACTTGTATGATGCTTGCTAAAATCTATTAAACATCTTTGCGGTTTCACTGCCCTCTGAGGGAAGACGTAACTCTGAAGTGGCCCGCGACAAAAATTAGTTTGACACACCCTGGTTTAGGGGGTAAAGGTGGTGTTACAGTTGGGTTTAGAGGTCAGGGGGTAGTGTTCAGATTTCTTTTAGGGTTGGAAGTGATGGTCTCGTTGTAGGTTTTGGGGGTCATTTGAGTATTACAGGTTCCAAAATGAGAATAACAACATTTCCATCAGCAGCAAGGAATGGAGGACATTTTGAATCATGATTGAGAAATCTTACAAGTTCCTCCATGACGTTGACATTCTCTCCAAGCAAGCGTCTATGAAGCAGCTCTCAAATGGGACAAATGAAAAGAAGTAAAGATGATGAATGAGCTCTGCGCCACTCTAGTGAACTGGAATCAAAGGGTCTGTATGCTTTTTTTTCCCCTTTTTTTTTCGAGTGTAACCAAACTAAAAGTGATTTGAGGCTTGCCAGGCAACCTTTTGAGAAGCTATCTGACTCCAAAAGTCATGTTTACCCTTTATAAAGTGGAGAATCGAATCTTTAGGAAGACAACCTTGTTGCGCCGTATGTTTCCAGCCATAACCTTATGCTGGGTTGCTACATGTTAGCATTAAGAAACTAAAATATCATGTTAGCTAGACTTTTAGTACACTTTCTGATTACAACCCGTTTACCCTTCCAATGTGATGCTCGATGGATTCATGTTTCCATTTTAATGGCGAGAGCATGACACCTTGAAAAGTTTTGTTAGTTCTTGTGTTGTGACGCGAGGTGCTAGCATGAGTCATGCCTGGTTTTAGGGTCCTGGAAGGGTTTTATGTCAACTTAATGGCACCTCCAAAACTCATGCTAGCCATTGCTAAATAAGACCACGTAGGCTTTTTTTTTTTTTTTTACATCTTCTGGTAACACCCCGTTTCCCACACTTACCCTTGGATCGCGATACTCGGTCGCCAAGTTTGCAATAACAATGAATAAGGAGTATCAAAGTTTAACATGGCATCAGCTGTTCTCACGGTATAAAAAAATCTTAATTAAATAAGAGGAAATAATCAAAAGAGGGTGGCTTTAATTCTTCAGAGGTCACAGGAGTCACTGGAGTCCCAGCAACAACGACAATAGTAAAACGCGGCTCTGAGCTCTCTAAATGTAAAAATCAAAGCGCCCACAAGACTCCCACAGCTCAGAAAGCACACGCAACATTGCCAGCTGGCTCCAAACCGCCCACTGGTGAGGTAACGTCAGCGCGGACCCTGACAAGCACAGACACTGCAACCCAGACAAAGGCTGAACAATTCCCTCTTGTATACTTCAAAACATTCAAATATATGATTGGTTTCATGTGTAAAAATACTATAATGGAATCCAAAAAAAAAAAAGTCTGTTTACAACAGTGCTAGCAGAGCTAATGCTAACCATTGTCGACTGATTTAGGGAAAAAAGGAGGTCTGATTTTTTTTTTTTTTTGGACACTCAAATTATTTGATTGATAAATTGGTTGATTATCAATTGATAGAAAATGTTTTTATGAATTTGTTGTTATTAATTGATCATTTTCACTGTGTTTGTTAAATTGATTCTTATTCAGCACTTTTTATGCAGCAATGGTTGCTTTAAAGTCCCATAAACAGTTTTTTTTTTTTTCTGGAAGGAATATTATTCACTCTTAGAAAATTTGATTATTCCGGTAAAATACACCAAAACCTAGTTTTTGTTGAAAATTCTGACTTAAAATGTTTACTATTTCCTTATGACTAGAACAAAAATACAAATAGTGTCTTACAATACTTTTTTTGAAACGTAGTTTATTTTTCAAAATTTACAGCTATATTCTCTTAAAATTACAGTGCAGCCCCCCCAAATCTATTTTTGAAAATAAATTAACAATCTTAAATTAACATTCAGTCTCCAGAAAGCTTTTTTATGATACAATTTACTTTTTCTTTTTTTTAAGACATTTTAGCCGATGAAAATGATGATGATTTGTTGAAAATGAATTGACAATTTTATTTAAAAATCAAATTCTGCTCTCAAAATCTCACTTTTGTGTTGTAAAATTAACACTTTATTCTCTTAACTTCAACCCCCCCTTTGAAAATACGACCGTTCTTGGAAAAGTATGACTGTTACCCCATAAAATAACAGCTATGCCATCAAATTAGCACACCAGAACGATGAGCCAGACCATTCAGAATCCATTTATACACTAATTTAAAAAGAAATCCTATTTTTAAATCAGTGGAGCAAGTTAATCAGAGTTTGTTTTGTACACAATTTCCATGAAGCGATGCCCTTGAAGGCATCACAGCACTGAGCATCAAAGCAAACAGAATTGGCCTGCTTTGCCCCATCAAAGTGTGTTAATAACAGTGATTGATGGCGACTCAGGGAAGTGAAAAGCTACAATTTCACATGAACTTCCTCACATTATCGACTTGTCTCATCGGCCGCTCGTCCGTCATCAAGGCAAGTGCGAGCAGAAGACACTTGACTTCTTCAAGTTTCTTCCCCCACAACAAAGTCGTCTTTTATCTTGAAATGGAAAAGTCCCACAATGCTCTGCTGCTCACGTTCAGACTGCCCCCCCCCCCCGGCCCCTTTTTTTTTTTTTTTTACTTCAAACAACCCACATCACTAGCAACCCCCCCAGCCCCCTCCTCACACACAAATAAATGAACTTGTTTGAGGCTGGCATACCAACAGGTGCTCAGTTCTTTCAAAACAGATACAAAATCTCATATCTGCTTGACAACAAATCAAGTCATTATGACCTCCATTAGCCAGCTTATGTTTGTAGAAGACACATCAAAAATGATTCAAAAAAGTATCAAACAAATAATTACACTTTATGTCAAGTCAGCACTCTGTCAAGAACACAAGAGTCCCATTCCTCTAAATCTCTGTGAGTGATTACATTTTCAAATGATAACTTGTACACCATTCCTAGGCATTCACAATGTCCCATCACTTGTACGCGATTTTAACGGGTCTGCAGGCTGCTCATGTGGCCCTTGGGGTGACCCTTGTGCTAGCGAGCACCAGGTTGCTGAGCCCAGACGACAGGTTTGTTGTGATAGGATTGCAATTATTTTCTTAATTAAAATAAATAAGATAACTTTACTTGACATTTCCTTGAAATATAGCTGCCCCCTGCCTCCCTTTTTTTAATCCAACTTTATTCTCATAAACCCATGGGTTTTCTTTTCTTGAAGAATATTGATCCATGCATTCTTACAAGATTTTCTTTAAAATAAAAAAAAAATAGAGAAGAAAATGTTCCAAATTAGGCTTTGGTGGAGATCCATTTGTAGCTAAATTTGCATGTAAAACAAAGTATATTAGTAAATAATACATCTAATCTCTCTCTCTCGCTCTCTCTCTCTCTCTCTCTCTCTCTCTCTCTCTCTCTCTCTCTCTCTCTCTCTAGCTATTTGTAGCTGTATGTCACTTCGTATGTTATGAAGATGAGGACGTGCTTTATTTTATCTTGTGACCCCAAATTCCTGATCAAAACGCGCGCGCACACGCCAACGTACGTCGAGTTGCTTACCGAAACAGGAGGAAATGATGAGTAGGAAAACCGGGTCCATTGCGGCTCCAAAAGCTGCAACTTTGTCAAACACTTGAACTGCTTTCTGTTTTTTTTTTTTCAACAAGCCCCGTCCGAGTTTGCTGCTTTTTCAGGTGAAGTTAAAAAAACCAAAAACAAAAAAAAAAAAGTAAGGGAAAAATTATCATCACATGATGGTTTCGAGAACGAACAAGATGGTGGCGCTGGATGACAACATGGATGCTACTTTTTGACATGAAATAAATCAAATAAAATCCCGCGTGTCGTACGGCGAGAGGGAACTGCTGAGTTGAGCAAACTCTTCACTGTTGGACTGGAAGAGAGAGCATGTTGAGCTGCAGCCTGGCAGCATTTCTCGTGGGTGGGCGTGGAAAGGCTTGAGGTCGTGGGTGTGTCCTCCACGTGAAAATGTCAATTGGATGCAAATTGCTACGAACAACTCATGAGTTGGAAATCATTTTATCTCCTCCCCCTAGTATTAAAAAAAAAATATATATATATATATATATATATATATATATATATATATTTTTGTTTTTTAACATAAGGAAAATACAGGAAGGCAGATCGCACTGCAGAGAGAATGAACGAACACAACCGTTCTAAAGTCTGACCGTACTTTGAAACCAGAACCCTGCTATGAAAGCCTGACAACATCAAAAACGTAACTGTAACATGACTTTGGGCCTCTACTTGGAAAACTTTGTATTTCAAGCCGGTTATCAAAGTAAAAGTCAATAAAACTCGCCAACGGGTGAAAACAAGCCATGTTTGTTGTTTTCAGTTACCTTAACGATGACCCGGAAGTACATCAAAGCCATTAAAAAAAAAAACAGATTGCGAGATCTCGCAATATTTGCGAGGGAAAAATTTTGCATCCATCGCAAAGATTGCAAGATATCGCAAACTTTTCTTCATGGCTTTAGTGTACTTCCGGGTAACTGAAAACAACAAACATGCCGTGTTTTCACCCGTTGGCGACTTTCATTGAATTTTACTTCGATAATTGGTTTGAAATACAAAGACATTAAATCTGTTCTCGATTCACCTCCATGATTCTCTCCTTTCCGAAGTACGGTCGTCTCTCAATCAGCCGTGCATGAGAGTGAAGCGGACATGAGCCAAGCTGACCCGGAAGTACAAAATCGTGCATTTAAACAAAAGCGCCTCCTTACAAAAAGTAAAATGATTGCTATATCTCACATTCTTTGCGAGGGAATGCAATCTTTGCGAGGGAACGCAGTATTTTGTTTTCTTCCATGTCCCCTTAGGGGCTCCGTAGGAACACAATCAAGACAGACAGGACAAAAACCCCAACCCTACTTTTAAATCCTCACACTACTTGAAACCCTAACCCGACTTTGAACCCATCCTTGGATACCCTCCTTTGAAATGCTAACCCTAATTTGAAACCATACCCCTACTTTGAAATCTTAACCCTACTTTCAAACCCTAAGCCTACTTTGAAATAAGGATTTCAAGCAAATACAAATAAAAAGTTCCCTCAAGCTGATCAAATAATCTTCCCTAATAATGAGTCTGCACTCTTTGGAGGCTTAAGACGCTCCGCTCCACGCTCTGTGCTCTTTCTCCGGCACAGTGACTCAATCCTCCACCACCCCTTCTTCCTCCTCTTTCAGATCCCCCGGAAAAAAACGGGATGCGGACAAACACCCTGATGGGATTTGCAAGGAGGCCGGAAGGGGCATTCATGACGTGACCAGAGTGGGAGCCTTGTTCTTGTGTGTTGACCCCTGCACAGTCACAGCATCACTGCACCCTCTTTGTGCGGCGGAAAGGAAAAAAAAAAAGCTTAATTTTACTATCAGGTCACCACGATAACTCGGGAAGGTCACGAAATACTTTATTCTTCCATCCCCTGTAAAATTGTCGCTTCCATCACCTTGTTCAAAAAAGATCGCCGGCAAGGTGGGGCTATGGCGTCAGCTGACACTTGACACTCATCTTCAGTGAACCCATGTGGACAAAAGTGTTGGTACCCCTCTGTTGATGGAGGGGAAGACCAACACCGAATGGCTGAGACCTTCGATCCCTCAGTGCATCAAAAACTGACATCAATGTGTAAAAGATATCATCCCCATATGGGCTCACAAACACTTCAGAAAACCAATGGCGGTAAATAGCGTCCGTCCGTGTATGAGCTGTCTGTTTTGTGTTTGCGTCTGGTGATGGCTCCCCGAGGACGTTTGTGTCATCGGCAAAAGAATGGCCCAAATGAGGAGGGAGTGACCAAGCGCGCACAGCAAAAAAAAAAAAAAAAAGGTCAGGATGGCTAAATGCATTCTTTCAAGTGTTTATTGCGAAAGGCCCACCAGGCCAGAAATGACAAACAGATCATTTCACTCAACTTCAAAAAATGATCTGTCCCTGGGTTAAACTGTCACCACTGTCAAACCGACATGCAATGTACTGTCTAATGGTACTCGATGACACTTTTTTTCAAACCGACACCAGTTGTAAAATTTTAACCTGTCTTAAAATTTCAAGTGTTTTTCCGAAAACAAACAACTTTTACTGTTACAAGATTAGATTTTTATACTCATAAAATATTTTCTCCTAAATAATACCAACGTAGTCTCATGAAATTACAGCTTTTTACTTGACTCTGCTAAAAAATTTTTTTTAAAAATCACAAATTTAAGCTGGAAAAAACCACAAATTTTCTTTCCAAAATTACAACTTTTGTTTTTTTCATGACAAGACTGAACTTTTGCTCGCAAAAAAAAAAAAATCCATAAAAATGATTTATTCGTTTCTCAAGACGAAACTCAAGTTGATTTATTCCAGCTTTTAAATTGCTGTCATGGGTTAAGACCCCCTGGGCCCCAGGACAAAGCCTTGAGGCGCACCACGCAAAGCAATCCTTTGTTTTGCATGCCACTTCGCTATCTGACCTCAAAATGTGTTTGCGCAAACAAAGGCTGTGCTTTGGCTACATTTTGACATTACGCAACTGTCAGAAAAAGACAACCCACAACAACACTAAAGTGATTTTCACAGTTGTGAACACCACTTGAGCCCGAGTCTGCACATTTGTTCCTTTCCCACCAGACAAGCTCCGCGGCCAAACCATACGTTCTTTTGTAAAAATCAATAACATAACTTTCTTGCTTTAATAAAGGTCAAAGACGATTGAAGTTTTACAGTGAACCTCACATACGCATTTGGCAAACATCAAAGACCTTTTAGCGTCTTAAATGAACAAATTGTTTCCAAATATGAAATCAAAACACCAAAACAATTTCTAGGCTTCAGTGATTTAAACATGCAAGCTTTTGTTAACATCAAAGAAAATGTAGCGCCTTGAATTAAAGTAATAAACAATGAATTAAAGTAATAATTGTTTAGATGCAGGAGACTTCATTGAACTTAAGGTACACCTTTTTGGAAACAGAAGACACTTTAGCTTCTACATTAGACCTGTTTTTCTGTACACATTACCAAAAAATTTGAACCAAACATTTGTGGTTCCCGAAACATCAAAGACAATTTTGCGTTTTCAATGAACCATCTGAATCCATAAACATCTGAACAATTTAAAATTGAACAGGTTTTGTATACATCCAAAACAATTTCGTTTTTCCACTAGACTTACATAAAGCTTCCCGTATTTTCCGCACTACGAGGTGCTTCGGAGTATAAGGCGCAGCTTCAACGAATGGCCTATTTTAAAACTGTTTTCAGATATAGGGCACATCATATAAAGAATAGAAGCTAAAATAGCGGCTGCAGTTGCATTATGCATCCACTAGATGGAGTTACATTAAAGGAATAACAATATAATACAATACAGCTTTATTCATATCGCACTTTCATAACCACGGCAGCTGTAACAAAGCGCTTTACAGGACATTTCCAATTCTTCGTCTAAGAAAACAGAATGTCGAACCATATATAAGGCGCATTGAATTATGAGGCGCACTGTCGGCATTTGAGAAAACTGAATGCTTTTCGGTGCGCCTTATAGTGCGGAAAATACGGTAAATACTTTTAAAAGACCTTTTAGAGTCTTGAGTCGTACAAACATCCACGTTTTCCTAAACATGAAAGAAAACGGTAGAAAACCAAAACAAAACCAAAAAAATAACCCACACACTGACTGATGACGGTGGTTTGGTACACCACTTGACCCTCATTCTGTCCAACACGCCATCCACGTTTGTTCCTTCTTCCTGCAAAGGGAAAAGAAACTCTTTAGCCAAAGTGTGACAGTGAAAAGGCACGGCCATCTTTCCGAGTTCAACATGGCCCCCATCTGCCGAGGCTAAATGAGATCCAGATAGGATGAGAGAGAGAGAGAGAGCGAGAGAGAGAGAGAGAGAGAGAGAGAGAGAGAGAGAGAGAGAGAGAGAGAGAGAGAGAGAGAGACGGATGGCGTGGCCTAAGCCAAAACTTTTCATGGGGTAAACATGTGTCCCATGTGCAATGAGGACTCCTCTCGTTTGCGGAATAAAACAGCCAGCGTGTCATCCCGTGATGAATTGGCCCTGACAAAAGTGCACAAGTGGGCGGGAATGATGGGAGAATGGAAGCTGGGAGGGGGCGGTAAGTGCGCTAGAAGAAAATGCATGAAGATGACACTCAGGGCATTTTTTTTTCTGGGAGGGGTGGGGGGTGCCATCTTCTCTGGGGGAAACAGTTTATCAGCCTTTTTTCCATGTTGCTGTTTTGTATTAATCACATCAACACGGGATGGTGGAACGACGTCGCTTTGGGCAGAGAATTCGGCTCAGTGAATTAAATTGAATCAATGTTTTGGTAGACATCAAAGACACGTTGGAGCATATTAAAAGCAAGCAAAAACAAATCAGCCAGCAAACAAAAAAACAAGTGAACATAGTTTGGAACCCCCCCGCCCACCCCCCCAAAAAAACAATAGACCAGTAACAAAGTTTGGTGATTAAATGATTCATGAAATTTTAAAAAATGCCAAAGTCCAATGTTTTTTTTTTTCATAGCTGAGACAAACCTTTGAGTTTTCAATATATATATATATATATATATATATATATATATATGTTTTTTTTTGTTTAGGTGAACATTAACTCTTTCAGGGACAACGGTCACTACAGTGGATGGCTTATCATGTTATGTATCAGGTTACAGATTATCATTATCAGTGCATGAAAAGGTTAAATGCAATTGTGTCTTTCAGGACAATTTTTTGTGAACATCAAAGACAATTTTGAAAGATTTTTTTTTTCTTTTTTACAAAAATCCCCCAAAATCTCGCCTTTGAAAAAGCAAATAAGCACATGTTTTTTGTTCCCACCAACATCAATACAGCTCAGACTTTAACGTAAACAAAATATATGTTAGCTTCATCAAAGACAAATTTGATCCAGCCATAAAGCTAAGATGGAATCATTTTGCGGTAACTGTGAGTGAAATAAGCTGCAGGCGACAATGTGATCAAAGTTGCGAGCAGCCTCCCCCCCCGTCCCCACACTCCAAACATGTTAGGTGCAGCTTAAACGTTCCAAGCGGTCAAGGACACACAGTAGAGGATGTCAAGTCCTTCGCATTCATAGAAATCCATGACACAGCGCAACTCTTTGAGGTATCTAAAAGAAGCCTGGACCGGACTGCGGCGACACAGTCGGGATTCTTGTGGCTTTGGTGGCCTCGGCTCCTTCCGTGTCGGGCCGCTGCAACGCGGCCAACACGCTAGCTGACGCTATGCCATCCTGCGAGAACCCGCCGGAAAACACGTGGGAGCAATCGGAGCAAATCCGAGTCTGCGAAACCTGCTCGGCAGATTGCAACGCGCGCGGGAGTGGGAAAGACAACCGCCATCTTAGCGAGCGTTGACGCTGTTTTCAATTGAGAACAAACACAGCAAATTTATGATTTAGAGTCTTTGGTGGCACTACATCAACATCAAAGACGATTGAGAAGACAATGAAAGGAACCGAAGATGCGATGGGCTGGCAACCAGTTCAGGATGTACCCCGAAAACTGTGCGAAGTCAGCTGGGCTAACATACAACTAAGCTAGCATACTTTTTCATGAAAAGCATTTGGTGAGGCTTTTCGTAAACTTGCGTGAAGCCACCATATCCTTTCTATGTAAACATCAGTCTTCAATGTACAACGTAGCATATAACAAACCTAGCATACGTTTTCATCAAAACCTGAGACTATTTCTTCAAACTAGCATCGTTTTCATAAACCTTTGTTGCATATGTTTCCTTTTAAACATCGAAACAAATTAAAAGTTTTCATTGATCCCTAACATGCATTCCTAAAGACTAAAGACCGTTGAGCCTTCAATAAGCTAAATTTAGCTTTCACGTAACGAAGACAATGTATTCTTAAATCAAAATCAAAAATAATTTTCCAAATATTTTATGACCCGAACATTTTGTAAACATCAAAGACCCAATGTGCCCTTTTCCATAAATTTTGAAGACGATTTAGTCTTCAATGGCCCTCACATTTTCACCACAGATTTAATGTTTACAACAAAGCTAATTGAGAGTTTGAGAGCAACATTCTTGATCGCAAACATCAAAAATATTTTCAAAGTCCTTGATGAAGTTCATATTGTGTAATCATCCGACAATTTAAACTTCGGTGAGCCTGACACACGTTTCTTCCGTCCATTTTGAAGACGATTCAAGTGTCTTCAATGAACTTCACACTTTCTGGTAAACATTGACAAAATTGACAAAAGACAATTGAGGGTTCATGTTTTCTTTGACATCAAAGACACTTTTTTGTAAACACACGTTTTGAAACTTCAAGGACAAGTTTGAGTCGCAGTTGCCTCTTTTTCATCAGGAAACGAGGCGTGTTAAAAAACAATAAAATAACAGCACATCTTGCATATGTTTATTCTATCATGAGGAGAAACAATTCTTGGCAGCTTTTGGAAGTGACGAAACATCTCGCTGGGGCCCGCATCGCTTTCATCTGTTCTTCATATAACAGGCGGGCTTTTAACACGGCTCCCAACGTGTCCCGGCACAACATAAAGAGCAGCGCTGAGCGGCAGGTACGCTCACGCTTCTTCTTCTACTTGTCTTTTTTTTTTTTTTTTGAACTTGACAAACAGCTAAATTGCTCGAAGGTCAAAACATACCAGCACGCCCCCGAAAACATTTGATCTTCATGCCTCTCTTGATGTTTGCGTGTGCGTCCTTTTCATGCACCCCCGCAACTCTGTCATTACCTCCGCTGAGGCTTTCATTTTCCTCTCTCAATACCGTATAGTCACATACAGTAGCATCTATGATGCAAGAAAAAAAAAAAAAATTATATATATATATATATATATATATATATATATATATATATATATATGCATTTTAATCTTAACATTTTGCAGTTAATTGCATATAATTAAGTATATATATTTTTTATCTGTAACTTTTAACTTTTTAAAAATGTTTTATAAAAAATAATAAAATTTTATACCGCTCTACATTTTTACAATTTTATTTTATTTTTTATATATTTTTTATTTAAACACGTGTTCATGTGAGTTTTTGAGATGTATTTTATTTTGCTCAATTTTAAATTTTCGTTCATTTTAATTTATTACAATAGATATAATAGCTATCATTGGTTTTATTTATTTACACATAAACCTGCTCCATATAAAATGATACAATTCTAATTTCAAATTATATATCACATGATTCAAATCAAACAACGAAAAGTATATTTTTGATGGTGCAGAAAAGATTTTTAATCTTAAACAAAAATGTAATCATTATTATTTTGTTTTTATTTAAAAAAAAATCAAAGACAATGTTGTGTTTTGAAATCTGGATCGATATTGGCTGCTGCTGCTGGAGCTAACCACTCACACAGGATTCTGGTCGATGAAAAAGCTATCGTAGCGAAATGCTAAGCGTATGAATGTTTCAATAACAGGCAAAAAAAAAAAAAAAAGGAAATGCATTATTTTTACATGCCTAAACCCAGGGGCTGAGCTACATGGTGGCCAGGTTGGACCCTGGCCACCCATGGTCACTCTCTGGCCACCCCTATGGCTCAGCTCACATCTCGGGGACATTTTTTTAATATTTTATCTATATTTTTAGAATGTGAAAGACAATTCAGAATCTTGAATGTTTCTTTTTTTTTTTGTCTTCGACGACATTCAAACTGTCACCCCAAATCTGTCGATGCCAAGCCCAAACATGGGAGCCATCCTTTCTTCCAGAGTTTCCACCAATGCAGACACATTACGAGTGTGTGTGTGTGTGTGTGTGTGTGTGTGTGTGTGTGTGTGTGTGAGGCACCAGAATTTGTCCCAGATTTTTCCCTCCCCCTCTTCGATTTCTTCGTCATCGTCGTCGTCTTCTGCGGGCTCTCTGACAGCCAGCTTTGATGTGGCCTTCTCACTGTTGCAACCGCAGGCGCAAAAGGAACCAGATGATCTACAGGCTGCTTTGTGCCTCGTGGAAAAGTCAGGAAAAAGTCCACCCAAAAAAGAAAAGGAAAAAAAAAAGAGAGAAAAGAGGAGAAAGGATTAGGGGACAAACGTGTTTTAGGAGCAGGTAAACAATCAAGTCATCAAGGAAGATGGAAGGTTTGGCGGAGGGAAATCCAACTTGAGAAAACAAGAAACAGATGTGTCGCTGATGTCTCCTTGATGTTCTTCTTCGCATCGACACTTGGAAATGGAAAAATGCATGAAGTCACACAATTCCCCCCATTCCGACGGAGTGTATCTTTACAGCCCTCGTGTACACATTGGAAACTTTTTTTTTTCTTGAGAGTTCCCCAGAGTTTGACATACGTCCCCCAAATCACGCTAGAGAACGACTTCTTGAAACGACTGAAGATGCAAATTTTTTTTTTGTTTGTTTTAAATAAAAAAACTGGTACAGCACATTTGCTCGGTTCAAATGTAAAATTCTTCTAAAAGTTTATGAAAAAGTATGTAAGGTTCCTTGAAATCTAGGATGTCTTTGATGTACGCTAAAACGTATTCATTAGCTTAAATGTAATAGAAACTTATAGTAGATTCCAATTCGCTCAATGAATACTGAATAGTTTCTTGGGTTTCTTAGATTTGTTGTCTTCGATATCTCTGAAAACACCGAAGAGCAATTTCTCAATGATGTTGACAAAAACAAGTACTGAACTATGAAAACACGTCCGAAAGTTTCACCTGAGAGACAGTCCTTGTTGACCAAAACGTATGCTAGCTTATGTACGTCGTGTTCACCGAAGGAGTAACTGCCTTTAGAAACATTTAGTTCACTGAAGACGGAATTGTCTTTGATTTTTATGAAAACACATACATGCGAGTCAGGTACTCACATGCCTTGAACTACATTTCCCAGCAGGTTTTGCGACAGCAGCACTTGTCTGGCCTCATTTCTTCAAGCTGTGGCCCCCCCACCCCCTCCACTTAGCCACCGCAGGCTGTCGAAATGGTTTTTATATTTATATATATATAAAAAGATTTTGTGTTATTTTAGTTCTGCTCACAGCGACAGCAATGTTTTATTGCCGCGCTGCTAATTACACACATTACGCACAATGGGGGCAACAATGGAAAAGTCATTACAGTCAACAACAACTATTTAAAACTTCTTCCTTTCATGTGTTTTTTTTGTCGTTGTCTGCATTTGGACACTTATAACAAATAAAAATAACAAATGGCGACTTGGAAGTTTTGTTTTGTTTTTTTTCTCCCCATCCTGGTTGACCGCCCGTACACTAACGCCACACATACTTACTGAGATAGCACATGGGCACAATGCTGCTTTGTCTGACCACCAACATTCCCAACCTCATATGTGGGCATCGAGAATCAAAGGGACCCAGAAGTAAAGTTCAGGTTCTCTTTTAAACGATGCCCAACCATTATTCATGACCCTTCTGGGACACCATACATTTTATCTGTCAGCCTTGAAACATGTCATCGTTGAACTGATGCACCTGTATCGTGATTCTATTGTCGATAGCAATGTATAACAATAAATCAAGAAATTCCTGTATCAATGGAAAAATAGCAAACTTCAATTCTTGCAATACTATTGATATCGCTGGGAACACATTGCAATGCCGCGACCATTGCTTCCTCTCAATACATCAATCAATCGCTGTCGAATGATATTCTATCTATCGTCTGAAAAATATGCAACAATACCGGATTAATTTTTTTCTTTATCAGTTATCGTCGTATCATGATACTATCGGTATCATTCGAAATGTATTTTCATATTGTTATTTTCTTTTAATTGGTTATTATTTTATGCTGGTACTATGATTAACATTGGAAAATTATTGTGATTATAACAGGTCGATTACAGCACAAATCAAGATGACAAGGTAAGAGCTTTCTTTTATACTGTTTTCCATTGTATAAAACAACAACAAATGTGTTGTGATTTTCTTTCAATACACCAATGATTGCAGTATCATGATACCAGTGGTATCACTTGAACCACATTGTGATAATACTGTATTGGGGTTTACTTACACTACAGCAATTTACATGCTGCATTAGGACACTTTTGATTTTTAGATCCATCGATTAGAACTGTATCGTGATACAATCACCCTGAATAGAAATTACTGTATAACAAGCTTTTCTTCTATATCAACTAGCCTGTAATTGCTGTGTCCTGTTACGACTGAGATAAACAAGAAGCATATTGTGATAGTGCATCACGGTTTTCTTTCGACAACCACTTTACATCTAATTTGTCCCCCAAAAAATTGTATTGTGATTTTTTTTTCCCTCCCAAATATCGCTCTACCACGCCAGCATCGGCAAGTTACTACAGCAATAAAAATGCTTCGCTTTGAGGAGACACTAATTACAGGAGACTTTGACTACATTTTGAAAAAAGTTGAAGAATAGTGATGATTCAGGTTTGACTAAAACAACTTTTTCCCTTGTGTTTGACTGAACATATTAAAAAAAAAAAACTTGGCGACATCCAGATGGACCACATACACACACATGCCTTGTCAAGCAGAACACACACACGCACACACATGCAAAGACCGGAAGAAGGTGTACTTTGTGGAATTAACCCCCCCCCCCACTACCCCCACCGCCCACATGCACACTAACATGGTGGCGGGTGTGTGTGTGTGTGAGGGGGGTGGGCGCTTGTTCTCGGAGGGTCCGCGGCTGCAGAGTGGTGTCATTGTTGATGACAAGCATCCGTGAAGCTTCCTGTCTGTGATCTTGGTTGTCGTGGCGACAGCAGGCCCCAGTCAAATAGATTAGCTTTGATCCTGAGGACGGAAAGGCAAAAAGAGGAATCCTTCAATTGGCAGCAGTGGTCCACATCAAATGGACCGCTGGCACGACGCTGTGGCCGAGTCTGGAAAAGTCTTAAAGCAGCACTTTGGATCCACTTACACCAACATACTTTTTATTGGACTACATCAGAGCACACACATACACACACACACAAAAGGGGGAGGAAAGCAAGAACGTTTCCTCCAGACCAGGTGGGGGGGCCACTGGTATCATGATACGGAATTGTACGAGACTAAATACAAAGGGAAGAAAAATATATGATATTATAGCGACATTTCCCCCAAAATATAAGACAACTGACTGGATAACAATCGAGATAGTATCATGATACAGCCATTGTCATCAATCAATATTCTAGAAGAAATCCATCAAAGAATATCAGCACATTTTGTGACAATTATGATACCGCGATTAGATGATAATCGATATCTAGTATTGGAATAAAGTAACAAAGCAATATCATGTTTCCCAACAATGCCGACAGCATCATGAAACGGTGAATTTATTTTTATTTAGGGATTTCCCCCCCCCAGAGAAATCGATCACGATACAGCTTCTGCGTACGTACACGCACACACAGACATTCATTCTTTAGTGTTTTTGCTGTCATCATATATCCTTCAGTGGCACATGTAGGAATGCGAATGATCTCTGCAGAATATCCGCCTCTTGAAGCGGTTCAAACAAGATGGGGACCAGAAGAAGAACAAAACAGAAGAAAAGTATTAGCGGGAAGCTAATCGGATTGGTGGACGTTCAAGCGTTAATGTGCTGCAGCTTTTGTTTGTGATGGGGGGGAAAAAAAAAAAAAGATGACCAAAGTGTGCGACACACATGCATGCAAAATGTTCATGTCACGTGTCCGTGAGTGTGCTGGCTCACTGGACAGGAAATAAAAATTCAAAGATGAAAAACACAGAGGAAACAAAAAGCCTTGAGGAAATTCGCTAAATTCACAAGTTTTTTTTTTTTTTTTTTAGCCCCTCCCACAAATCTATGCCATGACCCTATTGTGGTTTCATTCCAATATACCAATTACAATATCAGGCAAGTAAACTATCAGTGATGGAAATTTTCCATCTGTTTCCAAATATTACAAAGTGCTACTTCAATCTGCGACCAGAACATCCATGGATGATGTTTTTCTGGTGACATGTTGAGATGAGCGTGAAAGTTAAGATGGGTCGGGTATCAAATGTGACCGCGTACCCCGACACCTCATCGGCTTTCCAAACATTCCCGTGGCTGCGCGTCCTGGCGCGGCCTTGCCCTTCATCTGGCGGAAGGAGCGCGTCCAAGTCGTCGTCAGACACTTGTCTCATCCTCTCAAAGCCTCCACGGGCCCAAGCTCATTTGTTGAGACGCTAATGAACTGCGTGACCTCACCCGCCATTTTTTTGGGGTCACTCAAAGGCGGTGTGACAGACACACACGCACGCACATTGGGGTCTTTTTGTCATTTGTCATCCTTTGTTCACTCGTGCGGCCGCCTTCCAACTCTTTGTGATGTGATTGAATGAGACACATGCAGTAAAGGTTAAATCCTCTCTGGCTGTGTTTGTCTGTACTTTCTTAGCTTAGAATCGGAGCTACAAACACACACATACGACTCACATTAATTTGTGGCCAGCAATGTTGACAAGATACAAAACTTTCCTAGTGGAAAAACAAAAAATAAGAATAGAAAAGCGGTTCACATGTTGCAGAGTCAAACATAAAAAAAAAAGAAAAAGAAAAAGAAAGATTTCTGTGGCTTTACTGCTCTTTTTATTTTTATTTTTTTAAACAAAATACACAAATCCAAACAATACAAACATATTACAATAAAAAAAGTACTAGTCAAAAATATTACAAATATATTGCTGAATACACAAACAAAATATTTTCCGACATTAAAAAAAAATTGGGTACAAATATTAGACAGAAATGTAAAAATGTAGATAATGACATATCCAAATATAAATTAAAAAATATAAAGTGTGTCTGTGTGTGTATGTGGTGGTGTGGGGTGTGGGCATGTGGGGAGGGCACTTTCTTGGCCACTTTTCTTGGGAGTTGCATCACAATGTTTTCACATTGACTAAAAATGACATCACAGAACTTAAGGCTCAGCTAACAACCAATCACGACTCACCTGTCTGTCGGGCTTGGTCATGTGACATTCTCAAAGTGAACCCTTCCGCACTGTGATGTCATTTCCAGTCGACAGCAATTTGGCCGTACGAGGCGAAATAGCCGCCCCCTAGATGGATTCAAAAATAATAAAAATAAAATAAAAATAAACAGGTGGATTTATCAGTTTTAGATTCCACAAACGCAATCTTAATCTGAATGCTGTGTTTAGACGAGTGCGAGCGCATACAACATTTCCCAATTGCCAATTTGCCCCACTGAAGCGAGGCACAATTTGAAGAGTGGCACAAAACGGGCTCAACACTTTTCAATTTGTTTATCGTCTTTGTCATCGGATTTTTTTCTCCTTTCAAAAGGTCACACGGGGTCACGGCAGCGTCATCCGGGGGGAATTTCATTAAGCGCAACGAGACCGGCAGACCTCCTTCGTGGCTGAGAGTGAGAACACCTGGGAGGGAGGACAACGGCGCGCACTGTGCCTGGAGCCCCTCCTGCACATTGACGAGGAGGTGAGCGATGAATGTGAGGACAAAACCAAAAAGGAGATTGCATGTGTATACAAATACTTGGGTTTATTTTATAAATCCCTCTCACTTGAAGCAAATTGGAATTTGAGCTGAGCTTGTTTACTTTTGATGCGATTGCGCATTTCCTGGGAGTGGAAAAAGATGGCTGGCTGCAATTTATTTTCATTTTGGTTTTTTTTTTGTGTGTATTTGTTCATTTATGTTATGTATCTTTTTGTTCGAATTTGTTTTTTAATTGGGGAACAAAAAAAAAAATCACATTTGATGTTTTAAATATTATATTTTGAATCATTTGCGAATTGTTTTGTGAAACATTTTTTTTCATCGATAAAGCTTAACACGCAACTTGTGTGTCGGTTCCATTCCTCAAGAGTCTACTTTCTCCATCTTTGCTGCCCATCACTCTATGATACCATTCGCCACAATGCAAATCACTTGATTACACGCGCATGCTCATGTTTGCTTCTTGCACCATTTCGAATCTGCTTTGGTCAAACAGAATATTTGAGGGATGCGGTGGACGATCACAGGAGACGATGCGCCGCTCAGCAAGGTGAAAAGTGCAGGCTTTGGTGCACACGGAATTGTTTGTCTACACTTTTTGATATAGATTTACTGTACATGCGCATGTATACATGTATGAGAGAGGGATGAATGTAATTAAAGTTGTGTATGTGTGTGTGTATTTTTTTTTTTTTTTTAATTAGACGCTGTTCTTTTCTGGGAAGTCTGTGGCGGAGCTGGGTGGAGCCTCAGTGGAGACAGGAGGCTTGTGGTCGGGCCGAGGGAACCACGCCGGTCCCAGTAATGGAAACCGTGTGTGTGTGCATGCCTAACAGACACACACATATACACACATACTCACACACACCCATGCAAAAACATATGCATACATTCTAATAAGGTGAAAAGAAGCTTATCCTAGCATGTCTGCATTTTTTTTTGCCCGCATGGTAAAAGGCAAGAAGTCACACAAAGAGAAGAGGATAAGAGCACTCGCACAAAACCTCAGGGTCTCAAACAAACTCATGCGGGACAAGAATTTGTGTGCACCAATGCTCTCAATGTATTTCTATCACACACACACACACACACACACACACACACACACACACACACACACACACACACACACACACACACACACACACACACACACAGGTACTGTACTGTCGAGCCACACAAAAACAAAAAGACCAGAACACACACCAACAAACTCAGTTACACAGACCGATGATGAAAAGAATGGGTGTTCAATTGCACAATTGATTTACCGCTCTCTGGCATAAATTTTGCCACACCACAATTGACACAACAGACAGTGAAGTTGGGGCGTTGTTAAAGCGTCAATAAAAACAGAATACAATGATTTGCAAGACATACACAAAAACATCTACAACGTTCATCCGTTTGAACTTGGGGTGTCCGACGATTTAAAAAATTAATCGCGATTAATCGCACGAGTTCCAGGTTTCATTGTAAAGTGCCCTGCCCGAACAGACAGTCGTGAATTTACATTAGATGACAATCACGTTAATTTCACTCCGACGTCGTAGCCCTGCAAATCTGACTTCTGATGACTACTAATGTAGGACTATTGTCCTGATCTGATCAAAACTAATCAACAATATTTACGTTTATGAGCATATTGGCGTTTGCGAAGAAAAGGCAAAACTGACTGCCAGGATGGTCGGCCGCATTTTTAGCACAAATGCCGGAGCACTTTAGATGAAACTTGACTTTTTCTTAAGAAGGCAGTAAGAGATTCATGAATGCTTTGTCATCACTGAACCAAAGAGTAATTACAGTATTAGCAGAGAGTAGTTCATTGTTTTTTTCATTGTTTACAGTCACTCCTCCCCTTCAATGAAGCACTCCTCTTTGTCTCTGTTTCCATCTTCATTTTATTTTATGATTACTTTCAGAGACGCCTTCGACCTAAACATAATCTTCGTGCTTTCTTGCACCAAACTGGCTGATTTCTTCTTCTCCGTCTGTGTCTTTCAGTCATTTAACCAATGTACTATCGGTGTGTTATATGCATATGTGCACCACACTGCCTCTAAGAGGCCAAAGTGGGAACAAAAGGAACATCACAGTTCACAGACACGCACAGGGCGCGCAAAACCAATTAAGTTTGATTGAAACGTGCGTTTAAAAAATAATAATAAAATGAATGCCGATCAAGGGAATGGCTTTTTGTGACACTTCCAGGTTGAACATGAAATAATATCCGTTTTGTAGTGTATTCATATAGATTGAAAATATTTGCAAATAATTGTGGTCTGTTTTGTTTCCAGCAAATTTATCGGATGGGGGTGGGGGAAGTGACTGACCCCCTCGTTCAGGTGTATGTCCTGGGCCACCACCCCATTGGCCCCACCCTATGAGAGAAATACAGGCCAAAAAACACAGGCAATATATCGTATGTGCCACACTCGGAAGAAAAACACAAATTCAGCTCCGCGACAGCTCATGTCGTCAAGAATGTGTGAATGTGCACTCAACTTTGTACACGCTGTCACACACACATTGCGTGTGCTTGACCGCCGCGCCCACACACACATAAAAACAAAATGCATTTACATCAGTGCCTTGACATACGAGTGTCATTCGTATCGCCATAGTCTCTCCTTGACGACCAACTGGCCTCCCATTGCAAAGAAACCAATGTGAATGTTTGGTGCCTGGATGTTGTGAAGTGTGCTTTAGCCGCCTAGTGGCGGAGGTTTGAAGTGCATTGAATTTTCTTCGCATCCCCATAAAAAAAAATTGGGCAAGTGACAGCTTCTATCTCGAAAAACAAATGACATCATGGCACTCGTATATAGAGGCAACGCTGTATATCAAATGGGGGAAATGTTAGCGTTCGAGGTTATACAACACTAAGACAGAAAGACAAGAACACACACGCACGCACAGGCACTCACAAATACAGGCACACAAACACGATCCACTTCCCTAACTGGCAACGAAGCGAACATTCGCATGCGTGTCCTCACGCGGTGACTGTCACTCTCAAAGAACGTCTCATGACAAAGAATGTGCACTAACCCAGAGCGTGCTCGTAAACAAGTACGCACGAGTGATGTGTCGGTCGCGAACGAGCCGGTACAAAGAGCCGTTTCTTTGAAGTGAACGATGAGAGCCGGCTCTGTCATTTTCCTCTCTCTCTCTCTCTCTCTCTCTCTTTACTGGCCTGGTATGCAAATGCATTTTTTTTTCTCCATCTGAACCAATCGTAGCTGTAGCTATATATATATATATATATATATATATATCCCTCCCTCCCTCTCTATGCCGCTCTCTCTTTTTCACGTGTCTGACACAGACAGACCAAGGAATTGACTTGTTTGATTCCACCGTGATCCTTTGGGTTTTGCAGGTTCTTCAGCCCCCGGCCCCGTTGGGACCAGCAGAGAGCACCCCGCAAGCATCCAGACGAGACTTACGTCTCAACTATTCCAGCGGAGTTGCCCTGATCAACAAAGCATCTTGAAACAATGAATAAAGTTGGCTTGCACGTTTTGGTAGTGTGCGTAATGGGTGTTTTATTTGCACTTTATTCCCGATCGCCAAGAACAGGGGTGTCAAACATACGGCCCGCGGCCCGCAAGGAGGTTTGATCAGGCCCGCAGGATCATTTAAAAGTGAAAACATGCATAAAAGACGCGGAATGAATATTTTTAATAAAGTGCAATTCATGGATTATACGCTAGGGGGACATACTGTTTTGATCAGAGGAAAAGACAACATTGTTTTGATCAGAGAAGAAGACAACGGCACCCTCAGTCTGTCACTGAGACAGACCCAACACAGCAGACGCTATCAAGGGCATGTGAATACTACTTTATTCTTTACACATATTATAGCACTCTCCTTAGTTTGTAAGGTGTAGGCAGGGATTACATTTAGATTTTATATGCTCGTGTAAATGGTTTAAAAATTCCTTTCTTTATGAATCTCGTTTCATCTTAAAAGTGCATTACTATATTTTTCAAGACCAATTACTAAAGGTTTTGTGCCTTTGTACAGTCAGTGGGATCAGTTGCAATGCATATACAGTCAAACCTCGGTTTTCATCCATAATCCGTTCCAGAAGGCTGTTCGAAAGCCGAATTGCTCAAGAACCGAAACCATACTCTTTTTAAAATAAAAATGTTTAGTGAACACGTCTGCTCACAATGGAAAGCAACACGAGGAAGCATCACTTCCTCGTCTACCCGAGAAAGCATCACTTCCTCGTGTAAGGAAGGCGAGAGGAGTCAAATGGTGCATTCAAGTGCGCTAAAAACGCCTTACTATACATGGTCGTTTTTGCCTTACTATACATGGTCGTTTTTTTTCGTATAAAAACGCCTTACTATACATGGTCGTTTTTGCCTTACTATACATGGTCGTTTTTTTTCGTATAAAAACGCCTTACTATACATGGTCGTTTTTGCCTTACTATACATGGTCGTTTTTTTTCGTATAAAAACGCCTTACTATACATGGTCGTTTTTGCCTTACTATACATGGTCGTTTTTTTTCGTATAAAAACGCCTTACTATACATGGTCGTTTTTGCCTTACTATA